CACGTTATCTCCAGGGAAAACCAATTGTCTATACTAAGTTAAATATTATCTTGCCTTTCGTAGAAAAACTCGTAAAAGAAAATAGTAGGTACGTGTTACACCACGATGATTTGTAATTACGCAACAATAATGTTAGATACCTACACTTATAGGTACGTCAATATTGAAACACAAATTGCTCATTTTATATCATTTTCACACCTTAGTTAGCCTTAATTAGTCTAAAATCAACGTTAAATGAGAGGACATCCCTTATCAATGACTAAATAAACAAATATGGACATTTTTCCAGTTCCGAGAAGATTGTGCAGGCGTTGCAATTCGATATGATGTATTTCCCACGCAGCTAGTTAAATTAGTATGTAATTACAAATTGCATCAGGTTACTCCGTTAGTTTTCCCTCAGATAGTCGTTGCAGTTTTTCGCAACAAGTGCTTTTTGACAATGCTAATGAATCGACCATTAAAGAAGATGGTTAAACTGGTTAAACGGAAAAGAAGGTAGGAAAATATATTCCAATATCATAACTCATTATTTAACAGTCTGCTTAAGTGTTTACTAGTAAATAAATTAAACTTATTTTTATATCAAACGCATATTCATATTGCACAGTAGAGAATTTTAGCAATTTCTCGAGAACTAACCACAACATTCCAATCTGTAAATATTTACATGCCGGCTCGATTTTCGTAATTTACAATTCAGTTTTACGACGCATAAAGATTTCGTTTTTTTTCGTATAATAATGAGTGACGTAATTGCCCCAAAATCGGCCTTGATTGTTAATTATTCTACGAATATAAACGAGCCTTGGTCGACGGTTGGAACCTTTGGGGGCCCCGAAAAATCACTTTTACTTTTTGTTCGTCGGTTCTTTTGTGTTGTTGAATTTACGCGGAGCAAACCGAGAGAAGAGGTCACTTAAAAATAGGTTTTATTGTACTCGTTCATGCGAATTCGACGCGCATTTTCTGCTCAATTTACATCTAAACACCAAGCGAGTGGTTTTTAGTCCAAGATCATTTTCGTTAACACGATTCCTTTAAAAATTGTTCGATTTATATAAATTTTTCATTACAACAGATGCTTCCAATTCACAAGTTACTGTTAAATTGTAACGCAAGTTGTCACACCTCTATACTATTTATTTTCTTTCCACCTTTATATCACACGTCAAAAGTCGAATTGTCTTTGTCGTTTTTGACCTAAATTTGGTGGTGTATACTCGATCGTATAGATGAAAAAATAGACCAATAAACATTGACGCATTTATCCAGCAGTACCAGTATTTAATATTAGGAAATTTCCTTGAATAATCCTGAATCACAATGTTTTTAATAGCAAATGAGGATGTCGTTAGTAATAATTTGTTTATCTCAAATTAAATTGCTGGGCTACCAGTCAGAAGTTCCAAGTCCATTGATTGCTTGGTGGGTACAAAATGCATGTGTTTTCGAAATGGAACACCTCCATGAAAATTTAATATTAATTTGGTTTAGTGGTTTAAACGCCCACTTGATGCATGTGTGTAATTACGGTTACCTTGAAAAAATATCGTATTTCATTTTAGCAATTACTTTAACTTGTTTACCAGATTTATTATTGACGATATTTTTAATCATATAGGATGTCCAGAATGGTGTATTATTTTAACCATATTTATCTTGATGTTATAATTATTTAAACTGCAATTTTAATCATATTATTTCTTTGTACTGCTATATATCGATATAAACGAGAAATTATTGACAAATATGCTGTTTTCAAAGTCTTCTATTCTTACAATACTGTCTACTGAATTTGGTTATTTTTAGTAGGTGCCTAATGTAAATACAAATAAAGTAACACGTGAGCTTAATATAACTCAGACATTATGATCTAGAGTAAAATTAGTTGAATTTATTTTTATTCACAGGGTGAAATAGGTAAAATTCTAATGCATCACGATGTTGCTTTTGTGAATGCATTATTATGTGATAGGTTTTCGTATACTTGCACTATTTTCAAAACAAAACGTGACAGAATAATATGCTTTCTATACAGTATTATGGCTATCTTAATTATTTACAGTTAAAAGAGATCGGTATCACAACAATAATGATTACGAGAACAGTAACAATTGTTTTTCCTTTCTATTTTTATCTTAAGAAAACGGTATAGAAGCAACTGAGACGAGAATTAAATGCATTTATTATTTCAAAATATGTGCTCCGTAACAAAGTGAATTCAATTTTATTTTTCTGTAAAAGTTTTATTTGCACTTGACTATTTTCTTACAAATTGGTATAAAGATTAATATTATTAGATAATATAGATTATTGTTACTTTTGTAGTAAACATGCTATGTTGTCCTCAATAATAAATGAGATTATTACGCTTTGCATTTTTCTTTAATCTAGTCAGGTAGGCCAGATTACTATGGTTGTAACATAATTCAATGATCTTTTTGGCAAATTTAAATTGTAAACATCAAAACAACTTGTATTACATCAAAAAATAATTTTATACATTATAACTTCATCTCTATGCTTGAAAATTATATCCCAAGTTTATACGTCAACAGAAGAACTGTCATTTTGACAATGTTTGGAAGTGCCTAGTCGACCATACGTTTATCCATATTTATGGTTTAGGTCATATTGACATTAAATGTGTAAATTAAATTTATAGATAGTTAATGGATGAGTTCTTCAATTTCATGTTGATTTCGAATGATTACTCATTGTTACACCAAAATTCGTTTCAGAGGGTTTTTTTCAACTACTGAGAATTAAAATTTTCCAGCATTTGAATTACAATTTAAAGTACTCCGGCGCCAAAATAATATCTGATGTCTCAATGCGAATTACTTATAAGTTTTTATCGAATTTTATCGAAAAGTTATTAATTTTATCGAAATTGTTTTATTTATATACAATTACTAGAAAATTGTTCGATTACTTTTCGAATAGGACGTCAACGGGTGTGTTATTAACAGTTTCTGATGTGAAAATTCATGGCCCAAGTTTCACCGAACATGGTAATATAATACCCAATGAGTCCTACTGATAGGTAAGAATATATTTTTTTACCATTTTCTATTTACGAAAAATTCTTGATTAATACCTTGCATAACAAAAGGTTTTTTCGCTTTAATATTTACAATTTTCTTTCTGATAATCATTTTCCTAGAGCATATTTAAGATACATATCCTATCTTTTAAAGTTTAGAAGAAAACAAAAATTTATCAAAAAATTAAACACAACATGAATATCTTAAAAATGTTCATACTTATCAGATGGTTATGCAGATACATATTTATGTATATCTCTTGTGCTTAATCAAAAAAACAACAACAATAAACAAATGTTTTTTTTAATTTGTAATGTTATCTGAATTAATTAATTTTGAGCTTTAATTAGCATTTTAATTTTCAACAGCTTCACTCTGTATATTACTCTATAATTACACTAATTACATGGTATAATGTGTAAATTTACGTAAAGAGCAAAAATTTGTACATTGGATTTTAAACATGAAACAAAAATTATCTTTTTGTTTAAAACTTGAGATATTTCTTACAATAAATGTATTTCTCGGAAAACTTAATACGAGTAGGTATTCATTATCTTTTAAGCAGAACATACTTATCTAACATGCACGAGATAAACCAGATTAAAGGCAATAAATATTTTAAATATTCCTTATACAAAATTTATTGTTCAGGATGATTCGTTAATTTTTGTTTCCTCAACCTTCTATATTTTTTTTAAATAAAGACAATCTTTCTATAATTTCCTTCCATTTTCGCCGTTTCGCACATTTCCAATTAAGGCCTCGTCAAAGAAGTCACTTCCATACACCTACGACGAAATTAAAAATAAAAATGCAACAACCGATTCAGTAAAAAAATTCGCATCTAATCTAATGCAAGGCGTAGGATTATGTAAATATTTGACATGCTTATTAAAAAATCCTCCACCCACAATATTATTAATAAAGGAGTATTGTGTTGTGTTTTGCTGGAAATTCCCATTCTCCCACCTTCTGTTGATAATCATTGCCGTTCGGAGTGTATCAACTGCACCTATGAGCGCCCAGAATTTTTTAACACTGCATATAAGCAGCTCTTTATATTCCATATACGTATACATTAAACATCAAAATAATTATACCTATCTAATAGTTACTAAAATGTCCTAATTAAAAATTCGATTTTATAATTTCTTAGTAATTGCTTGTTAATGATACATACAAATGTTTTATCTAACTTCTGGTTTTCTAATGTAATTTGTAACAATATTTTGTTGAAATATATAGAAACTACATTTAAACGAACCGGAAATAGGAGGTTTCTTATATCTAGTATACTAAACTGTTGAGATTAAAATAAATAGATTGTTGAGTGTTGAGTGCGATTGAGCCGCGCCCCGATCATCAAAGAGAAGTAGTAGTAGTAGTTCGTGTGTACTGCTCTCCGACCGCATTTTTGTATACACACTGCATTTAGTTTAGTTTCTCACGGTACTTGGTTCAGTAGAAAACTCTCGTGTGAAATTCGTCAGAGAGGAAGTAGTTCAATTTAATTGCCGAATCTCAGATCTGTGTCTGTGTGAAATTTTTTTCGATTTTTTTTGGATAGCTCCGGAAAAATGTTGGCGTGTCTGGAAGTAAGTGTGATTTTTTATTTTGGCCCAAAAAAATTAATAAAAATTAATTAATTTGTTTGTCAATGAGTATTTTGGATAATTTGTGGTAATAATTACCACAAATGATTATCATTTCAAGGAGATTCTTGATCATTAATAGTTAATTTAATTATTTTTGGCTGTTCCGGCCATTTCTTCCCTTACTATTTCTTATAAATGATTAATGCCTATAAAAATATTTGAATTATTCTTATTTGAATATACGTCACAATACTAGTAGGTACATCAATTAATTACCAAAATTATAATGCTTTATTTACACTTTAATTGTTTATTTAATTTTAAACTGTTAGATAATGCGCGCCACAATTAACTTTAATTTGTTTATTGAATTTTACTACTGCGACATTCGCGCTGTTTTTTCAGTTCGGAATGAATTTTTTTATAAGTAGTTTTTGTTTATATGCATAACTAATTGCATCGGAATTGCGTCCGTCATTTGCCAAGTATCGCATGTTATTTCAATGCATTTAAATTGGTTGAGTTACGAATTGAATAGTTATTTAGTTATTATTACTCGAAATAAGTGCTTTCACGTGTACCCTGAATGTTATTTTTTCAATGTCATTACCTTAATTAGACATATGCATGCACATCCGAAGCAGTTTCTATTTGAAAACATGGTTGTTTTCCAGAAAAGTCCATCGACCAGGTCAGTTATTGTTATGTTATATGTTACTTGTTTGTGCCTATAGGGAGTTAGAATAATTAAATTCTGTGGTAATTTAATCGTTAATTACAGTTTAATTGAATCGGGGAATTCCCCAAACCTCTTTGGAATCTTCCTATTACCGACTGTCAATTTTTAAAAGTTGTTAAAAAACTATTCCTTTTTGTAATAGCATCATCGAAATTACTATTATTATCGTACGGGATTCAACACTAATTTCGTTTTGAACGGTATTTCGCAGTCGCGGTTCAACGTGCTTAGGAATTTCTATTCATTGTGTGTATACGGATCGCCTCGAAAGTTAAAAAAGCACTCGAAAAAAAAAACGAAAACGTTCCGCTCCCCACGTAGACCTCAAAGCTCGAGCTCGAGGAGCCGGCTCATTCTGGTGTGATGAATTTCTTGGGACCTGGGTTGGGCATCGCCAAGGACCTAAAAAAATGTAATAATAAAAGTTGCCGTCTGCCTGCGGTCTCTTTCTAGCGCTCGAACGTTGTGTGGTATTTTCGTATTTCGTCCATAGTGTCGAGGGCATGCAATGAAAACGCCCCACGTTGCGATTTCTTCGGCATTTTGTAAATTTAGTTTCTTCAGTGATAACTGTAATATAGAATATGACTTCTTTCGTAAAACTTTTGTGACGTCATTCGTGAATCTAAAGGGACAACCTTTAAATATTAATGGGCCTTGGTCTTTTTTTTAGTTTTTTGTTAATGTCATTTTGACGTTTGACGTTAAATTTGAATTTCTTTGCAGTTCATTGAAAAATTCAATAAATTTCATTAGCGATAGTTTATCACTTTTAGTTATTGTCGAATGATTTGTAAAATAATTGTAATTTTCGACTTGATTATATGCTGAATAGGCCTGTAAGTTAAGGTCACTTTAAATTAAACGTCAAAACTGTGTCATGCTAAACGTCACATTTATTGATTGCCAGAATCCTGGAAAAATCAACGTAAACAATTCGTGGGCGTATCAAAAACGGTATCGTATATTTATATTACGTAAAAGCGATAAATTAATTACAGTTACGCAAGTTGGCAAAGTCGTTTTTTGGTTAAATTTTGCTCGTCCATTCAATCGATCGCCGAGCGCGCGCCCCGTATTTCGGTGTGCAACCGACGCTCGCGCGGCGTCCACGAATCCCTCGCACTAATTTAGTAATTTCCCGAATCCATATCCATACCATACCCGGTCTGCGTGCTACGTCGACTCCTCGCTCCTCGCGTTTTCGTTTCGAGAGATTGCGCCGCAAGAATTCCTCCTAGTTCGAGTTCGTGTTCGTAGTAGTGGCAACGACAACTGCGCCGTTCGTACGTCGATCGGCAGCGCACGAAAGTAGCGATTCGAAGAGAAATCCGTCCCGTCGGGTCGAAATCGTCGAAAGAGCGCATTTATGTCGGTTAGCCTGTTGGAAAAGTCGGGTGAAAACGTCGAAAACCATGAAGTGTTCGATGTGAAATCGTCGCCTCGCCTTAGTAGTAAGGTCAGTATTGTTTGTTGTACGTTTCGCCAGCTCGAAAATCGACTGGTTTGTTTGTATTTGTGCGAAAATAACTGCACAAAGGAGCCATATGTCGCGCTCGATCGCTCCGCGTTCCACTTTTTAGACGATAATGGACGGCCGACTCGAATTAGATATGCGAAATTTTCGTGTTAGTATCGATTTTGTTGTTAATTCTGATTTTCCTCGAGCCTCGCCGGCATTTCTTGTGTATTCCGAGAAATGCCCCTTGCGCTGGTTTGCCAGCGTGTAGGTCTAGTCGTATCTCTCTCGCGCGAGAGACTTTTTTTTCGTGTTTCCGGCGTTCGGTCATTGATGTGATCTCTGTGGAATGTGGTAGGGCTGGCTGCTAGGCCGGCGAGGGATGGCGAGAGGCGAGGAAAGAAGGAATGTTGGAAATCGTGAATGGTTTCTGAAATTCCTGCCGACGTTGCCGTGCTCGTCTGTAGCGCTGCTTCGAGTGCAATTGTACTCGCCGTTGTCGGGTTTTAATGCACTTAACTGTTCGAGCAGTCGGTGGATCGGATTCGAAGAGAAATTCTGAATTCTGACCCCGTATGCGATGGCTGAAGCGGTTTCTCTGCCACTACAAAGCAACACTGCGAATTGCTCGATGGATATAACAATGGGGTCACTGTATTAATGCACAATCAAATCTCATTGATTATTTATCTATTATGCAGGAACGATGTTTCTATGGATAGCGCCAAGGAGTCGTACACTAATAATCAAAATTTTAGCATGGGTGGCTCCTATAAGGATTTAACACCAAGGCACTAAATAAGCTACCATAAGCTAACTTTAATTTCTTGGTACAACTGGCCTAATATAGTGAAAAAACGGCTGAAACAGACTAAATCTCAATATACCTAGTATGTATACTTACGACCAAAAATGTAACAGAAACATAATAGATAAGAACGATTAGATTCTAATTATTAGGTATAGTCTCCTTTATAATAATTACTATAAGGTAATGAATGTGAAGCTATTTTTATGGCCTATTTTGGTTAAGTTGAGTATCCTCGCTAAATAAATATTATCGATTCATGGGGCAAAGTACTTACTTCAGTAATGTAGCATAAACAATGAGGTCACTGAATCTTAATAACCAATCAAGTTTTATTATAATTTTATTTACTCCTTCACATTAACGATCACGTTTACTTTACTATTTTCCAACTTTTCTTCTATTTATAGATGCTATAATAGTTCTGTAATTCTGAGAATTGAGGAAAATATTCATAATTCCGTTTCTCCAGCAATGATATTTCTAGAGAATATGTAGAGATCAATACATCATTCCTCACAATGAAACTAGTTTCTCTACAAATGTAAAAAAAGCATTATTAGTTACATAGCTCATTAATTAATTTTTAAATTGTGCACATATTCTACCTAACCAACCCACAAATGCTCATTATTGTACGAACAAATGAGGTCACTATATATCTATAGTTGGTATTTTAAAATCAACGACTTCCTTAGTAGACAACCTAAGACTTACAATGAAAAGTTTTTGTAAAAACATGTATTAATTATAATATTTTAACTTGCAGATTTCATGCTCCTGAAGAGGCTGTAGACATGACTTCGATTGTAATACCTCACCATTCGACGAAATTTGATCAACCTGACAACGGCACGAAAGACAGAAGCTCCTACGATCATCACACACAAACCGTAGAGGAACCATTGAATTTCAAAATTTTCGAAGACAGATTGAAAACGTTCATCAATTGGCCCAACCAAGAAGTGTCTAAAATCGATTTGGCCAAGGCGGGTTTCGTGTATACGGGCGAAGATGATATCGTCATATGCCCTCTTTGTAAGATAGAAGGGTACCGTTGGGTATCTGGCGATGATCCGATGGCCGACCATCGAGTGTGGAACCCGGATTGCGCATTCTTCAGAGGCAACATAGAACACGACCATTCGGAGGGTACCAGCAGATCAGCGGATACTTGCGGTATATTCGGCGTCGACGAACTCCCTAATTCCACGCCGGAGAGCAATAAAATCAATAATCTACAAAAACTAGGAGTGAAGACGGGCAAAGGTCCGCATAATCAGGATAAAATCACCTACGAGAGTCGATTAGCAACATTCCAAAATTGGCCGAGGTCTATGAAACAACGTCCCTCCGATCTAGCAGAAGCTGGATTTTATTATACGGGAATAGGAGATCAAACTCTGTGTTTCCATTGCGGAGGGGGCTTGAAAGATTGGGAAGAAAACGACAATCCCTGGGAACAGCACGCATTGTGGTTCAGCAAGTGCGTGTTTGTTAATCTAAAAAAGGGCAAAGATTTTATAGAAGAGGTGAAGAATAAGGCTGATACCGAACTATCGATTCCGAGTACGAGCGGTCTCCAGAAAACCAAAGAGGAGAAAAGTGATAATAAAAGTGAATGTGTTGTAGAAAACGAAACGAAACGCGAATCCGAAGCGACTGAAAAAACACTGTGTAAAATTTGTTTCAAAAATGAATTAGGTGTCGTTTTCTTGCCATGCGGACATATCGTTGCGTGCGTAGATTGCGCAGCTGCTTTAAAGACTTGCGCGGTGTGCAGACAGCCCGTAGAAGCTGCGGTCAGAGCGTTCCTATCATAGATCTCATGTTGTATATATCCTTCATCTTTTATTTCATGCAATTATTGTTCAATTCACATTCAGGATCTAGTCAAGTTCGTTTGTTAGTTTCGTCAAAATCGATATCAAAATTTAATATGTCATTGAAATGTCAACAGACAACTACTTTCTTTAATGGACAAGGACAAGTAGATGTAGCATTAAGAAAACAAATCTATTTTTATACTAAGTACAAATTTTACATAAGCTTATTATTAGTTACACAAAATACGCTTTGTAGGTTAAATAAAATGAAATGCTTACATTTTAGACACCACACAACATTAACAGCTATAAGTCTTATCCTTTTAATTAATACTATTTTTGATCAGTTGTCCGAAATTAAATTATTTTCACTTAAAATTTTTCCAAAACTGACTAAGAACCTTATTAATATACTATGTTTGTGTGTATGTTCTTTAATAATAAAAATGTTTTTAAAAATACATATTTTGTTTTATTGCTGAATTAATTTAGAATAAGTTAATTTTAAAAAAATGTTTTTGCAACTACTGATGCAATTTCTGCTTATACAACAATAGCGTCTACTTGTTTTCTAGTCATGATCTAATTTCTAAGAAATCGATTAAATCGAAAAAAAATATGGTTTATTGGAATTTCATGCCATTGAATTTATTGATTATTTTAATTATGTTTATACCATAGACAAAATAATCTTTCTTTCTCTATGGTTTATACGTAAAAGACCTATGTTCAGTAAAAAGAAGAATTTGTAATTAACTGAATGAACACACTAAAAAAGGCAGAATTTATAGGAAGACCTGGAAGACATTATTTGACATTTGTCACAGTTGATTGTTGACATATTTGACGTTTAATTAAAAAATAGGTGGTAATTTGTTGTTATTTTATTATTATATTTCTCCATTATACAGTCAAAGTAAGTATTATAACTAATCCATTATAATTACTTCAAAATGCATTAAATTCTACTTAAAAAAGTCCACAAATTAAATCAAATAATTACCAATAATTTAAAAAATTGGTTTGCAGGAATATTAATGGAAGTAGAACATTCCAAGAAGCCTTACATTTATGTAAATAACGACTATGGAATCGAGCAAAAAATAAATATACCGTACGAGGATCCCATCAATGAATTGGTGCACATTTTGTTATTACAACATAATCTACCAATCTACGTTGAAAATGAATTAACCAAAAGTATTGATGAATTCGTAAGAGAAAAAAGCGCAGAATATTTCAATGAGGAATCAACGAAACTCTTAAACAACACAACAGACATTAAATCAAACTTGGAGAATATAACTAAAAAGTGGGAACAAATATTAAAACAAGAAATATCCGAATATGGGGAATGTCGATGTGCATCTGATGACGAATTATTCGCCACAGCTTACCACAAAATGGTCCACTCTCCGGCTCTCGAAACAATGCTCCATTTGGAACACCAGTATTCTCTAACAGTAAGACAGAAGACGGAAGAAAAGAACGCTCAAATACAAAAATTATCCGAAAGACAATCTAAAGAAATGAACGATGCTGTCGATAGATTAGAAAAAGACATGACCGAAGTTAAAATAAACGAACTAGTCGCCTCGCATTACGAAACACATTCCTTATTACAAGGTAAATTAAATAGCGAATTGGATACAATAAAAGAAGCGCAAAGAAGAGAATACAGGGAGTGGTTAATGCAAATGCTAGAACAAAATCAAACCACAAGTTCCCTACCTACCCCCAATTCCCCATTAACTCCTCGAGAAGTAATCATTCCGACTCACACTTCGAATATTGACCAACAACACCAATCTCCGATATTCGAAGAAAGCTTTACCATACATTTAGGCTCGCAATTGAAGCAAATGCATAACATTCGCATCCTATCCGGGAACGTTATGGATCTCTGTACAGTCGAAGACTCGTCCGAGCCAAAGCCTCAGCTCATACAAACCGCTTTAGCTCTATATTCGAACGATCTATCAGGTTTAGTTTTGCTGTCTGACAACAAGATCGGTTCGAGAGGTACCCAAGAATTCCAACAAGTCTGCCAGAAATCCACGGAGTTCCATTTCGCGCACATCGAAGACCAACTGGACAAGATATCGAACATCGCTCAGAAATACCTGAAGAGCGATCACAAGAACGAGAACAGGAACTCCCACAGCGAGTTACTCCAGCCCGGCGACTTCTACGTGACCAGGCATTCGAATCTAGCGCAAGTTCACGTCATCTTCCACATGGTAACGGACGATTCGCTGAGAGGAAACGACATCAACAGTCGACATCCCGTCGTGCTGGGTCTGAGGAACATCCTCCGAACGGCCTGCTCGAACGACGTCACCTCTTTAACGATTCCTCTGCTGTTGCAGTACGAGATGTCTGAAGATATGACGATATCTTGGTGTGAAAAACGAGCCGAGCTGGTGTTCAAATGCATCAAAGGTTTCATGATAGAAATGGCCTCTTGGGGAGGATCCGATTTGAAGAATTTGCAGTTTATGGTACCCCAAGGGATTTCGAATCAGGTATTCCAGTCATTGAGCGATATGTTGCCTAGGATATTTAAAGTATCTAATCCAAAAATATTACAATAAATTTTTATATAATTTAGTAATGACAGCATGTACTTGTGGATGCTCCTTACATGTTTTTAGTGATTCTAAAAGAGTCTCTATTGTATCGATAAACAAAGTTAAACAAGGTGTTTAAAGAATCTTTTAACTTTAAATGAGTTTAACTCAAGAAATTCTTTAAAAATCATCTCATAGCATATAAGATTAAACTACTATTTATATGATATACTTAATAATAATACACTTAACGAAACTATTTCTTATATATACTTTCGACTAATTGCAAAATTTTCAGTGTTTGCTCGGGCGATGATATTAACTTATCTGCGTGGGTTTGAATAGTGCAATCTTTGGCGATGCGGAAAGTAGCAGAATTCCCTTTTAGAGCTTTCATTGCATCCTCATCGGTGGTATCGTCTCCGACGAATATAACTTTTGCTTTGTCTTTCCAATCGGAGCCGAATTTCTGTTCTAAAAGCAGCACCGCTACCGTGCCTTTGTTCCAATCGACTTGTGGTCGGGCTTCGAGCGCCATGTGAGCGTTGCCCACTTTGAATCCGGCTTCTTCGATGATCTTCCGGGCGCCCGATTCGATTTCCGCACGTTTGCTCTCGGGGCATTCGCGGAAATGGAAGGTGAGGCTGGCGCCTTTGTTTTCTATCCAAGCGCCGTCTCTGACGACCGTTTCTTCCAGCTTTTTTACCATGGTTCTTACTTGCACTTCGAAGTCTTTGGGCAGCTTGTGCTCGTAGGTGGAGCCGTCCGGATACAGAACTTCCAGACCGTGATTTCCAGCGAATGTTAGGGTATTTATGCCGACCATGCTTTTAACGTTCAAAACGTTTCGGCCTGATATGATGGCTATGAAGATTTCGGGTATTTGCGCCAGCTTTTCCAGGACTTCTTTAGCGTTCGGTGGTATTACGGCCAGGTCGGGATGTTGGACTATCGGAGTTAAAGTACCATCGTAGTCTAGCAATATAGCTAAATTGGGTTTATCTTTTAAGTAGTCTGATAAATATTCAACGTAATCGTCGAATTTGCGGCCCATTTTTAGGAAAATTAATTATTTTTCACTGCAATTACCTGTACAATATTCGTCGAAGAAACTTCACTTATGTACAGTGTTCGATTAAGGTAAGGTAATGTTGAAATGTCATAAAGGTCGATCATCGATAATAAACATTGATAATAATTCGGGCTAGATTATTTTATTACATTTTATTTACAAATATAAGTTTGTTTTTAGAATTAAATTTGAATTCTTCCTCTTTTAATTAGTTTAATTGCCTCTTACTTCACGTGTCTCGAGTTAGCGGTTATGATTTTTTATTATATATAAAAGAAGAAGTAAATAACCTCACTTGTTCGATTTGACAAGGTCTAAATGTTAGTGTCAAAAGTGAAATGAAAATATTTTGATAAACAAGCCCAGGCTTTCCTAAAAAATTACCACCGTTCTGACATGTAAAACCGTAAATTAACCACAGCAGTTTTTTCTATGAACGAAAATCGTCAGTGAAATGCCTCAAATAAAGCTATCGACCAACGTAAATCCGGCCGTTGGGGACATGAGCGACAACGAAGTCTCCGGCAACGACTCGGAACGCTCGAATTCCAGTCGCGACAACGACGCCGTTCACGATTCCACCGAAGATGAGCCCGATTCGGACGACAGCTCCGAAATGGACGAAGGCGAGTGCGAAACCCGAAGGAACGCTTTACTCCAGCACGTTCAAGATCTCGAGAACCAGTTCGGGCACCTTCGAGAGCAACTCTACAGAGAAAGACTTTCGCAGGTGCGTGTTTTATACATTTATAAAATTCATATAGTATTAACACAACTAATTTGATTTTATTCATGTATTCGTAATGATTGTAGGTTGAAATGCAGCTCGCCGAAGTCAAAACTGGCAAGTCCCGTGAATACTTAATATCGCTTCAAGAGCTCCAAGACAACATGAGGATAAGAACTGAGGTGGCTGGTATACTGAGGCAATTGAGGCTTCAAAATATTACTAACCAATATGAGGGGGAAGAGCAAGCAGCCCAGCAAAATTTCGAAAGCGAAAAAAACCTGGCTTGTGATTACTATTACAGCGAATTAATGGATACTATAAGGAGACTGGAAGAAGACAGGCACAACAGCGAGATAAGTTGGGGAGAAGGCGGAGAATGGGGGTCCAGATCAAGATCGAGGTCAAGGAGGAAAGCAGTCACAGTGTCCGGTCCTTATATTGTCTATATGCTAAAACCTCAGGATATTATAGAAGATTGGACGATCATTCGAAAAGCTTTAAAAAGAACGTCCTGACACACGGATGTCAAATTCGCAGGTTTTTTTAATACTAATACATTGGAGTATTAAGTATGATTTAGTATATAAAGATTAAGATTATTCTTATAGAAATAAAAATTTAGTAATTTCATCAAATTACCAAATTTATAAATAAGATATTTGGCTTGTCTTCTGATAAATCGATATTGATTCTGTGTTTTAATTTATTTTATTTTTATTAAAATGTACTTTGGAAACGATTGTAAAAATACTACTTTATATTTTATTTAGAACATTCTTAAAACACTCGTAATATTTAAACATATTCACAGCATATCAAATAACTATACATATTTACTTTAGAATTGCTTTAGGTGTACTAAAAATTCATAAAGCAAAGGCAATTTTGCAACTGACATTTCTAGCACAGGAAGTTGCTAGTAGCCATAGTAGCTGAGGTCTCAAAATTGAAGAATAAAAGTTTTATAACAATACCGAATAATCATAGCAGCTAAGGTCTCACAGAGGAAAAGAAGAAACTTGTTTTTATAAAAAAATAAAAATACATTTGACATTTTTGAGTTTGTAAGTTACTCAGCTATTAATTTGTTTTAGTTAATAGATATGATTTGATATATTAAATTATATCGATGTAATTATAACCCTCCCAAATATAATATATTTTTAGTTGGATTTATCGCATTCGTAAGTAAATTGTTATTTAAATTGTGGGTTATGTTGTCGGAATTATTTTAGCTTTTGATATTCAAATTCGTTTAAATATTCAGGTAATATAATATTCGTCGTACATATAAGAAAATATGGCCAAAGAAGTAAGCAGTTTTGAAGATTTAGACAAAAAACTAGTCGATATTCTGGAAGATATCGTAAAACTTCATGATGAAACTAGCGATTTTTTGGAACCTCTTCGGCTAGAGCCCAACCAAAATTTGAAAACCATAGGCATTCCTCTAGCTAAATTATTGTGCTTCCTAAAAGGCAATGTATCGGTTTTCGTCAAAAACTTACACAAACATGTTCATTCTTGTGAAGTAGACAGTTCCATTAGTGCTGAAAGCAATGGTTTACTCGGTAACATGCAGTCCATTTTGTCCAAGTGCATAGGAAATGTTTTAATTTCGAAAGAAGGCGAAGAAGGAAAATACACTTATGCTAAGCAAGTCGATGCAAGTACCATGACAAGCCATATGGAAACAGATAAGAGCATTAATTGCCTACATTTGAAAAAAATGAACATATCCGATTCTGCTGAAACTACTGATTCACAATGGAAAGATACTTTACAAAGATCAGGTACGTTATTATATTTATTTCCTTTCATATATTCGTTAAATACAATTGTTTTAGCAAATAATGGAATTACTTACAATGCTCCGAGTACTGAGATAATAGAACAAATGGCTAGTATTTTCAATGAAGACACAAAAAAAGACCAAAATTCTAAAGAAGGCAAATCGGATTCTTTAAGTGTATATTCCCTTATGACAGAAAAAAATGAATCTGATGTTGAAGAATTGACTAATATATCGTGCAAAAAGAATAATATAGGTAACGATAGTCAGGAATTAGATTTTGCTTCGACTGACTCTGATGAAACAGACATTGATAAAAGTATCTCGAAAAATTGTCAGTCACCTCAGCAATCTAAAGAAGTGAAAGTATGCCTAAATCGCCTAGAGTCGCAAAGTAGTAGCACCTCGTTTGAATTCGATATCAGATGTGCTACAGGTAATTGTTATTTTTCAATATAACCTGAACATACATTTTAATTATGTTTTTTTTAGAAAGCCAAACTCCTCTGAAACCTAGTCAAATTATCTGCCAAGCTGAACTTAATGATTTAAATAAATTATTGGACACGTGCCTTAATAAACCATCAGGTAAGTAAAGTAGTATTTCTATGAAATGTTCTTTAATGCTTTTTATATTTCATCAGATTTATTAGACTGTACAATGGAAGAGTATCTTAACACCCAAGAAAATTCAGGTATTATAGCATTAAAATTATTATTTCACAGAATATGCAACTTTCTTTGTCAACAGTTAACGAAGGAGCTCCCCAAGCTACACAAGAATATCTTCCTACAATAAAAGTAGAGAAAGAAGAATCCCAAGATGAAAATGATACAGATCTTGAAGAGAATAAATCTAATGAAACAAACCTTAGCGAAACGTCAGCACTTATTAATACTGTAAAAAAACTAGAATCGGATAGTGAAACTGATGAAGCCACAAAAGCTGAAAAAATTTTGAAGTTTTACGAGGAACATTCGGAGCTCAGTAGCAGCCTTAGTGATTCGGAAAGGTATGGAATTAATATATTAGTCCTCATATTTGTAAAAATGAAGCACTTTGAAGTAAAAGGTAGGAGGATAAGGTTTTGCTCTGATCCACAATCATAATCTCCGCCTTTTCCTTGCAAAGAAACGCTTCGGATACATAAAGTAAATGGTACATACATTAGCGACAGTTCTAAATGTTTATGGAGCGTTATAGATTGATCTCGACAGTTCCAAATTATTCAAAACAGTTCTAAATGATTCTGGGGCGTTCTAAATGATTCAAAACAGTTCCAAAGGATTCTGGAGATAAGCTAAAACCTTTCGCTTTAAAGCAACAGCAGGGTACTCGAAGCTAAACCTCTTCCTTCACTTCTTTTTATGCATATATTTTGAAGCAATTTTTTCCTTTATTGAAAGCGAATGGTTATGCTTCTTTTTATAAATACGGTCTATGAATTTGTTTAATATGAATAATACTAACTAACAGATTATATTCTATTCTTATTGTTGAATGAATGCTCTAAGCTAACTTTAATAGAATTATGATTGTTTCAGTGATACAATTTCATGTGATAGTTCGATGCCTTCCGAAACAGAAAATGATGTACTTTTAAAAAATAATAAGATGGAGACGGATTGTTTTGTAGAATTAGAAAGGATTAATGTACCCCCAAAAATTCTTAATAAATATAACAAATCTTTGAGTGATAATATAGATTGGTAAGTTAGTGAATTGATATAAAATACGTCCAGAATTTTGATCTCTAGATAAGTGATCCATCACTTATTCATATGTTACCTAGAGTAGAAATAACAGCCATTAGAAGTATACTTAATACATTGAGTTAACGTATTATTTTAGGCTGTGCAATATCGATAACATAGAAGCAAAAAAACCTACATCTCCGTCTAAAAGAGTCCGAGCGAAGCAACGCAGGCGCGTTTCGTTTATGAAAGTTAGCTCTTCCAGCGATGCGACTTCGAGCGATGATGAAACCTCAGATAGGACAGTCAGCCCGCTTTTGAATGATTCCGTGAGGAAAAAACTAGACGACGTCATCGCTTCCACTCTTTGTCAGAATTTGAAGGAATCGAGCAGTTACGATTCGGATAGTTCGGTAGAGGATAAAAAAAACAAAACCGATAAAAAGAGGCTGGTTAAGGATAAGGTAGTTGGTGTGTCGAATTAAATGGAAAATCGCGTATTCATATTAATAAAATTGTAGCCGAGAGAATTAACTGAGGAGGAGAAGCGGAAGAAAGCGTGGAAAAACGATCCGCTGTTGAGAGGAAACTTTTCGGATTCCGATAGTGATGCATCTTGCAATAAGAAAACTACCAAGAAAACGAAAAGGTAAACTGACGTAACTGTTATTTTTTTAACTAGCAAGTAACCATCGGTTTATTGATATTTTTAGCACTAGCGATGATGATTCTTCATTCAGTGTAAAATCGGATGATTTGAAATGCAATTCAGATTCCGATTCGAACGATTTCCAGGAAAAGCCTAAATTCAAACAAAAACAAAGCCCGATAAGTCCCGTTAAACAAAATACTCGGATGGATAGTGATTCTAGCGATTCGGATAGTGATGTGCAATTGTAAGTTTTTAACACACTAATGGTGTTCATATTAAAGAGTTGCTTTCAAAAAGCCAACTAAATTCTCAAAAATCTAAAAAAACTTAAATTTTTATATAATTGTATTTATTATTAATTTTGCGTTTCTAGCGTATCTCCGAAGAGGAATAACTCGAACGAAGCAAGTAAAAATAGCGATGCGAGCCCTCAGAAAGGTAGAAGAGAAATCAGATCGATACTCTCCGATGGAGATCTAGCGAAGGAAACTAAAGAGGCTAAAAAGGCCGAGATGGATAGAATCGAAAGACTGAAAATACGTAACAAAAATTTAGACATGTTATCTCAATCCTTTTGCAGCCAATCATCGGAATTGGTAATATTCGAATTGATCAACTCGTACGATTTATTTTTTACATTTTTTTTATACAGGAGATACTTCCTTTGGTACTAGACATTGACGAAAAAACGGACAAAACGGTGCAAGTTAACGAGGTCCTTACGAAAAAATTGAAACCTCATCAACGCGAAGGGATAAAATTTATGTGGGACGTGTGTTACGAGAGTTTGGAGACTTTGAAGGAGAACTCGGGCTCGGGATGTATTTTAGCTCATTGTATGGGTTTAGGCAAGACGTTTCAGGTAAATATTTAACTTATTAGCAGATTTGAAATTGTTTACTTCAACAATTTTCCTCAGGTTCTATCTTTATGCCACACTTTATTCGCTTGCGAAGAAACGAGTACGAAACACATTTTGATAGTGTGCCCTTTATCCACCGTAAATAATTGGAGGAAAGAAACAAAATTCGCATTCGAAGGTGTTCAACTAAATTTCAGGTTTTTTACAATAAGGTGAGTGAATGGACAATTCGAATGCTGGATAGTTTTCTACATTAACATCGTTTCTAGCGGCAACAAATGCAAGAAAATGGAAGACCGATGCAATATTGTTAAAAAATGGTATTTGGATAGAAGGAGTATATTAGTTATGGGATACGAGTGCTTCGAGAACCTCACAAACGATACGAAATTAGATAAATTCAGTGACAAATGGAAAGGGCTAATGCTGGAATATCTGTGCGACCCAGGTAGAAATGATAGGAAAAATAATGTTATTTTTCCTATATGCATACTTTAAAGTATATAAGGTTATAAGTATTCTCAAACTCGGTCGAGTAAGGAGAGCAGATTCTTCACTTGATCGACATAACAGCCAGAGTATTTGACTCAAAAAATATTGGTGGTAGAAACTTTATAAAACATGATTTTTTTTTGTTCCACAGGTCCCGATTTAGTAGTCTGCGACGAAGGGCATTTAATAAAAAATAAAAAAGCTCTCCGAACAGTGGCGTTACACAAAATCAGAACAAGAAGACGCATCGTATTGACTGGTACGCCGCTGCAAAACAATTTAGAAGAATGTAAGCACACTGGATTTACTGAGTACCATATTCGTACATATTCTATTACATTTTTAGATTTTGAAATGGTCAGTTTCGTCAAACCGAATCTGTTAGGTAACAGGAAGGAATTCAAGAGAAATTTCGTGAATCCGATAAAGAACGGCCAGTACGAAGACTCCAACGAGCACGACATTCGAATTATGAAAAAAATGACGCACGTTTTGCATAAATTACTCGTCTCCACAGTGCAGGTAATTTTATTTCTATTCCTTGGTCAATATGGATTCGAATTTCACCTATACTTGACGCGTTTGGAAGACGGAGTAATAAACACATTAATCAGCCGAAGTCCACCCGGGGTGTAAACGAGTCGCCGATATCACTCACTCCCCATTGGCCGGCCTAAAAGTTGATACTCTGTGAATGGTTTTGAGTAATTGTAGGCGATGTGCGAAATTTCGATCGATCGAATCGATCATTGTACAGGATTTTGCCGTACAGGGGTAGGGATATTTTGGAACCGCCTGACATTTTTATTACTCCGTCTTCCAAACGCGCCAAGTATAGGTAGTTTACTATTCTTTATTGTCGATTTGATTTTTAATAATCTATTAAATCGTTTTTCATGCTATTAGATAGAACCTAAAAATTAGTATACAAACCCTTTTTCTCGATTTTTATAGTTGATTTCATATTGTTGAAATCATATGTAATTAAATTGCAAAGCATACATACATGATTTCCATTAAAATATAAACTATCACTACAAACCTTCTTCATTTAACAGTTTATTTATAAAACTTTACTATCTTTAACATACAGGGTGGCACATTAGTATGGAAAAGCTCAATACATAGGTATATCAGTTATTGTAGAAGATATCAAAAAACTTCATTAAAGTACTTGCATTCATCTTAAACATTCCCTATACCTAAAGTTAACACTTTTCGAGATATTCAATTTAAAAAAAAATTAAGCTTTCTTTTTTTTAATAATCGAAGTACACATTAATTAAACACTATCTGGTAAAAATTGTCTGGGTACAGGTGCCACCCTGTATAAACTATCTTTATTTGTCTTACGACTCATTATATGAAAGAAACACACGCTAATGCGAGATTCTGTATATCTTAGAGAGTCGAGGACACTGAATTGGAGATCTACTTACCTCGTATGGTCGATTACGCCGTGTACGTGCAACTAAAACAACCTCAAGTGGACCTGTACAATTCCTATTTAGACGGCACCGGGTATATGAAGAAGGAGTTCCTCAAAGATTTCATAACACTACAGCTCATTTGCACGCATCCCCAGTTACTAGAGTTCAATAGCATCAGAAGGAAGAAGAAGATCAGAGAGAAAGATGTGATAACGAAGGAGGACGATCAATTTGTGGGTAACAATGACAAATGGTGGAAAGGAAAATTGCCTGAAAGTGCTTCACAAAAAATCGAATACGGCAGTAAGTTGCTCGTGCTCAAGGCCATCATTGAAGAGTGCGAAGCTGTAGGAGATAAGTTGTAAGTGCATTAGTTGTTTTCACGATGACGTACTTTGTATTTATAATATGTTTATTTGTTTTAGATTGGTGTTTTCTCAAAACCTCAGCGAATTAGACCTCATTGAGCATTTCTTAAAAAAGTTAGGTACTGAAAAGAGCAAGACTTGGACGAAAGATATCGATTATTTTAGAATGGATGGAACCGTTACGCCCGAACAAAGATCCTACATTTGCGATTCATTCAATGATAAGCACAGAAAATCAGTCAAGTAAGTAGGAACGTCGATCCGAATCGATTAAAGTAGATATAACACATTAATTTAATTTCAGATTATTATTAATGTCGACAAAAGTAGGTGGCCTAGGACTAAACTTAACAGCAGCCAACCGAATAGTCATCATGACAGTGGCGTGGAATCCTTCTTACGATACTCAAAGCGTGTTTAGGGCTTACAGATTCGGTCAAAAGAAGAAGGTGTACGTATACAGATTGATAGCTCTGGTAAGATTTTTTTGTTAGTACGTTTGAAGCAATATTTAAGGCGTTTAATACGTAGGATACAATGGAATCGAAAGTTTACCAACTCCAGGTGACGAAGTTGGCTATAGCGCACAGAGTGATCGACAAACACCACATAACGAGGCACTACAAAAGCCACGATCTGGAATTGTTTTACAGTAAGCTTGATATAGATAGCGAAAGGCCTACTCCGAATGTTCCAGAAGATGAGATTTTAGCTAATGTTATATGCCAGTTACCTTGTGTTTATAAGTAAGTTTCTATTAGGCCCACTCATTTAATTGAAATTAAAATCGTTTTTTTTTGTCAGATATCACGAGCATAAAGCCTTATTAGCTGATAGACCTGAAGATAAATTGAGCGAACAAGAGCTTGCAACTGCGTGGGAAGACTTTAAGAACAATAAAAACGTTTTTGAACCTGCGAATATGGAATTGCCATTACATACTCCGGGAGCGACTTTCGGCTGGTCTTATAACTTAGATACTGGGTAAGTTAAATGGAACCTAATTAAATCCTAATACCTATACAGGGTGTAACTAACGCCGAAAAAATTTAAGGGGTGATTCTGTGATGAAAATTAAGGGGTACTTGGTATGAAATGTTTTGAAATAAAAAACGATTTTTATTTTTGGTTGGATTTTGTTGGCTTGGCTTGCAATACATTTATTTTTTTTTCTCGTAAGTTTTTGAAAACACTTGTAGTGATAAAAAAAGTTTGTAAATAAATTAGGTTTTACAGCCATATTTTTCAAAAGAGGAATGTTCAAAGAAAAAACGTCTTAGTTAGGGTTTGACTATTTCAACCACTTCTAAGCATACTTCAGGGTTGAAAAAATTTCAAAATGTCAAAAAGAAAAACCATTTTTTTTTCAATCTTCGAAGGTATAACTCCGGGTTTAAAAAAAATATACCAAGTACCCACCTTAATTTTCATCAGAAAATCACCTCTTATTTTTTACGTGTTATTTAGATTCACCCTGTATATTAATTAAGTACTGAAGTATTATTAAATTTGTTTCTCCAGCCCTGCCAATCCATATCAATCAGACGCACAGCCTTCTACGTCAAGTGCAATGCATGTTCCGTCTGTTAATAATAATCAAATGTCTGCCACACACACACTTTCACCTGGGATTTATCCCAATTCGAGAAGTAATCAAATTCCGGCTGGTGGTATGTTAAATAGGATACTAAACAATGCAAGAGGCGATGAAATGGTGAATTCGGTTCAACCGAGACCAGGTATTGCCGTCGAGAATTTTGTGAATGGGGCCAAAAGGACATTGTTTGGCAAACATAAAAATGATGAATCGAAAAGGATGAGATTAGTTGACGGCAATGCGAAACAGCGCTTGCGGTACGATGAAAATCAAATCGAGAAAATAGATTTAGTTGAAGATGATCCCGTAACGGATAATGAAGGTAAATTAAAATTACGTATTACTTTATAATATTTTTTATAACACGTGGGCTGCTATAAGCATCGCCCTGCTCTTCAGTTAAGGAATTCCTATTTTCTTCTTTAAAAAGTCAAGTTTTTCGGATTCAAACTTGTATAATTTTGCACATGGTTGAATAAAGGAAAATCCTGACTTTTATTAAGCAGCTAACGTGTTAAACTATATGAGTAAGTGCAATTATGTTTGCAATGTGGTCAATTCTATGAGTTGAACAAAGAAAAATTATTAAAATAGCAGTGGTTAGTGTGACAAAGTTGCAATCCTACAATATCACTCTTTTTCCTTTATATGAGACTAATGGAAGTTGTCTTTTCATAGACCATATTGCGTACAAATTTGCACCTATATGTATATAAAATCTATTAATTTCAAATTCTTTTTTCAGATGTTATTATGCTAAATTAATACTGGTCTATTGATTATATAAATACATAAACAGCGCAGAAGCGTGATCGTTTTCTATATTCCAAGAATTTTATAATTTTTTAAAAGTATTAATATAAAATGGTTGTTTTTTTTTGGTGTATAATTTCTATAAGTACATTTTTCACATATTTTAACGTTCTGAATTTAATCTAAAAATATATCTTTTCTCTTTTTATAAAGGATTATTCACGGATGACGTTAATTAGAGCTGTGAATGAGTTCCTAAGGAGTCAGGAACGAGAAAATTTGGCACTGGGGTAAAGTAAATTAATGTAACTTTCATAGTTGACTAGCTGGTTATATTTTACTGCGTGTCAGTGTAATGTATTTGAGTGTTATTGAAATACATTTCATTGTCCTAATTATAAAAGCCATAGCAGTCCAAAATTAAAAATACCAATTTTCATTTAAACAAAGAAAGTCGACAACTATTTTCGATACAATTCATAAGTGACCTATAATCGAGCATATTTAGGAAAAACTGGGAATAGTCACTTTATCTTGGCTCTGCATGTTCTAGTTCCTTACTCTTCATGAATACTTACAAGCTCTAACCAGCGTCTAACCCAACGTGAATAACCCAAAATTTTGTACTTTTATAAATGTTAAATATCACAATACCTCTAAAATGTAAATATCACATTATCCGAGAGATCTAGATAGACTATCAAATGTGACTACCGTCATAATCTTCTGATCTCTGTTCGGGAACTTCCTCCACATCCTCGATCAATTTTCCATAAGTAGTAGGACGTAAATTCTCCAAAACTATAACTATCCTACAAAACATAAAAAACATCCGTGAAACTAACGAGCATCAATATGAAACAGACAGCACAGCAATAATTGCCTTACTATAACATAGTCGTAGATAAACGTTTTAAAACTTACACAATCAGAATTGCGCAAGTGCCGCTTATACCGGCCGTAACGAAATTAAAAATCGCAGGGTTCGTATTGACGGTGGAGTTGTAAATTAACGTAAAAAACGGCGACGAGGCTATTCCGCAAACCGATTGAACGACCATTATTAAGGAAAATAATTTCGCAATCTCATCATTGGGTACCAATCTAGCTAACAATGTTCTCATTTGCGGGCTTATTATTCCTGCCAAAAGTTTAACGAAAGCGGCTGGAATTATGTAAAAAACACCATTAGATTCAAATACAAAATAAACTAATGCTTCACTCATTTGCCAAATCGATTAACTCCATAAAATAAGAAGTTATACAGTATATACAGGATGTCCCTGGATGGAGTTACATCACGTCTCGACAACTCGATCCACTGTATTTTCTATACAGTACTAATAGTATATTAGTATTTATTTTTTCATTTCAGTTTTCATACAGTTAGAAGTCAATTGATTGCTTTAATATTAATAAAATGTAATAAAACTCCGATAGTAGTCGATTAGGCAAATGAATCATTCAAATATCGATCGCACTTACAAAAATAAATGTCCCTGGAACGCGTCGCTAATCCTCTAACCAAATACCCATTCATTTGGGAGATAAAACCCATTAATACGGCCACAGATTCCGTAACTCGCAACCATTTGTGTATTACAACGGTACCGAATATACCTCCGAATATGAAAAACAAGCTACTTATGCTGGTGTACCAGGTATATTGCTGTAGCGACCAATTGAATTTCGATCTCAAGAATAGAAACGTCTTGTTGCCAGGCGACTCTTCGAAAATATATAACGTTATCGTAAGGGTGATTAAATAAATTATCGCTCTGTTATAGTTTGGACGTTTCTTAACAAACACTTTTACATATTCCTTCAAATTAAAGGATTTTAGTACATCTTTTACTGTGGTTTCTTCCTAAAAAAGAAAATATTGGATTGATTAAACCGGATTAAGCATTAATGAGATACATAAAGCATGTCTAGCAATGACGACGGAAGAAAATAATAAATTGCGTAAAATAAATGGAATTGATTCATGAATGTCACAGGGTAAAATAATCTGTTCCCCCATAGATGCGATGAGAACTGAATTATTTAACTGTACCTCATTGTTAATATTTTCCAAAGATTCAGGTACAAAGAAAATAGTGTATAAAATAGCCAAAGTAACAATTCCTCCGGATATAGCATATACAGACCAATAATTGGTTGCGTAAAATAAGTATGAACTACAGATGCTTCCACAAAGTATACCTAAACCTATCGTACCTTCCAAAAAAGCCATTCTAAAAATACAGAAGGCTTTTAAAATTTATTAGCCAATTTTATATCTTCCCTCACCTTACTCCTCTAGTTTCTTCTGTTGTAACGTCAGTAATATATGATATATTGGCGATCATAAACGTAGAAAAACCTCCTGTAAGCAGTGGTGGTATCAACGAAATCATAAAATACCAGGGTGATATGTTCGGAAAATAACTGAATACAGCCATAATTACCGCACTAAAGGCCATGGCTAAAAAGATTAAAGCAAATTACAAAACGTCTATTGTTTATTAAAAACATATACCTATGAGAGGAGCGAGCATAACAGGCTTCCTTCCATATTTATCAGATAATTGTGCGGTAAAGATACAAGTGACAAGACCGATAGTTTGTTGTATTACAGACGTAGTTGTATCTATAATGTTAACAGTCGGTTCCACAGCCTTTTCTAAATCCTCTATGGCTTTATCATTGGAATTACCCAATAAGGCACATTCGGTTTCATTGTAGCCCAAAATCAAATAACAAGTTCTGTATACCATTAAATTCGTTTGCACAGGTCCTGTTAAAAAACGTTTTCGAAAAAAAATCATCTATTTCATACTTGTAAAAATACTAAATAACTCACCCAGTAATTCTAAGCCAAAAATACTTAATAAAATAGGTATTTCTATTGTTGGGAACCGACACATGTTTCTGCAAAAAATAACTCAGTAATATATTATAATCTATAATGTTTGCTATCAAAATACTTGCATATGATAATGATAATAAATTACATAAACGTAAATACTCTATGAAATCGAATATTCTATTTCCTGGTTTTTGTTAGTGATACAGTGTAACATTGATAAAATTAGAAATTACACTGTTGCTAATATAATAAAGATAAATTGTGTAGAAAGGAAATTTCTTTGTGTAAACACACTTGAAAGTATACATAACAAAACTGAATCGAAGTTACTGTAGAGATACAAACGAAGGTCAAGATTTTAAAGAAATGTAAAATACAATAGATGACTAAACAAACTTTTCATATAGAAAATTATCAATGACTAATATTTGTTGTTATAATTAAAACTTATGATTAAAAATCTATACTTACAATAAATGTAGAAAAATACTATAATGTAATACTTAAGTTACTTATTTACATCTTGCTTTAATAATTTAATAAATAAATATAAATAACTAAAAAATAATTTGTTTTTGAATAACTCCACTTCCATCATAACCTTATTTTTTGACATTTCTTAAATAAATATTTTTATTTATCCGAGGCCTTGGTTGACTAAACAATTCAGCTATATGCTTTTTAACCGTATAGCTCCTTTATCTCTTTCAGGATATAAGAAAAAAGAGCAAATTCTGTTACGCAATTCTATTTATTTTTGAGTTCTGTTTGTTCCGAGCACGAGTTAACAAATGACGTAACATGTCATGTCATGTGTCGAAAACGTAAATCCAAATTTCAATTTCAGTGAAGTAAAAAAAAATAGTTTTTATATATAGATATTCGTAATGAATGGGCAACAATAAATCAAAGCACCTTTAAGGATACATTATCTAGTCCTGTGTGAAGGCTCACCGAATAAGCTCGTGTCATTGTAATTAATCCACCCATTTGGATATTGATTGATATGGAATTAGCTTTCCTTTAATATTTAAATCTTCCGGAATCATGGGAGCGAACAGCAGCAAAAAATTGGCGGCGAAATGTTCATTTCTATCCAAAGACGAGCAATTAATCGTCAGCAATTCGTTCAAGCTCGCCAGCAAGAATTCCGAAAAAATCAAAGAGGATGAACTAACGGTGAGTTTGCTAATCGTACAGCAACAGCTGGGGTTTTCAACTTTTGAATTTGCAGAAAATATGGGGCTCCCAGATGGACGCGCGGTTTCTACAATATTTAAACAATTATTTATTCGGAATGGGGGAACAAAAACAGAGCACAGTAGATCTGGAACGATTTGCTGAACTGTTTGTGTTCTGTACAAGAGGTACAGTGGATGAAAAAATCAAAGTACTTCTAACCTCTTTAGGGAAAAATGAAAGCGAATGCAATGAAATACCGTACTTGCTAGTAAAAGAGGTAACTTCATTTGCTTACCTCGAGTGTATACTTTCAATAACCTCTCTAATATTGTAGTATGTGGAGAGCATAGTTGCTTCCTACATGAAGATTCAAAAACTGAGCAACAACAGGCAATACAAATCGTGGTTTTCGCGCGGTTGCTTTACTTTACCTCAGAATATCCAGAGATTAGCTGAAAGCCTCACCTACGAGCTTGCCACGGGAGAAAATTTGGATAAAAAATCATTAGAATTGTGGTTACAAGGATCAACGTTACTAGGACAATTACTATTGTTTGTCTCGATGTATTTATTCGGTATTAGTCATAAAGAAAAAGGAGGAATTCCCAGTAACGAAAAGACAGGTAGAATTGATCTAGTTATACACGTTTAACAAGGAAATATTGGATAAATTTGTTGCAGGCCAAGCTCCCGACGAACACGTGAGCTCCGTGAACGAAAAGGAAAGGGATAGAAGCCTGATTCCGTTTTGTAGAGGTTTAGATTTAATGCCTTCGTATCCGAGCATTTTGGATCTCAATCAAATAGTATTCATAAATTCCAATCTTCCGCAACAATACCAATTGGAATGGAGATTTTTGTTTAGTTCCGAAATACACGGGGAATCTTTTTCGACTTTGATAGGTATTACTAATTCTCTTGATAAATGTTATAACTTGATATGTCGACTCGTCAAAATTGAGATTCCAGTACCACCAGGTTCCTCTCGTTGAAATCTGGAAGATGATAAAATATAGCAGTAAAAGTTTAGCATGAAATAACTACTTACTGAAGAGATTTGGTTCAATTTCGGTTTGTTTTTTCAGTAATTCAAACTTCAAATAGCTCGTAAAATTTACTAGTCTATTCATATATCAAATATGGACGATGTAAACAAAGAGTAGCGTGTGATCGGTGCTTAATCGGTCACGTGTTTGCCAATTCTCGCAACGCTATTGGGTGAAGGTGGTTCAAATGCACTGATCACACCCTAGTTATTGTTTATATCGTTCATATTTGAAATATGAATAGACTTTAAGCTAATAAATTCGATATATCAAGTTAAGGCCTCTATCCACATAACGATTTTCTATACATAACAATCGTTCTTTATATATTCTCTTAGGTAGAATAGTAAATCAAGGACCATCCGTTCTCATTGTCGAAGAAAAGAATGGGTACATGTTCGGCGGATTCGCTCCCGGCAACTGGGAATTAAATCCGAAATTTTTCGGCGACGACAGCAGCTTTCTATTCACGCTTGCGCCGAGAATGAGAATATTTCCGTCTACAGGGTACAACCAAAACTTCCAATACCTCAATTTACACCAGCAAACTCTTCCCAACGGAATGGTAGGTCCGAATAATTAATTGGCTTTTTTTGAGAGGTTGTCCAATGCTACAATAATTGGTAAAATTGTTGATATTTTGTTAGGCAGCGATTATTACAGACGTATAGTTTGTCTCAAGGCACTTGGGAAAAATGATTTACGAGTTTAGAGATCTTAGCTGGTCGAAGTATTTGCCGAGTAAGCAGTGCTCTAGCATTAATTGTATACCAATAATTGTTAAATATACACATACAAAAGCATCATTTTCTAAGTCTTTGCCTGGAAATACTGTTTACTACTAGACCCAACTATTAAGTAGTGTGTTAAGTGTTATTAAGTACTTAGTCAATTGTTATAATCTCTAAATTCTCGCCCTTTTGTTCCTAAATATCTTGACACAAACTATACACCCTTTTAAAGAGAAAAAATTAATGCAAGCAAGACATAATTCATGGAAACTTGTTTATACTCGCACTTTACATATGCATATTTACTATCCAATTATACCATAATTTAAAAGAGCCATTTACTTACTATTATCGACAGCAACATTTGTAACTTATTAACTGTTATAATTAATGTTTAAAAAAAGGCTATGGGCGGCCAGCACGGTTACTGTGGCTTGTGGATAGACAGCGAGTACGGCCAAGGGCAGAGCAGCCCTTCCTGTACGACTTACCAGGGCTACCAGCAGCTGTCGTCGGCCAAGGAATTCACGTTTCGCCATTTGGAAGTGTGGGGTATCGGCCAGCCGCCGCCGACGCCGCAAGAAAAGGGCGAAAGGGTGCAAGGCGTGGCGGGCACGACGGGCTTCAGCGTCCTAGACGGTAATTCGGAGGAAAAGGTTATGTTACAATTGGCCGGTAAAACTATGCATAGCCAAGGTCTTCGAGAACCGCAAGAAGCTGATTAATCGGTGGGTAATCGATTACTATGAGAAATATGATCGAAAGGAGTTCGGAAATTATTTTTTATAACTGATCAAACTGTAGAAGATTTATAAGATTTCACATGGGTACATATTCATATTTAAAAAAAATGTACTAGTCATGTTACGTCCGGAAATAGGGTAGGGGGGATCGCATGGAGCATTTATCACGCATTGTTTTACTATAAATATCATTCTATACCAAAATACCAAGTGTTTTCTGCACATGATGTGCCACGAGTTCAAACTAGACATGCTATATTGTGTGTTGTAAATCCTTTATTATATACAATATACAATGAATAAAAACCATCAACTTTTCAGATCGTCAATATAAAAAAATACAATAAAAGTATGTTTAGTTTTTCATACAATATATGGATAATTTTTATTTTTCGTGGTACATCCTGTATAAAGGTTGTAAGTTATTGATTTATGTAAATATTATTTCCTACAAAATTTCTAAATAATAAGATTGTTGAATTAAATATATTAAATATACGCATAATTAAATAAAATAACTAAAGTAAATATTCCTAATATTTCATCTTTTAAATCTACCGGCAATACATACGTAATTTACCAAAGAAGAGAAATATGGTGAATAAAATCAGCAGTATTGCAGTTAAAAAATATACCTATACATATAAAAGTCATACACTATCATATTTTAAAACTTTTAACAGTTTGCATTGTTTGTATACTAAAAATGCTTTTTCCAAAGTGGATATCTTGTAAACTTTACCCCCTATAAAATACAACACAGAGTCATATAAAGACGTATTTAGTAAAATTACCCATAGATTCATATTTTTGTATTTGTTAAATGAAAGGTTTAAATTCCGTAAAGTAAAATTTTAACGTAGAATTATTGTAAAAGATTTCTTTAAAATAATTACCGTATTATACAGTTGATGTAACCCCGTATGTTATGTCGTACGCATTTTAATTAATTGTTATATATTTGCGCTTTTCCATATAGATTTATTAAAATAGTTTTATTTTGCTAAGTAAAATGTTTTTGTGAAATTAGACTGATTTAAATGTTCTGTTGTCATAATTTTTTCTGTTCATATGTTGATTTTCACATATATTTTTTGGAATTGTTACTTATGAATGCATTTATTTACAAACATAATAACAAAACGATATGATAATGCAATATGCAATGACACAAATGATATACATTAAATAAACGCTAATCTTGCTAAGAAAACCCGAATTTTTAAGAGAATTTGAATTGTAATTACACAATAACCTGTAGACTTCTACTTGTGTAGAATCCAATCCCTTGGTCAATTTGATTCAATTATCCCATGGGATAATTAAATGATGACCAGGGAATTGATATTTGTATAAAACGCCGACACGAACTAATGCACAATAACTTTTTTTTAAATATTTGTCCACGATGTGCCAAAGTCATCACTATACTACATGTTATTACCTTATATATTATATTAAAAATTGTCTATTTTATGGAGCACTATTTTCCATTGTTATTAAAACCCAAATTCTTTTTCTCAGAAATGACTGAATTGTAATACAATATCTTTGCGTAGACACAAACGCCCTTTTATCATATTCTTGTTGGGTAGTATTATTATTCAGCTAAAGAGCCGATTCTTTCTTTAATCACCTTATTAGTATTTTAAAAATAAATGTGATATCCCTTTTTGTTCATCGTCAATAAAGAGTATAAAACAAATCGTGTTAGTTGATTGAACCCAATGAAACACCACAAATTAAATGCAAAATATAATAAAAGAACAAATAACGAGTAATGCAATAATCATCCATAGGTATAACACAAACCAACAAGTATAAAAAAAAACTAAAAAAAACGAATGTGATCGATAACTAGTATTTCGAAAAATGCTACACTTTGAAACGGTACGCCAGTATACCGGCCGTACCCAAAGCTACTGCCGCTCCAAGAGTTCCCCAAAAGGCTAGCTAAAATGATTATTAATCGTTTACTCGACTCCGTAGGCAAAAACGTATCTACTTTAAACCGAAATTAATATACTCACTCTACTTCCACGCGCTTTCTTTTTACGTTTATTTACATCGCCGGTTTTCGCCTTTCCGTTGAACATTCTCCTCGCCAACTCCTTTTCGCTGGTCTTTTGCTTATCAAGCAATTTCGTTACTTTGGCTATTTCCTTCTGAATCTCGGCATCGTTCGGTGCCAGTTCCTTCGCCTTCAACAAACACTTCATAGCCGTAGAAAGGTCGTTTTTACCTATAAATACCTAAAGAAACGCGTTAAATACTGAACAATCTCTAAACTACCAATTACCTTCGCTTTTCTAAAATGCGCTTTAACGTTGTTCGGCTGGCATTTAAGTACGATTTGCAACGAACTCAAAGCGGCATTGTAATTCTCCATTTTTATTTGTGCCGCCGCCATGTTGTTGCACACGCTTATACGATCCTCCAAAATGCTTTGTAGATCGGAATCCAATATTTCGCTTTTTTCATTATCGTTTTTCGATGCTTGCTCCCCACCTTCGACTTCGTCCAAATAGTCCAAGGCCCTTCTGTAACACTGGATTGCTATGTTGTTTTCCCCGCGAACGTACCACCAGTTTCCTCGTTCTCTCTTCTTGTTCCTATGAAATATTCATAATAGTAATCAATAAGGAATTGTAGTAATCAACGCCTGATAATTTAACGCACTTACTCCACTCTATTCTACTCTACTCCACAGAGTTCTATTCTAATCAACTCTACTCTACTAGATAAGGGAATGACTGAATAAATCTTACCCTTTCTGCCTTCTTTCGCCAATAGTCATTGAATCGATCACATCTTCGGGTTCTACTTGTACTAATTCGACATCGTAAATAACTGTTGCATCAGGAGGGATATCAGAGGCTAAACCTTTTTTAGAGAATGCTAGTCTGGGCTCGATTTGTAATCTACATTTTTCGCCGATATTCATTAGGCCCAGGGCTACGTCTAATCCTTGTATAACCTAAAAGAAGAAGAGGTCTTATATGAAATGTCTGCTGTACAAAATGTGGTTGTCTTACGTCTGATTCTCCTAAATTTAGTTGGAAATTACTGGCACTTTCGACTACAGTTTCATCTTTGAGATATAACGTGTAGTTGATAATACATTTTTCGCTCCTCTGAGGCCTGCTGTCGGGTTTACCCTCGGTAAGGAGTTTTTTCATAATGGCTCCGCTTCCCAAGAGATCGACCCATTCGGGTTGAGGTTCCGGAATCTCTTCTACTTCAGCGGGCTTTTCATGCTCATATTCTTCATTATCGGTTTCCGTTTCATTTTTAATAAACACCTCATTTTCAGTTTTTTGCTGTTCTAATGAAGTTTCTAGAACTTCGGAATTGTCGACGTGTTTCTCGCTTTCGATTAACGATTCGGACATCTTGATGAAGTTATTTAAACAATTTTGCAATTATCAGTCTGAAAACTGCGATTAAAAACGCTAATTAATAACTAATGGAAGAAAGTCCAATGGATTTCGAATTATAACCTAATTGTGCAAGATTGCAGGAGGTCCTTTTTCGAAAAGCGATTTAATTAAACCAAATTACTTACTGCACTTTTAGGGTTTCATTATTTTTTGCTACAGAATTTATTATTTCTTTATCAAAACTGAAAATTTATTTCTCTTCGATTTTAAACTAAATTTTTGACAACTTGTAATGACAGTGACACATTGACGTCATTGACAGAATGAAATATCATTTGACATTCGTTGAAATTGTTTATCACTTTCTTTTCAAACGGATTGAACAGAGATGAGAATATTCAAAGTGAAATTATTTCTTTATTGACAGATCAAAGATTATGCACAGCGCCGTATTCGCTCTTTTTCATCAATTCAGTAAATTGAACAGCCTTATCTCCGATAACAAAATAGATAATCATGATGTGTTTCAACTCTATTATCTCTTATTGCTCTCCTTTGAAAATTTAAATTGTACTTATGCAAAATGAGGATGTATTTAGTTTTCTTTGTGTTTGAAATTTAAAATTTAACTGACATCAATATAGTGAATAGAATTAAGAATTATAATAGATTATTACATAATAATGCTTGTTTTGTACTATTAACTTCAATATCTGTGAAACCACAAGTGTTAACAGAATTAACGTTCTTATTACAGTTACAATACTTACTACATTTTCACTATGTGCTCATTCCTAATTGAATTATTTACAATTTATTACGAGTGAGTTTGGAAAAAAGTGTCCACTATGCTTACGTAGATAAATAGTAAAGATAAGAAATATCTAATAAACCAAATGTGTACTATACTAGCATTAATTAACCAATGTTGTCATTTCTGTATCACAGAAATGGGAATAGTGTTCCTAATAGTCATAATGTACTTTTTGTATAAACTCGCCTTTAAATTAAATATGTTTATAATGAGCACAACTTTAAAGAAATGTAAAAGGTTTTTTTGCCAGTACACTGAAGTAGTTACCTCTATCGAAAAGTGCAATTTGGATTATTTAAAGACTGTTTAAAAAGATTTTTGTAGGGTACCTAGAAAGAGGGATGTTGGGTTTACAAAACCCAAAACAAGCACTAAAAATAAGCCAAATAAAACAAATACTAAAAAAATACCTAATCTATTAATAGGCATTTTAAGTAAAAACCTTAAAATTAGATCATAGCAATGTATTTACATTTACACTAGCATTATTATTCTTCGGCATCGGCCTTTTCAACTCCGAACGGTTCGGGAACGGCTTCGACGCCACAATCGGCGATCACAACGTCTTTGGACGGCTTATCACGGCTGTCTGTGTCAGTAGCTTCGATTTTTCTAACGACATCCATTCCTTTGACGATCTTACCGAACACCACGTGGCGCCCGTCCAACCAAGGGGTTTGCTTGGTCGTGATGAAGAACTGCGAACCGTTGGTGTCTTTGCCGGCGTTGGCCATCGAAAGCCAACCGGCGCCGAAGTGCTTCAGCTTGAAATTCTCGTCGGCGAAACGTTCACCGTAGATGCTGCGACCTGAAACGTTCATTTTTTAGATTTTATAGTGATACAAAGGGAACCCGTCGAAATAGCACAGGACCCAATACCCCAAAGACAAAATCGCTCAAATACAAAATAGCCCTGACAAAACAGTCCCGATAAAACTAAAACAAGGAGTATTTTTTAAATTTCCAGAGTTTGTAAGGCAGTTTTTCAATCTGTTGTTCTCAGATTCTTAGTTATTGTAAACATATTGTAATGCAGTCTTTTTAACCACGCCATAATATTCAAAATTATCGCGCTAAGAAAGGAGTATCGAGTAAAGGTAGCCACAGGTTCATCTCTTCCAAAATTTGCTTAGAAGTGGAATCCTAAGCTTCCAGTTTTTGTAAGACCGAGACCGATATATTTGGGTGTTTTCCTTCAACTCACTCTTGGTTTTGTAAGCAGTTTTGTAAAGAGTTTAGAAAAATTCGTGCTTGGTTTTGGCTGTGTTACTTGAAACTTGGATAATACTTGTAGTAATTACTCGTAAGCATATACAGAGACATGTTTTTTCTCTTAAGGTATTTTGACGATACCCGTCGTTACAAATGATTATAGTAATTACATATTATTGTTATGATAAAACTTTTATTTTAATAAAGTACATTCCAATGATGATAATGCAAGATATCAAAGTTGCAAATATAAATACCGGACACATTAGGATAAAAGGTAAACCAATTATATGGATAAGTGCAGGTTTGTTTGGAATATATGGTCAATTCTATGAATTGGACAAAGAGACATTATTAAAATAACAGTTGTTAGAGGGAGAAATATGCAATCAACCTATTTTTTTTCTTTATCTGAGACTAATGGAAGTTGTCTTTGCAGTCACCTGTATATCAAATTTGCAAAGTTGAAAGAACAAGTTTATATAAGAAAATAAAAGTTTAAGAGAGTATAAGAGATATTTTATGGAAAACTGTACCTATATACAAATTAACAGATATTGCGAAGGTAGGTCTTGTAAGAATTATCATAACTTAGGAAAACATATCAAGAAGACTAAATTAAAAAAAATTAAAAGTATTGAATAAAATTCAATCAAAAACACGCTTAATATAAAACATATAAAATACTATACGGCTTAACAAAAATTTGTTGAATTATATTTTTTCTTATCGACCTATCAATTATCGTCCTACATAAATAACAATTTTAATTATACGCTGCATTGCATAAATTCTAAACTGTTCATAAAACAAAATATCTGATTAATAAATTTCTGTTTCTCTTAGGTCAATAAGTAACTAATAATTTGTTCAACGATAAAAGAGACCTATTGGAGTGAACCTATTACGTGTAAATGATATCAAGGGTTTTACTGATACTTATTGCAATTATGTAACTACGCCAAATTATGCATTATTTCGAACAAATACTAATGGTTGATAATATAGAGATAATAGAATATATTTTTTTATTTTTAATTTTTTTAACTTGGCAACTACGCTCACAGTTATGGGCTATTGAACCTAATTCCTTCTTGGGTTAACTAATATACGGCGTTGCCAAATCGATATATAAGTAGAGAATTTATCGAGAATAATAAAATGTTATAATAAATTATGAATGAAAGATATCGAAATATAAATTGTAAATGTTTTATTTACCTCCAGTTCCATCGCCTCTAGTGAAATCGCCTCCTTGAATCATGAAATCCTTGATGACTCTGTGGAATTTGCTACCCTTGTAACCCTCCCCAACAGGTTTTAAAGCTAATTGTTTGAAATTTTCTACGGTTTTTGGCACGGTTTTGCCGAATAAACCGATTTCGATACGTCCTATTGCTTGGTCGCCTATTTTGATGTCGAACCATACCTAAATTTAAAAAATATCGCAATATACCGGGAATTCCTTAAAAATAGAATTTAATACTTACTTTATCAGTTACTTTGGGGCCCTTTTTGTCGTCGCAACTGACGTACGCCCAAATGCCTACGAAAGTTACGAGAACTAAAATAAATTTCATTGTTTTGCTGTTAAATATTTTCTTTCCAGAAAATCGCTGACCGCACACAACAGAAGTAAAACCAAAACTCAAACTCATCAACTGAAATGATGAATGGAACAAGACAGGTTGAAGTTGGCTCGCGCTCGCAGATAAATCTCAAAATACCCGAAATATGTTCGTCGGTGTTCTCTTTCTGTATTACGCGCAAACGGGGCTAGAGAATGAGATGTAACATGACATCATGTTCTGCTGAAACTTACGTTCTTCCGAGTCGACCAATGGCGAGCCGCCACGGTCAGCTGGTTGACAGCCGGGTAGCCGGGTTATTTATCTTTGTCCCTCTGTAATGGAAATAAAGAAAAAGAAACAAAGAATTTTAACAAAATATTTAAATTTAAATAAAATTGTAATTCTCTAAATGGAAAACAATATTTTATGTAGTATCTCTAGACGGAGGATGAATCGAAACAAGATAGTTGTTTGGAATCTAATCTAGTTATCGTGGGTGGATGCCCACGTCATATTAGCACAGTAAAAGTTATTTTGGCAAATACACATTTTTTGTAGACAAATGTAAAGGAAACCAAAATAATGGTGTTACTTAACACAATTTTAGTTGTTTTTTTTTAATTACTTTTACTACTTTGAAGTTTGAAATACTTTGTTCAGCAATTTTGATATCCAATTTGGCAACAAGGATCGCATTCTTCCAGTTATCAATAATGTCACTTTTGCCAATAAATCTTGATTTTATAAGTTTATTGATCTCTGTATTTAATCCGTAATTAATTACCGTGTGGCAATTCGAAAATTCAAACTGTAAAACCTGTTTTCGAAAATATGAAATTGCAAGATCTAACGTTCTCCACAACTGAGGACGAAAAGTTAAAAGAAGGTGAATGTCAAATCATGACAGGTGACAATGACAGAAGACAATGACATTGACAACAATCATGTAAACAAAGCAAATAAAAGAATTAAAAAATATCTTTATTGAAATGTTTTTTAAAACTTTTAAGTAGTATTTTTGTGTTGTAACATATTAAAATCTCCGGCTCCAATAAATTTGCAAATAACGCACGGAGTTCTCATAGTACAAAAGCCTTTTATTAAAAAGTATTTTTATCTTTATATCTATCTATTTTTATTCAATCCACTTATCTACTAGGCGTTTGTACCAACTTTAGATTATCACTACTTTACGATCAAATTCGGCATAATGAACATCGAATTAACGCCCGAATTAGTCCATTCTCTTCCGAAAGAAATGTTGCTCAAGCTATCAACGAGCCAATTGTTCAGATACTGGAAAGACGTAAGGAGTGAGTATAAGGAAGATGAAGAAGTATTGGAAAGGTTACCGTGCTTGGAGCATTACAACAGACCAGAAAGTCCCACTCACATCGATGGACCGGCGCCAGCCAAATATAAATGTTACACCTGTCTTATGAACAAATAATGTGTTTTCTCTGAATATTCAAGTGTTCACAAATTCACTGTTGATAAGAGATTGTTAAAGGATCATCGTTAATTTATTAATATACATTTATATTTGTTTGTCTATATGTTGTTATTTATTAATACATTCCACAATTTGCTACTTAAAATTACACGTGTTGTGAATAATATTCAAATACCTGTAAAGAGTTACATAGTTCCAATAAAACCTTTGATATCATTCACTAGTAATAGGTGTGTTTTATTGTTTAACAAAGTGTTACTAATTATTAGTCATTTATTGGCCTAAAATCAATAAAAATTTTAAAATCGACAATTTTTAATTATACATTAGGCCGAATTTATGAAATGAACAATAACCTGTTGCTTTCAAAACATGAAGGACTCGCTTCAAGGTACATGAATAAAAAGTAGTGAAGGAAAAGAGGTTTTGCTTCGAGGATCCTGCTGTTGCTTTATACTTATAGAGCAAAGGGTTTTATGGTTTCCGCATTTATAAAAAGAAACATTTGCTTAAAAAAAAGGATTTGCATGTAAAAATTGAATCTAAGTTTATAGCAACTTTTTACAACCTTTTCAGTAGTTACTCAGCCATCACAGAGCTTGTAACGTAAATTTTTTGTGTATTTTGGCTGTGTTTCCCCTGCTTGTTAGAGCTGTCTAGATCAATCTAGAACAATCCAGAATCATTTAGAACCGTTAAGAATCACTTAGAAAGTTCCAGGGTCGTCTAAAACTGTTTAGAACCGTGAGGAACGCTGCAGAATCATTTAGAACTATATAGAACAATCTGGAATCCTCCAGAAACATTTAAACAGTCTAGAACCATTTAGAACTTGTCTATACAGGGTGTTCATAAACATCGTGAACATCCGAAACGGGGCGATTCATTGGCTTATTTCATAACTAAAAGTTCATATAAACATAGGTCCGCAAATGATTCGTTACCGATCTACAGGGTGTTGAAATTTCAATTTTTTTTGTTTATACAATACGAAAATGTGACAAGAATCGATGGTTTGCTAGAATCAAGTAGATAAATAATTTTAGTAATTCTCAAAAAAATGTTGCAGTTAAGAACAAGCAAAAGTAATAAAAAAATTGAATCACAATAACCATTAAGATAACAAATGTACAACGATAGATTGATTAAATTTTTTTAAATAATACGCAATCGCGAAATTGAAAATGCAATTATAAAATTGAAAACAATTCGTTTTCGTTAAAAAAATGCTACATTCATGCCTTTATCTGATTATATTATTAACTCTATTGTTCATTTCCTTTTTGATGGGAAAATATTTATAAAATTATTTACTCAAATGCTTTAAGATTAATTTAAAGGATTTAATTATATACAGGGTGTAACAAAAAGGTAGGTCATATCTTCTGACAAAAAAGTTCCCGGAAATTATGCACTTAATATTTTTAAGTGGGTATTTCAAATTTCTGTATGTAGGGAACACTGTTCTTAATTAGCATGAAAAAATTAGAGAGGTTTCTCAAACAAGTTTACGAATGGTAGAAAACTTTTAAAGACAGTCTGGAAGACTGCTAAAGACTTGCCTTGTTGCGGATTCGACGGTCTTCGACCACTTCAACCAATGATAGCGGCGAGAAAATGAAGGAAATTGAGTACGAAAATCATCATGCTAGTATTAGAGAAGTAGCATGTGATCTCAACATTTCCCGTTAAACCGTTCGTTTGATTTTGCTCAACCAAGCACACATGCTGCGCATTGAGGCTCATCGCTCGTTCCGATAGAGCTGCATGAAGATTCGTTTGAAGTACCGTGCGTCGACCAGCCGCCTTATTCACCAGATTTAGCCTCGTGCGACATTTTTTGTTTCTCAAACTCAAATTGCCACTTCGGGATCCCGTTTAAATAAATAATAAATAAATGCCATCAAAAAAAAGAAGGAGCTAAGAGCCGTACCAAATAGGGCCTATAAAATGCTTCGATGATTGGAAAAGGCGTCTAACTGTGAGTATCGCTTCAAAAGGAGCATATTTTGAAGAACATTCAAGAAATAGTTATGAAGATTAGGAATTTTGCGTTTTATTTTTCCGGGTACATATTAGTTACATTAGTAAATTATAGATATCACATATTCTGGTATCAAAATAAAGTAGATTCCATTTTCCAATATCCAAAGTCCCTATACAAAAGAGTTATAGCCTTATTTTTTTGTTTTTCTTTATTAAATAGGTAGGTACTTTTATTGAAATGATCAAATATCCAAAGTTCCAAATAAACTAAACATTTTATTACCTACTTAAAATTAAGGATAAATAAATGTGTAGGTTTGAATTCAAAAATTTTCTCACATAAAAAACTAGTTATAACTCGAAAAATATAAAGATATAAAAATTAAAAATGTAAGTATAGATTAAATTAAAAAATCTCATTAAATTATAGTGGACACAAAAAATATCCAAAATATAAAGTAGAGAAAAATAGGAAGAAAGTAAATGTACACGAGCCCCTAAAAAATTCATAGGTTCCGATTTTGATAGATATTTGATAGAGATTTTTTTTGATAACATATGCTCTTATAAAAATGATACTTTCAATTCACTTTAAACAGAGGCTATAACTTTAGCTTTGTAATGCATTTTGAAAATTATAGTAGGTAAATAGGGTTCTCTTAATCTTAATATTGACTTAATTTTGACCCTAAAACATGCTTATTAATTTATGACCCACTTTTTGTTACACCCTGTACCTACATATAAAGAAACATTGAAAATATCGAACAGGTTACAAATAAATTTGCGGTAAAGCAAAGCAGCAGATGCCAAAAGAAAAGAAAGACTGTTTCCACAACAAACTCGCACGAAATGCAAAACATTGCAAAATACCCTCTTTGTGTCTGGTATTGGGCGCATCTTTTAATTCCATTGGCCACCGATCCGTCGGTGAGGCAGCGAAAAGGCTATCAATTACCTATTTAAAATTAATGCATTGATATTGTGACCGCTCTTGCGCAAAATCGCGTTCGTTATCCATTTTCAATGCTAACTCGTAAGGGATGGTAATTCGACTCCGCAGGGTGTACGTTACAAAAGGGGCCGGCAACGGTAACGAATTTCGAAGAGTATAATCATGGGATTTCGACTCGTGCCCGGATTATATGCTTACCTACTTATGCTGGATTTTCCGGAAATTGTGTAAAGAAACAATAATGTAACATCTTGGCTATTTTTCAAAGGATTCTTCATATACTCTATACATGCTCTTTTAGGATAAAGAAATAGAGAGAGATAAATGGAAACGGGAGAATACTTTGGAGAGAAGGGAGAAAGATTAAGTTTTTTCCAGAGTTTTCAAGTACTGGAAAAACTCTCTATTATTTAAATATGTTATTATCATCCACAAGTATCATATTTATTGGATTTGTAGGTATTAAATTGTAACAATTTTTATGTATACAAACTTATAAATTTTATACTTACCTGTATTATAGATATGTATATGCTTTTATAGTCTAAAAATTTTAATTTCATGCACGAATACGCAAATTTGGTATTTTTTCTTCACATAAGCCCCCAATGGGAAAATAACTTACCGCCCCTTGTACACTATCATATTACAAATTGCATTCAATTTAGGTCTGTATGTGGCGCATTACCTACATGACTGACAAAAATAAAAATGTAATTGAAACTTATTTTTACGCACCACAAGCAGCCAACAATGCTGAAGTTATTGTTGTTAAAATTATTATTCATCGTAGAAATCTTGTAGCAACGTGACCAAATTTGTTTACCTCTTCAATTGATATAAATTAGAGCTAAATAGAATAACAGAATTGTAATTATCTGAGGAGTTTACAAGTGAGACAAGAGAAGAAATCAAAAAAATAGAATAGGAGAAGAATTGTGGGATGTTATTTCTCTCTACTTTAGTAGAAAACAATGTTCCGCTAATGTATCTAATTGTTTACAAGAATTTTTTGTTGTATTGAAAACAACAATTAAATGAACGTTATGTAAGAAATGAAAAGGGAAATACATATTATTTCATTGTATTTCATTGGAAACCTTGACATTTCATTTAGAGTACTCATCGGTATATAATATATTTTTGTAATAAAAATTGATTGATTATAGCTATGTAAGTATTTGTAAAGAGATACTTATTGATGTAGAAAAGCCAAACGAAAAATAATAAGAAAATCAATTAAAATTTACTATTACTGATTTTATTAGGATTTTAGAGATTTTGAAGGAATTAGAGTATTAAAAAAAATAATAAAAATATGTTTATAATTGTTTCCAAAATATTTGTATTATTACAGTAACATGATAGAAATATGAAAAAAAAACATTAGACAGAATTATTTACTAAAAAAATCTACGAGTATTCACAATTTAGATACATGCCTTCTGTCTATTAAAAAACTAATTAAAATTTCATGCCGAAATTGTGCTTCACTTCGTCTGATTCCATCTCCCACGGGTAACTTCTCCTGTTTTCCTTTCCATCCGGATACTTAGGCAATATTTTAATATTGTCGTATCCTAGTATAGACCTAGCACTATTAACATTCGACGGGGTTACTTTGGGTTCATAGCTATCGGGTTCCGGAATTTTAAACGCACCCTTGCACGCGTTTATTAAAACTATTAAGCAAAAAATCTGCAAAAAAAACTTGCTTACAAATTTATCTTACTAACGGTTTTATTGTGGGTTATTTTAGGGTTTGTAAATTCCTTAATATGTATAGTTACTTACCCGAATTAATAAACACATAATTAAAATTTTGCAACGGACACGTACAATGGAATTTAACCTATACCTTGAAGTAGTAGGTAGAGATTAGTTACTTTTTGTAGAAATACAACAAGAATGATGCTGTTGCTGTAGAAATACATGTGCTAATTATGTAAGGTGTTATTCATTACAAAATCAATGGCGTTTCAATGAGGATTTAATTTTTGCAGGCGGCAACAACAAATTTATCCCAAGGAGGAATTGTACAACAGGGTGGTCTGTTGTATCAAAAACCAAATTAACCATTCGGTTTTCATTATCCCATAAAAAACCGACATGTTAAATTAAGATAGTGATCTTTTAGGGTCGAAACCGAATTATCCCCGACTACCATGTTTCAGTTTATAAAAGACACCAAAGGGCGTTTTTGAATAGCAAACAAACAGGCCACTAGATTTTCCACCTAATTGCCCAAAAAGATGAAGATCTGCCCGATTAGCTGCCGCTCTCTTGCAGGGCAGAACTTAGCTATTAGGTAATCTATTCAAAGTATAATGTTAGGGCATTAATAATTTCTGATATTTTTTTATACCACAATATTTTCTCACCCCCTGTATATAGATAACAAATAAATAAATTCAATGTAAAATCCCACGTAGAAAAAATAAATAACTAAAAAAATAAATTTTATTTATAAATAAATAAATTAATTAATTTATTAATTTGTATTATTAAAGATAAATTTGGATATTTATTTTTGATTTTCAATTAGAAATTTGCTTAAATTTGGACCTTTTATATGCCACAATATTTTCTCAACATCTATGTATAAAAAATAAATAAATACGAGTTATAATCCTATGGACAAAATAGATTATTTATTTCTTAATATTTGGTTGTTCATTTTTGATGAAATACGCCCTAAATAGGACTTAAAATAGAATACCTGGACTAGTCCAACCCTGGTAAGAGCGGGGTGGTGCTCACGTATATAATACAGGGGTTGAACAGTATTTAACCACAGTAAATAGTACACCATTTTTTGGAATCAAATGGTCGTTAGACGGAATGATTTTTCTCGAAATGGAAAATAACGAGGTCGGTTCGAAGAATCACAGTGATTTCAGTATTGACCACATATTGAATAGGGCGGGCAGTTCCAGCAGATACACTAACGATGAAAGTGAAAATAAATTTAAAATTGAAGAAAATTTTACATGGTTACAGTGCACTAGGTTTTGTCCACCGAAAATACCAAGTAAGTAATGTTTATCACAATAATTCCTCTTATTATACTAATTATAAGTATCACTATAAGTGTATCTTTAATCACTAATCACTAACTATAGACTTAATGTTTTATTATTTATGTACCTGTTATCTTATCCTGTTATGCTCTTTATTACCATACTGTTATGTCTTTTTAATTGTATTATTCTTTCTTTTCAAGTTTTTGGAATTTTCTTTAACTTGCACTTTTTATCGCATTGCAATATTCTTTTTAAAACTTATTTTTCTCACAAATAACTATTCTTCTCTATTACCTAATTCTACCTCTTCCTTATCATAATTTCATCCATAACTTTCTTGGGGTGGACTATAAAATAAATATGTCACATCAGTATTTCTTAGTATTCCTTAACTATTCATTACTATTTCATAACTATTTCGTAACTATTCCATACTTTTCCATACTCTTCCATAGTCTTTTATACTCTTCAATACTCTTCCATTCTCTTCCATAACTATTCTACCACTATTCCTTACTTTTCTGTAACAATTCCATAACTATATTCCTTAGGTACTTAATGTTGAGTCTAAAATGAACCTTTCTGATTCCCGTTGTTTTTTTGTGTTAAACCTAGGAGTGCCGAAGAGTCGAGAAATGCCCCAAAAACGGCAACTGGGCAGGTACCCGAGAATACCGTTCACCAACGAGCAGCTGGCCGTTCTGGAGAGGAAATTCGAGGAGAGTGCTTATTTGAGCAGTGAAGAGGCCCTGAGCATATCGAGGAGGCTCCAACTATCGGACGCCAAAGTGAAAATTTGGTTCCAAAATCGAAGGGCGCGGAAGCGGCGCGAGGAAACCGGCCAATCTAACAAAAAGGAAGAGAAAACGCATCAATCCGAACGAATTGAAGGTTCCGGTTCCAGAAACTCGAATGCTGTGGTGCCTTTTTTGTACGTTAATCCGCACGGTTTAATCGAATTCGGTTCTAGTTGATATTCAATTCGATTGAAGTGTATAAAGACATGTAAATATGTACATAGATATTGTAAATAAATTGTACATTTTCATTCATTTTTTTATGTATGTATGATGAGATTAAACGTTCGAAAACAAATGTCGTAATATGGAAATAAGTTTGTTGAAAAAAACGCTGTTATCGCAACTGATATTTTTTACCAAAAAAAAGATCGAATTTTCATAAATGACAAACATTATTGGATGATTATATCGCGTTTTTAAGATAAAATATCAAACATAACGGCATATTTCCCATTTGGTTTGTGTCTCTGCTCTTTTGCAGAATAGAAATTATTCTTACTTAGAACTTACCGAGTAATATTTAGTTCTTACTTAATTGTGATTGTCCGGAAGGAAGAACTTGTACAAATAATACTGTTAAATATGGTAAGAATAAGCACTGAAAGACTTAAGTAGTTAAATAATTGTTTTTTAATCTGCTTAAGTTTTTTCAAGAATCTTTAATTCCTCAAGAAGACTAAATATGATTTCTTCTCTTAAATTATTGGATGGTATACCTACCAATAAGAGTAAAAGTTTAATACAAATTATTTTCAACTGGTAATAACAATTTTGTCGTATTTTACTCTCGTATATTACCACGACTGGCACAAAAATTTTCTCATTTTGTTGAATAATTATTATAAAATTTTGCAATAATGAATAAGTAAATTTTCAGTAGAAATTATTTAATAATTTCCTTTGCTTACCTACCACAGAATTATTTTGATGTCACTATTTTTAATTCGTGCAATAAAATTAGTAAGCAATTATTACCTTTTCAGCGATGTACAATCATACTGTTTATTACATGCTCTTACGTGGCCTGTACGATTCGGGTATACAGCGGCGATTACAAATACACCCACATGAGACCTCTGCAGCTGTTTTCTCCGCAAAAAAAGCAGGCCCGTGGATATTTTAGAAACTATGATGTGGCAGAACAACAGCCAGATATTATAAACAGGTAATTAAATGGTCTTACCCTTAAACAGCCCGCTAGAGGCTTCAGTGCTTGAACCTTGGTTTGAGCTGTCTCGGTCAAGGTTCGCCTGCGAACTAACTAGTAGTAGTACCCTTAAACAACAAGTATCTTGGCAAATTAAATATTAACAAATATTAACATATATTTATATTTAATTTCCCATAAGACATCTAGCCTCAAAATAATAAACAAATAAATAATATTTTAGGCACTACTACAACCAAAATATGTTATCGAATCAAGGGAGAGCGACATTGGATGAAATCAACCGAGGGCGTCTCAAAAATCGTGAAAAAATAGCGGCTTTGTTTAGAAGACCTCAGTACAGACCCATCAATTCGCCTAATTTTAGAGGTAGAGGTGGAAGAAGGAATTACAAGCCAATAATATATTAAATAAAATGTAATATTATATTTATTGTTTATCGCGGTTATATTTAATAACATTCATGCCTGTTGAAATTATAGTACATAATTTATTACTATACCTACATACCTTATTCATTATCACAACCTCCTCATGAGCAATAATAAAGATGTGGTAAATATATACAAAGGTGTTAATCCTTAAGTTCCAAATTATCAGGAGATGTTTCTCAGAAAAAAATCAGTTTCTTAATACATCCTAAAGAGGTTGGTTTTCCTCCAAAAAGATGTATATTTGAAAATGGTCTCATTCAAAGGGGTGTTTTGACCCCTTAAATTTGAATGGAGATGATGCTATTTAGTGCATACCAAGACAAGGCATAAGGGCGTCCCTACTGAAAATTTCACGTCTCTAGCTTGGCTCTAGCCAATTCTACAGGGCTTCAAAAAGTGTAATAACCAAGAAAATGAATCGAATTTTCCATCGAAAAATTCCAGCTAGAAATGCCATCTGCCCGCAGTAGCCGTAATGGATGCGAAAACCTGTCAAGATGCGGTCGAACGAAATTAGTGAGAGATGCACATCGATGATAAAACATCCAGAAAGAACGGAATAAACGCGCGGTAAATATGCGGAAAGATCTCAATCTCATTGTAACCTAATAACGTTCGTTGTGATCGTTGTTACAGGGTAAAATGCCACTTCAACTTTTAAAACATTTCAATGTCTTTTGTCGCTGTGCTACTTTTTTCGATGCCTATCTATCGACCGACAGCGTAATTTTTAGATGGGCAGATGCTTTTATTTGTATGTATTTGCGGTGGGTACGGTGTATGGATATCTTGTCAATTTTGATTGTTTATCGTATAATTTTTGATAATATTTGATTCTAATTAAACGCGAATATACTATATTCTATTAGTAACGCTCTACCTCTTAAAGAATTTACGAATTTTGGTTTAGGAACATGGATCTAGAAAGGGTTTAATTTTTTACCAATATTGCAAGACATAATTGGAAAATATTCCAGAAATATTAACTTTAATATAACTCTAGGAAAATAATATTATAAACTGTTCTAAAAATATTCCAATGTTTATCTCAACATTTTTACACGGTCAAAAGTTTTCTCTTCTTTACTTATTTAATTAACATTTACTATTACTTGGATATAAATGAACAAATGCTTCCAAGTAACTGACAAAACAGAAAATTTCCGTTATTAGGTGCCAAATTTTCGTTATTTTTTTATAAATAAGAAATGATAAAAAATATGTACCTAAATATGACGTACTTAACTAAAATATGAGGAGCTTTATTATAATAAGGGATAAGATTAGGTGAAAAGGATGTGAAGAAATTATACAGGGTGTAACAAAAAGGGAGGTCATAAGTTGTGCCACGTATTCTGGGGTTAAAATTATGTCGATTGGACCCTATTTATACCTATATCCAAAATGCCATACAAAAAGTTAGGTATAACTTGTTTAAAGTGCAAAACGAAACATTTTGTTTTTCAATAAATCCAAAAGAATTTAAAGAATCCTAATGACATGTAGCATGTATTACTTTAACAACAAGAGCAAGTTAAAAAAATAACAAAATCGGATCCCCCATAACATTTTTAAGGGGCTTATGTACATTAGTAAAATTAATGATTAATTTTGCAAAATTTAACGTATAAGCAGAATTATAAATTAACATTTATTGTTACGTTATTTTCAACAAAGCCAGCTAGTGCAATATAAATTTTACTAAAAAAAATTCAAGGTATATTATATATGTTTCGTGTTACGAAAAAAATAATTGCGTATAGAAATATTAAACATAATACTCGTTAAGATATTATTAATCAATATTGACATAATCATTTTCTACTTAGGTGACGCGCTCGATGTTTTTTGAGAAAAATACCTGAAATATCTTCATTATTGGTAACAAACAATTTAACATCTTGTGTCAAAATTAACCGTAACACCTAAATAATGCGCAAAGTAAATAAATTCCTCAGCATTGTGGACACTAGCAATTCAATTTTCCTGTTAACTCATTTCGAATATTTTCCAAACAACGTTCAATTTATATAAATAAGCCCGCTTTTAACACCAAGTGTTAGTTCAATTTTATCAACAATATACTATTTACCGGTATTGAAACAAAAGTGCCTTTCTTAACAAAAATGGATAGAACTTTATATTTTGTAAGTATTTTAGGTTTTTAATTTCCGAAATAAAATTGTAGTGTATCATTTTTTAATTCAAATAAGAATTACCTCAAAAGTGTAAGAGACATTAAACTCTTTATAACGATTTAATGATTCGAATTTTACTAAAACACGTAACTTCACTTACTAAATTTAATTTATAACAATGTTTTTTCCTGAAGATCCTCTTCGTGTTAGTCTCAACCGCCTATTGTCAAAGTTTTTCATCATTCAATGAAAGTGTCTCAACATCGAAGGGAACCCCGATTGTGGAGCCTACAAAAACAATGGAATTCGGGGCATCACAAAGGAATGTGAGTATTCAGAGGAGACAATCTGAATACGTTACGTCTACATCAGCTACAAGCCAAAGTCAAAATGTTGGATCGTCAGATCTCAGTCCATCGGAAGCCAGAAGATATTATCCTTATTTTCGACTCAGGAAAATGTACAGCACGCACATAAGGCAGGAGTCATATCCTCTCTCTAATTATGCTGATCCCGACGATCCCGATGATAAATTCCCTACTGTTGCTTAAGAAGACAAACGTTGTAGTTAATAACGCACGGAAAGACTGATACAGTGATTTTCTACATATTATACCTAATTAGGTACTTACTATTTAAATTATTACTAGTTGTAAGTACTATTTAAGTATTTAACTGTACTATTTAAATTATTACTAGTTGTAAGTAAAATAGTCGGTTAGTTATCAGGTTTATGTGGATGTTTCTTTATTTATTTTAGATTTAATTTACATTGCAATTTTACATCTTAAGTGAATACATTAGTTTTTTGATTAAAAAAAGTATTAAGTAAATAAATAATTTAAATTGCTAACAATGTGTTTTTTCTATTACTGTGAAAATAAAGTAGCATATACCGTTTAAAACCCAAAATATTAGACAAACTCTTTCTTCATTATATTTTTGTCCATTGCAAAAAATCTCTTAAAAAATCTCTCTAATTTTTTGTACACTAATTAAGAACAGTGTTACCTACATACAGAAACTTGAAATAGTTAAAAATATTATGTGCAGGTAATTTTAATCATAATTTCTGGATACTTTTTTGTCAGAAGGTATCTGTGTAATATTATTAAAGAAAGGCGAGGAAAATGAAATTTATAGAGAATAAACTTTGAAATACAAATTATGAAAATTCAACCATCCCAAAGTCCTCTGTAAAGTAAGCAGAGCTGAAATATCGAGACGAGAGACGAGATTGGGTTGAGTTTTCGACTCGTGTTTTTCTGTACCCACTTTCCACTCGAATTGAACATTGACCCTACCCTAGGTTGAATTCTGCATGTAAACATACTAATAAAAAGAAAAATCTGCCAAGAATATTCCACCATGTGATTGACCTCAACAATAGTAAGAGACCATTTTTATATTATACAAATACTCATGTAGCAAAGGACATTCTTTAATGTCATGTTGACACATCAACGTCACTGTCATGACTAATGTCAAATTGACGTTGTCAAAGTCCAACCTAAATTCTCCTTTATCATTTGAATTTAGTATTTTTTTAATGTTTTAATAATGGAAAGTACAAATATTGGTAGAACGAACGAAGAAATAATAAGCGAGCTAACGGAAGCCGTTGAAAACGATTTGTCGGTTAATGAACAAGCAGATGCAGCGAAAATAGCAGAAAGTGTTCGAAACGAAGGTATTCCTGAAGATTTCGAAAAAGACGACGATGAAAGCAGTAGAGGTAACCAAATTGATGATGATATAGACGAAGAAAAACTGAAGGACTTGGAGGTGACCTTATCGGATGAAGAAAAAGAAGTTCGCTATAAAAAATCATTAGAACTTAAAAAATCTGGTAATGAGCAATACAAATTAGGCAATCACTTGGAATCCGTTAACATATACACAGAGGCTTTATTAACTTGCCCTCTGAAATATCAAAACGATAGGTCTATATTTTACGCTAACAGAGCTGCCTCGAAAATATCCCTAGGAAGAAATGAAAGTGCTATCGAAGATTGTACGAAAGCTATAGAACTAAACGAAAAATACATAAGAGCATATTTAAGAAGGGCTAAACTGTACGAAACAACTGATAAACTAGACGAAAGTTTGGCAGATTATAAGAAAGTTTTAGAATTTGATCCAGGTAATAAAGATGCTCTACAGGCACCACACAGATTGCAGCCACTTATCGACGAAAGAAACGAGAAACTTAAAACAGAAATGCTTGGTAAGAGAATTTCTTCAAGTAATTCGAGTAAGAGTAAGTAATTTACTTTTTTGGGTGTTTTAGGTAAATTGAAGGATCTAGGAAACGTGTTTTTAAGGCCGTTCGGATTATCCACTGACAGTTTTCAAATGACCCAGAATCCTGATACTGGAGGTTATTCAATTAATATTAAAAACCAATAAGTTTATATCGTAAAAAAGTATGTCTGATGTCTAAAAAAGTATGTTCTTAATAATAAATGCTTAAAAGAAAGGATTAATTTTGGTTTTAACCCTGTACCTAATTATACCATTGGATAGCATTTTTATAGGTCTTTCAATGATGTATCAAAACTTGGGGGGTGCTATTTAAATTTCTATAGATGGGGTACGTTAAGCATAGGGGGTTGATGGAATAAATTCTTTTTTGTCATTTCAGTTCCCCATTCATATCCTAGAAGCGGTTTTAGGCATTTTTTGGTATCATATTTCGTTTGGGAGATAGAGCTTAAATTGTTAAAGTTTTTAAATTGTCATACTGATGGCCAATGCTATTTGTCTTGCATATTACCACGGTCCTTAGAGAATAATTCAGCTGCTTTTTTTCTAAGGGTGTTTTCATCAACTGCTTGGATACCTGCAGCAAATTGTTTGTCATCTCATGGTATGGCTAAAAATATGAAGTGTTGTAGAAATAATTCACTACGGTTTTTTTTTAACTAATATCTTCTTAAATTTGTAAGAATTACCTACCCGTATTCAGCACCCCTCTTTAACCATAAATACGTATTTAATACCTAAATTCAAACAAGTTTGAAGGAGAAAGCAACTAAATTTAGGTCGACTACATATGCACCTATATTTTTTTCAATAAATGAATACAAAAAAACTCGAATGTAAGTACTCCTTTAATAAAAATTCTAATCCCTTAAGTCACTCATAATTCGTTCACTTATTTTCATTGGACGTCGATTTCGTAATTACAAACCCCGCAGTTTACTATAAATTTTATTTAACAAACTCAATAATTGATGAACGTGTCAGTTCTGTAACATCAGCCTTATTTATTCGCCAAATCCAAAATGTATTAACGTAAAGGCGCAGGTGGTTGTGACAAATACAATTTCCAAATTAAAGACCTATTATGAAACTACTTGTTAGTTGTGCAAATGCTAGTTAATTAGCTCGCTTATTTTCAAATACATTTTCATAAGTTTTCTTCAAAATCAACCACCCGACTGCATTTTATAAAAAAACAAGCGGAAACTTAGTCTAAATTATCATCGTCAGTGGGTGGAGGTTTAGGTGCCCCCGCTCCAGCTCCTGCTCCACCAAAACCTGGGAATCCAGGAAAACCGGCTCCGGCACCCGCTCCTGAGAATCCGGGTATATTCATCCCAGATCCAGCGAATTTGCCTGACAGTTTCGTAACGAGATTCATTATTTTCGGATTGGATTGGTATTTCACGAAATTCGCTGGATTCATCGAAATATCTTGAAAAGCTGCGGCAACTTCAGGATCCTAAAAGCGTAAACAATATACGTTTTAATATACCAAGAATAAACAAGGTCGTTAAATTAGCCTTATCATGTGATAAGATAAAGTATATGGAAGTTCTAAATTTAAACAGAAATGATAAATATATCGAATCGAGCATTGAAAACTAACCTGGAACGCAGTCATAATTTCAGGATCTTGCAACAATTTAAAGAAACTATTCGCGTCTCCCTCGGGTGAAGCCTCCGGTTGATCCCCGTCCTCTTTATTTGCAGTTGCGGCCTTTGCGTGAGCTTCCCTCGCTTTCCTAATGTGCTCCATTCGTTCCTTCTCCTGTTTATCCTTCAATTTTCTCTCCTTCTTAATCATGTGCTCCTCGATTCTCTTGGCATTCGGCGTCACTTCTTTCAACCACTCATCCGTCTGTTCGTCGCAATCGATATTACAAGCTTGCCTTAGATCTTTCGCAGCCAATTCCCATTCGCCCAATAACCTGTAAGCCCTTCCACGGAATTTATAAGCCGCAGCGGAGTCGCAATTGAGTTCCAAGGCTCTCGTGCAGTCTCTAATACAAGCGTTGGGCTTGGTGAGCTTCAAGTAAGCCTGGCCTCGTTTGGAGAACAACAAAGCACTGTTCGGGTTGAGTTCGATGGCTTCGGTGAACAGTTCAATGGCTCTCTCTATGTTGCCTTCGGAGAGCTGCGACATGGCCTCCATTCGCTTCTCGTCGGCCTGGTCGGAGGCCTCTTCGGTGATTTCTTTCAAGGGATCGCCCATTTTTTGGTTGTCGTCGAGCTTGTCCGGTTCTACGCAGCCTGTCATGTCGAATTCCAGTACACTTTCGGTCTCCGAATCGGCTTGTGCCTCCTCCGGCGGCTCCTCGCCGACGACCTCCGGTTCGACTTTGATATCCGACGGCATTTTCGGCTCCTCCGGGACGACGCCCCCGAGCGATTCGATGAAGTCTTTGAAAAATTGCAGTTCCGGCAGGTGCAGAATACTCGAATTTGACTTGCAAATTTGAATGAATTGTTTCAATTTGTCAAGGGCGTCTTTATTTACTGGACAACTCATTTTTCCTTTGGAACTGTCTAGAATTATTTTACAGTAACCGGTATGATAATTATTGTGTTCTGAATATGGAGGGACGGACACCTTGATTTTACATCAATTTATACACAGATGACTTGGAATAAACGATTTATTTCATTGTAACGACATGGCGCTTTCATACCTCAGGGTTCAGTGTGTTGCCGCTGTCATCTGTCAACAACGTCAATATTGTTGACATCAGGCATTTATTCGCGTACACAACACTCTTCTCCCCTTCGGCTAACAAAGGAGACGTACCCATAAGGTACAAATACATACATATATGTCACATGAAACGAATAAAAAAATACAACAATTTAAATCAACACTGTAACAAATGCAAAAACCTTAACCTATAAAAATATCAAAACCATTTAACACAAAGAAAACAAAGGTGTTACAAATACAATTTAAATCAACACTGTAACAAATGCAAAAACCTTAACCTATAAAAATATCAAAACCATTTAACACAAAGAAAACAAAGGTGTTACAAATTTATTTTCTGTAAGGCCTTTCGTGGTCTATTTGACGATCTTACTGTCAAATTATCATCCTTCCTCCCCTTTTTACTATCCGCAAAATCAGTCTGACCGAAAGCGGAGTCCTGCCGCACAAACTCTGAAAATGTTGGGGCAACTGGACCCACACTTGGTAACGGCGCCAAAGATACCTGATTTAAACTAACAGACTTTAGTACCCCATGCATGCTGACCAGAAATCGATTTGCTCCCAACGACCTTATAGCGATTGCCTCTACAACCGGACCTCTTGCTGACAATCTGACATTCACTCTATCTCCCTCTCTAAAAGGAATATTCGAATATGATCTCTCTGAATACTGAAATCTAGGATTGATTAACGACAGCTGAGTTCTAGGTATAAAATTCAACCACAAGGATGCTGGTGTACGACCTGTTACTGTACTTGGGGTTGTTCTATAAGACAGCAAAAACGAAGCTAGCAATTGTTCAATAGGAACTTCGTTCCTCGTTCGTTCTCCTTGTAACACCAACTTTTTCAATCCCCTCTTTACTGTTTGCACACACCTCTCAGCCATACCATTGCTCTCTGGGTGATAAGGAGGTGAAAAGGTTGTTAAAATATTATTCGACGTACAGAAATGAGAATACTCGCTCGAATCGAAGGGTGGACCATTGTCCGACACCAATTCAATAGGCAATCCCGCAGTTGCAAAAAACATTCTAAGAATCTGAATAGTTGTGCCGCCATTGCAAGAAGACATCAACCACACCTCGATCCACTTACTGTAGGAGTCTACTAAAATCAAAAAATGTTTACTCTTAAATTGGAAAAAATCTATATGGCATCTCTGCACCGGGTGTTTTGTTTTTGGCCATGGGACTTTTTCTGTAGTTACTGGTCTAAAATTTACAATACTACACGCTTCACACGATTGACATAGTAAGCCAATATCCGAATTCAATGCAGGCCACCAGACATTCTCCCTTGCTAGCATTTTACATCTGACTATCCCCGGATGACCCTCATGCAACAAACTCAAGACCCGTCCATGCAAGCTCTGAGGAACCACAATTCTATTTCCAAACATTAGACAATCCCTCTCTAAAGACAAATAAAAACGAACATTATAATAAGGTAACAGTGCTGGATCCTTGCTACGATTAGTCCAACCCTGCCTTGTTAACTGAATAACTTTTGATATGACTGAATCCCCCCTAGAAGCTCTAGCCACATCCGGTACTGTTAATGGTAACCCAGGCAATAACTGTAAGTTATATACAGGTTCCACCAACCGTTCCTCTCCTGGTAATCTTGACATAGCATCCGCTGGTGCTAATAATGCACTTTTCCTGTGCTCTATCTCAAAATGGAATGATTTAATAAATAATGACCATCTAATTAAACGATCCGTAGCTAAAATAGATAATGACTTGTTTGGGTTAAAAATACTCTTTAAAGGTGCGTTATCAATGACCAGTTTAAATTTTCGCCCCCAAACATACTTATAAAATTTCTTCAAAGCAAACACCACGCCTAACCCTTCTCGTTCTACCTGCGAGTATCTTTGTTGAGCCTGATTCAAGGTAGATGACGCAAACATAATAGGTTTCTCAACAAACTTTACAGACTTTCCATGTCTAATTTCAATCAAATGACTCAAAACGCAGCCTAACCCGTACGGACTAGCATCTGAACTCACTATCAAAGGTTTCAGCGGATCATAGGGAACCAAAATATCGTGACTAACTAATTTCTTCTTACTGTGCTCGAACGCTTCCTGACACTGATCTGACCACTCAAATGTTACATTTTTTTCTGTAAGCTTGTACAGTGGTTTTAAATCTCGACTCATGTGAGGCATGAACCTACTGTAAAAATTCAACATACCCGTATAAGACTTTAATTCTGTTACATTCCCGGGTCGCTTAGCCTCCAAAATCGCTTTTACCCTAGTTTCTGTTGGATGGTAACCTTCGCTATCTAATTGATGACCTAAATACTCTACGGATGACTTGAACCAAATACACTTACTCTCTTTAATGCGAACATTGTGTTTATCAAGACGTCTTAAAACTTCGTGCGTCACCTGAACACATTGTTCGATATTGACTTCTCCTATTATGATATCATCTAGATAACATTTAACTGATTTAATACCCGACAAAATCTGATCTATTATTGACTGAAAAATAGATGGCGCGCTAGCTACTCCGAATATTAATGCGTTGAACTGGAATAACCCCAATGGTGTATTAATCGTTAATAATTCCTGACATTTCGGGTTAACTTTGAGCTGTAAATACGCTTCTGACAAATCTATAACTACGTAACAAGCTTTACCTGACACTTCTTGTAAAATTGACTCTATCCTCGGTAAAGGATAAATATCGATCTTCAGGTTCGGATTAAGCGTTCTACTTACGTCTGCGCAAATTCTAATACCACCATCTTTTTTCCTAACTGGCCAAATGGGTGATGCCCACTCGGAGAACATTACACGTTTTAATTTTCCTTCACGTTCCATTCTTAATAACTCTAATTTGACTGTTTCTTCTAACCCATGCGGTAACTGATACGACTTATGAAAAACCGGGATGGCTTGCTCCTTCAGCACTAAGTTTGCTGTGAACCCTTCTATAAATCCGACTGCACTCTCCCTAAAAGACTTCGTGTATGACCTCTTAAATGCGACCAAGGCATCCTGAACCACTGTCTCGGAACCTCCACTCATGCTATTTTTATGAACTTTAAGCCTGTCACTAATACTTCTCCAATCTGGTGAGAGCGTATCTAACCAATTTCGACCCAACAATGGTACAAATCCATCTTCGAGGCAAATTATAAGAGGCAATGTGTAAAACTGACCTTTCACTCCCACATTCACTCTAACCTCTCCTTTCACTCTGATTTTACCTGATACCGATGATAGTTTAAGACCGGTTTGATCTATTGGTTTATTGGGAAATAACGCTTTAAATTGACTATATGACATAATAGATAGAGCTGCACCGCAGTCTATTTCCATTTGAATATTCTTACTTTCTATCTCTAACGTGACTAATTCTGGCTTATGGCTTATTTTATTAATTCCCTGCTCACTTGACTTAACCGTAACTCTACTTTCTGTCAGACTGTTACTTAAAGACTTTTTACTTATAGACTCTGACTTATAAATATTTTTCTGTACAATTCTTGATTTATTACCATTTAAGGATTCTAAAACTACTTGTTCTGACTTTGGACTTCCTTTTTTTCTGATATTTAAAGACTTCATGACTTTTACCTGACAAATTTTTACATTTCCGAAGATCTCCTCTAACTGCTCCTCTTCTTCGACCTCTTCACTGTCTTCCGTAACTGAGTTGCACTCCTCTTCTGGACTGGAAATTGCATTTTCTGCAACCCGGACTCGACTTTTACATAACGGTGCGATGTGACCCTTCCTGTGGCATTTATAGCACTCCCAAAATTTCGCTGGACATGAAGTTGGATTGTGTTTCCTTCCACAACGGTAACATTCGCTGGACTGACCCTCTTTGCGTTGAATATGACTTGACGACGCTGACTTATTGAACCTGGACTGACTCTGGTAACCTTGACCTCGATTGTCTTGTTCCCGACTTGACTGATGACTCCGACAGCTGCATTGACAACATGGACTGGACTGATTTAAATAACGACTGAACTTTTTTACTTTAGGCTCGTTTGTATTCGACACTTTGTTTATATGACTCGACTGCTGCAACACTTTAGCATATTCAGTAATTGCTTCTTCTCTCTGCACTATTTCCTTAGCTCTTTGGAACGTTAAATTGTATTCGGAGAGCAATTTCCTTCGCAAATTATCACTTCTCATGCCACCGACTAACCTGTCTCTGCACTGATCTTCCAAATTATCTCCAAAATTGCACTTCATCGAAAGCTCTTGCACGACTTCGATGAATTCTTTCAATGACTCTGCCGGTAACTGATTTCTCTGACTGAATGCATATCTGTTGGTAGTGACTAGACCCTGGGGCTCGTATTTATTAATAAGGACCTCCTTCAACTGCTCTAAAGTTTTGTCTCTAGGCTTATCTGGCAGACAGCATCTTCTAATTACACTGTAGTGCTTACTACCAACCGTTGTCAAAAAAAGGTTTTTCTTCTGGACTTCTTCTTGTGTAGCGTTTAACGCGTTTAATTCACAATATAATTCGAACCTTTCGAACCACGAAGAGAACGTTTCAATCTCGATGTCATAACTTTCCAGATTTCCTTTAAACCCTGTCGACCAGACTACTAGTTGTTCGTGTTGCTGTTGACCTTCCGCCATGCTTCTGTTTTCTAAGACGTGACCACTTATTTATTTGATTAATTTAAGACTCACAGACTTGTGGATTCGAAAATCTCGTCGCCAATATTGTGTTCTGAATATGGAGGGACGGACACCTTGATTTTACATCAATTTATACACAGATGACTTGGAATAAACGATTTATTTCATTGTAACGACATGGCGCTTTCATACCTCAGGGTTCAGTGTGTTGCCGCTGTCATCTGTCAACAACGTCAATATTGTTGACATCAGGCATTTATTCGCGTACACAACAATAATTAGGATGATTTGCACAACACCCAAATAAAATAAACAATTTTTTTCGCAGATTTATTTCATTTGTCTTGTCACTTGTCAATAAAAAGTCAAATGTCAATGTAATCATGACTGAATAACCATAATAGTTGAGATCCAATATGCTTAAAAAAGAAGATTTAACCTCAAAATTAAACCAAAACAAGTATTTCAAATTACCAATTTCATTTCAGGTAAATTAATTTATTTTTTCTCAAAATCGCGGAATAAACATATATATATATTACAAAAAATAACGCCTTTATTAACAACTTTACAATTTTCTAAGTTTTATAATTAATTATAAAACATTTAAAATCGTTAATATCTATAAAAATCATAATACAAATAAAATAAAATAATAAAAGTATTGCACTATTTACAATTTTTTTCTTAAATTTAGAGAATAATTAAAAATATTGTCAAGATTAACTTTCTTAGCATCTTTTTCGTATAGGTTTCATTTATAGGTAAAGAAAGTTTATGTACAAAGTGCTTTCTAATCTTATTGTTAGAATTACTTGTAATCAGTTTCATAGTTGGAATGCCTGTATAGAACATAATGCTGGATGATGAAGAATATATCAAAAGCCACACTGAATAAACCTAACCCGAACTTTGTCGGATCACCAAAGATCGAAACCCAATCATCTGAAACGAGATAAATGATAGAATAAACAAATTATCGAATTATATTATATTTACCATAATTGTACGAATCCACTATCATTTGAAGCATGCTAAGCATTCCACCGGTAAAGTCTAAAAATATGTTCCCTATACTCCATCCGATTGTACTTTTCCTTTTGTAATTCATGTAAGCCTACAAATAGAGCAATGAGAAAATTTAATCGTATATTCGAGTGGTTTGTATCTTACTTGAGGAACGTATTTAATTAAAGTGATCGTTAGTTTAACGTACGAACAATAGTACAGGAAATCCAGCCAATGTATGACACCGGCAGCAGATATGATAATACTGATCAGGATAAATACTCCAAATATTCCTAATATAGTTCTGGCGGTTGTCGATACTCTTTGCTCGTTTCTCTCGTAGAGAGAACATTGTATTATAGTAAGTAAAGTAGCACAAGCAGCATGAACTGAGAACACTATATCGTTGGTTTTCACCGGGTTTAAACCGCGTGGGTACCTATGGGAATATTCGTCCTAAAAAAGTGTTAATGTCTTATACATTTTTTGTATTAGTTCTCGAAACGTACCTTAATTTCGGGTATGTAGAAGAGACCCAAATTAAACAATGAATACAAGCAAAATCCAACAATATTGAGCGCAATAAAATCAAAGTTCAATCCGACGACACTAAAACAATTAATTAGTAATTATATTGTATAGAAATCAAGGATGTATTATGAACACAATCCTTTGAATGCATTGAAATAAATAGTGAAATTCTTACCTTTTCCTCTTCCAATTAATATAAATCTGAGGATAAAAGGAAATCGACCATGCCACGAAATATATCCAACCTATCACAGACGAAAATGTATTCAAGCCGTCATTTTTGAATACTGTAACTCGCAAATATATATCTCTCAAGTCGGTTCTGAAAATTACGAAGAAAGTAAGATAAATTGCTAATAGTTTTAGTATTGTGGGAAACTTAGGCATGCTTTTCAAAAATTAATAACTGTAGAAATTATTTTTTTGTACCCATTCATTTGTATTCAAACAAACTGTAAAGTATAAGCTGAAAGCAGATAAAACGATGGCAAAAAGCATTTTGAATTCAAAATTATCTATTAGTGAAGTAACTTAGTTAAATAATTAGTCAATTTGAATGTTTAAAAATAAACGAAGGGTACCTTTAAAATTGTAATTACATATTGGAATAATTCAAGGTAGTTTTTAATATGTATGTTACGGTTAAAGTTAGATAAGCGACTAAAACTATGTTTACCCGGGTGAAGTGCTAAATACGGGTAGGGTAGGGTAAGGTAGGGTCGAGTAGGTTTCACGTGACATAACGGGAGCCTATGAAACCCAAGAAACCTACCCCTCCCTACCCTAGCCTACCCTATCCTAACCATGTTTCTTGGGTAGGTACTTTACCACTTTACCTGGGTAAACCTAGGTTTAGCCGTTTATCTAACTTTATCTGTAACATGTTTACTAATAGAGCGATATACTTATTTACTTACTTATTAGTTGTGGAATTGGCATAAATATCTGAGTGACCAGCTCCTACAGCTGTTACTTGCACCGGTAAGACAGTGTTTACATAATCACTCACATTAAATTCTGATCTGTTCAATTTCAATATATCTTTGTGTTGAACTTCAAGGGTCACTATCTCATCGGCAGTCGATTGATTCCTAAAAATTTGGTTATTTTTGTAAAAATTGGGAAACAATAAGAATGGTTAGTTAAGGCCTTACTTGAAATCGAGCGTAAATACATAAGTATTGTGCAATTTCAACTGAATGTCATGAGTGGATATGCTGGCATCACATAGAGTAGGTGTAAAAAGACCTTAAAATAATTAAAAAATATAAATCACATTCTATAAATTATCTAAAATAAATCTTTTTTGTGATAGAATGATAATGTGTCACATTTTTTACAATCACCTGAAAATGTTATCAAATAAGAGTATTTTTCCCTCTTCCAATTATTTTTTAATCTTATATTTTATAAGAGGTATTAGAGATGGCTCTTTGGATAAGTAAGAGATTATTAATTTAACCAATTTCAACTCACATTTTTTTCTAATATCATCAAAAATGTAAACTAACTCATATTATTTATTTATTGATGATATGAGTATAATTTATTAATTTTATCCTATTTATCATAGCTAAATAATCTAAACTGAAACTATTACTGCTTATTAGTATATGAGACCCTATATGATTTATGAAAAGTTAATGTTCTGCACAAATATTTATGTTATATTCCTTACAAACATGAGTCACAATTATTATTAAAAATTTCCTTTGTTTTCACGTATAAATATGTATCATCATCGATTGAAAAATAAACATTAATGAAACATGATCTGTTTTTTTGTGTGTATACATACCCTTCAAACAAATAATGAGGTAAATGCCTAGTACAACCTTCATTTTATGAGTGTTCTGAAATCAAAAAAAATGCCTTATAATTTTAGGAATACTGTAAAGAACAAGTACTTGTTTAAGTGTACTTGTAATTCAACTGAATGACAAAAGATATATGGGGTTTATACTAGATCATTTTTATCATATATCTAAAAGATTAGATGAAAATCTCTTCTCAACTTATCTCAATAATTGAGATTTCCCAACAAATGATGCAAGTAACAATGAATTAGATAGACACGAAGATAATTATCACATACTTATTTGAATCAGAAAATTTTGTACAAAATCAAATAGTTTACATTATAAAAATAGCCGAAATGAATAATTGTTATTAATAATATAATGAATAAATTGTAAATATTTGTTGGTAAATAACAATTTATCTTCAGTAGATTAGCTTTTGTTGTATCCAATAATTTTTAATGTCCTGTCACGCGGTACTTTTTAGAATTCGTTAATAGTGGGTATTTTAATTGCTCATTTTAAAATAATTTATCATAGCTAATGCGAGAATTCATAAAGCGTACCTATGAGCACGGTTTATTTTTTTTCAAAACATTTTATGGCGCATTATTTTGTAATTTTTTTATTTAAAGCTACTAAAATTAAATATTCGTTAAATCTCAAAATGCTATTAAATAAACTATTTTATGTGATTTAAAGTATTCACTACACTGTAAACTAGATATTAAAAATGCTTTACCTTTTAAAAATTACAAGTATGAAAAGTACTTATAGCAGAAGTAGCTGCCAATATATCTGAGAGTGCTCTGAGCATTATCAGAGGGAATTCCCGACTTATATTTATACATGTATGAGCAACTGACCTTCTATAATAATGAATTGATGTTCAAATTTTTTGCTCATTGTAGTACAACCTACGTTAACTACAAACATCTCACCGAATGACTAGCACAAAATTTATTATCTCTAATAATAGATGTAATAATTAATCAGTTCCAGTTAACGCATCATTGCTAATAACGAGGCAATGGAACGCTACTCTTTTGATTTACGAATTTCCACTGATTTTTCATCATGACAATTACACCATGACGCACCAAGTTTGGTGATTTTCCAGTAATATAATTTCATTTTTTATTCCAAATAGTTTTTTTTTATTTAAAAAATTACATCATATACATTTACATAACATTTATGCTGGGGTAGTTAGGCAAATGTCTATGGATGCAACAGAGGCGACTTCCATTAGTCTCATAAAAAGGAAAAAGAAGGAGTGATATTGTGGAATTACAACTTTTCTCACTCTAACCCACTGTTATTTTAATAATCTTTCTTTGTTCAACTCATAGAATTGACCATACGACACCTATCAAAAGATATTTAAGAAAAAATGTTACTTATCAAATTCATAAATCGGTTATATCTCCATAACTATTCGTTAAAAGTTATAAGAAGAAAATGTTGCATAAAAAAGTTGTTAAAAATTTCATGCTCGATAAAATGGCATTAGCCATTTATTCGTAATAGCTATTGTTTTTGAAATATTACATAAACTTATGTTATTTTAAATGAAAAGCCATATTTTATTTTTGTCTTGTAAAAGAATTTTCTTAGGATCTTTTGGCAGGTGTCATATTTTGCAAAACTGACCCTGGTTGTGAACACGTCTAAAAAAATTTGCTCATTTAAAGTTACTTCTATCGCCTATACAGTTTCCGAAATCTCTATTCTAAACATCGAAAAAAACTCGCCCTGTATAAATTTAAGAAAGAAAATATTTATACTTAACTGTTGTATTATATTTCTGAAGGTATTAGGTGTAGAACAAATAGTATTTGCTTAACCAAGAACTATGTGATAACTGATAACCTTGTGCTTATGAATATATTAAATTGCTTATTATGTAGAGGTATGTACTTCAATATTACTCTTCAACATAGCAACTTGGTAGCAAAACAATAATTTTTTTACTAATTTTTAAAATATCTTGGCTTTTGTCTATGAGGGGGGTATAAATACAGGGTGTCCCAACGTAAAGTAGCCCATTTAATCAGTTTATATATAACCTTTAAACGCCTAATCATAAAAACATGGGGTTTTCTCATATGTTTTATTTTGCCATAACTTTTTGCTAGAGTGACAGAAATTTTGTATCACCTGATGTGTAGGAAATGTTTTATCAAAATCCCCTCTTTTCAATTCACATTAACCAAATTTTATCAAACGGGACATCATCTTTTGTAGAATAACTTGTACGAATAATACATTTTTGAAAAGTAGAATATATCTTTCAGGAAACCTCTACATATACAGGGTGTTTAATAAAATTTAATAAAATTTGGTTACCGTGAATTTAAAAGAGAAGATTTTGAAAAAACAACCTCTACCTACTGGTCATACATGCATATAATCACAACAAAATAAAATATATCTGAGAAAACCGCATGTTTTTATGATTAGGCGTTGAAAATTTAGGATCTGATTAAACGAGCTATTTTTCATTGGGACATCCTGTATAAAGAATTATCAACAAATACAGATTTTCAAATATAAATATTAATAAGCCCGTCATTATTAATTTTTATTACACATCAACTCGTTAATCTCCTTGGCACATAAACCACAATAATCCCAAAATAAATAAATAAATCAATACATAAATAAAATATAATAAAAACTACTAAAAATTAACACACTGATCGATTTTTACGACCCTAATCGCAAATTAAATCGCATACTTGTCCCAGTTCAACGACACCGAAAACATCAAAACAATAAATTAGAAAACTCACCTTGTATGTGCAACGAATTAACAATAAATATGGAAATCCGACTAACTCGAAAACTTCAAATATTTGTTTTGTTTGTCGAAATTGGGGTTATGTTCGACATGAGCACATCACGGCGCGATCGTAAAACGAAAAATAGAAACCACCGAAACCGGTAGGCAAGGTAGAACAGAGGCGCAACGGAAAAGACACGAATAAAACTGGATATTTCGAACAAGGTAATTTGACCTCAACGCTGCAAGTGTACCTAATATAATAATAAACCGATCGCGACCGCCTGTCGCGAGTAAATGATATCCGACCAGCGCTTAATTGAGATTTTAAACTAAGTTTCGAGGCGAAGTTGTTGCTATTCATTGCACTTTTGTTTTTAAAATCACGTTACATTAATGTAGATAATGAAAGAATTGTTATCTTAAATTACTAATCATATTTGTTTCATTGGAGGAATCACTTATATGCTTATACCAAATTGCGTGTCATCATGGGAATTACCTAACTTCTACATTTTAGTATACATAGGACAAGAGTGAAAAATGTTCTAAACGTCGAGGAAATCGTAGGCGACCGTATTTAGATCTAGCCGATTTTTTGTAGCCTACTTGATTTTATTTCACTTTTATGACGTTTGAAAGAACTATTTTTAGAGGATAGAGTAATTACTCAAGTTGAAGAGCGGAAAATTAAGTTAAAATTTTTTTGTTCTAAAGTTAGTAAGATAGTATAATAAAATGATGCTCTAATACCTAATAACCAACAAGGTAGAGCAGAATTAGGGGATTTTTACGAGTAAGCGTCGTTCCATTTAATTGTCAAAGCCGGTTTATTTCAATTCGAAGACATTAATAATGCGCAAATTGTTATTATTATGGTGAAAATAAAATTATATCATCGAATGCCTTTGGGAATTTAAAGAATTCAGTAATACAGCGCTGAAATGAAGATAGAAATATTAATTTATGCATTATAGCATAAGCATTATAGGTATTGTTTGAAGGCCATGACCAAGGTAGCGCTCGAGAAATACTAAATTGCACGTTTTGACTAGGTCAAATATACATACATTAGAAATACTGTGTATTTACTATACAACAAATGCAAATTTCAATAATAAATATGCATTTAGTCGAATTATGTAGGTATTAAATTTCGTTTGAAATACGTTACCAAGAACCTTGATTTAATACTGGTGATTGGAAAAAGGATAAAATTCCAAAAATATGGCGAATTAAAGTGATATAGCCATTTTGCATGTTCTAATTTCACTTATCTTCCTACTGAGCGCAAAAAAATTAAATTATCGGCCTCCTTCACATCATAAATTGGTGAGTGGAAAAAGGATAGCATTCCTGGAATTTTAACCAGGTTGTTAAGTGCACTGACCATGAATAGCAGATTTGAGGTAATTTATCAATATTTTCCTATCCGAGGTCATAGTTTATGCATTGTAACAGAAATTTTCCCCAAGAAACTAAACACAGTTTCAAGTAAAACTGTTAAGTAATACCAATATACTTGATTTCAAAAGCTGGTGGTCCAAATACTTCAAACCTACTTCTTCAAAGTGTAAAATTACACAATAATAATGATTTTTCTTAAATTACCGGTTTCGCCACAAAAGTTTTTTTTGATTTCCCAAAAATAAGTCACTGGAATTTTATCCTTTTCACCCAATTCCAATTCCAATCACCCATTCAATGACGTTAGTTACATAAATGTTGTTGAAATGAAAACTCTGTTTTTATTAGTTATTTACCTTTTAATTTTAATAGTTTCGAGCTGAAACCAGTTTAACCGATAACCGAATAGTGCACGTATAATAATTAGTGCGCAAACCGTTTCATCAGGTTTCTCGTTAAAATCGACTCAACATTCGCTACATCTTCGAAAATTTCGTTCAATTGACGTTTATTGACCTGTGTCTACAACAATAAAATCAGCCTTTGCCTTTTAATCATCGTGATAAGCTCTAATTTATCAAACTTTTGCCGATGGCTAATAAAAGAAATTAGAACGAACGAGAAACGGCGGTTAGTCTAGACTAATTAGTAATTCTCGGCAACAGTAGCGCATCAAATACTTTCTAATTACTTACATACCTCGTATAAAATATGTTACTTGTAGTTTAAATGCACTGAATAAATAAATATTAATTATTTACAAAATAATTTATTAAAATTAAGTGCAGATTAAAAAAACCTTGATAAATTCGTAACGCTAAACGCTATGCACGAATAAATCTTCATTTATTTTTTAAACCTAATATTTGTGTCATATCGGGCGAAGCCGTATCTGTTGTTTCATAAAGTGACTTGAATGTTCCTGCTACATAGGCAACGCAATAAACATCTAAGCGAAGTTAGCGACAAGTCGAATAGTCGATGCAAGATGCTCAATGAAATTTGTTGTCTAATGTTTGGTCTTGTACTTCGAATTCATTCACTCGATGAAATTTATCCATTTGACAACGTCGCAAAGAATATCAACAGGTGACAGGAGATGTCAACGTTAAACTGTCTAACTCCAAACGGACATGTATACAAACAAGAAATAGAAGACTGAAGTCAATGACCAGCGGAGAAATATGTTGCTTTTTACAGTTTCGTGTCAAGACTTTAACCGTTCAATTACCATAAAAACTCTTAGGCCTTCTTTTACGCAATGCTAGCGCCTATTCCATTAAGTTTTTCGTTAAATTAGTCCGTTTATTGTATGAATTAGTGGGCAGCAAACGACTGAAAATGAGTGTCAACGTTGCAGTTGAGCCGAAAACAAACCGAAAAATGCACGAGCTGTTCATGCAAGTGCTAAAAAACAGAGACCTCTCCAGGGCAGGAGATCTCTTCTCCATCCCCGACTCTGTTATTGTTAATGATTTATCAATTGTGGTAGGTTATCACTACATTAATTTACTTTTCTAGTACACTTATTAATTATAATATATTTTTTTATAACTCTCTCATTGTAGTTAATTCTAAATTACTAATTTATGTTCATATTTAGTTGAAGGAAATTACTGTAATTGCCTCTCTGCCTGATTACGTTAACAACGATAACGATCAAAGTGTTGTCGAAATATGTGTTACAAGAGTTATGTCCTGCATAAGGGAAACAGGAAGTGTAGAGCAACATTGCGAAGCTCTAGTGGCTTTGTTAGAGTCCTGTCTTCACCATAATTTACAAGCCTCAGCGAAAGACGAGGACACTCCTCATGCAAAAATATCGTCTGATATAATATCATGCATTTTTTTAGTAAGTACACAAAAATTTCTGTTTGTAGGTGTTAATTTTTTTTATATTTTAGAATTACACTAAGAAGTCTGTAATGCAAAGGGCTCTGCCAGTTGCGGTGAAATTTCTTCACAAAGGAAATAAAGAATTATCCAGAAATATGGCATCTTATTTATCATTAGCAGCTATGGAACATGCGTCTTTACTTACTCCCCATGTGCAGCCTATTATGGATTCTATTATTTCAGGTGAATAAGCTTACAAACAAGTGGAAAAAGTAGTAGAAAACGTGCATTTTATTTTTAGGAAACTATCCTTTGTGCAGAGTTCTTCCGAACATTTACGAAGTTGCTCCTGAACCTTTTCAAGGCCACGCCATGGCGTTGGTATCTCTCCTTCCTCACTGTGATAACCAAGAAAAGTTAGCTTTATTGAACTTATTTACACTTATGGCCAAGGACAATCCTACGGTAAATATTCCATTTAAAATCTAATATCTTCAAATATCAAGTATTATTTTTCTTCAGTTGCTAGAAGCTAGCGTTCCTCAGCTCTGCGAATATTTAATTAATCGAGGAACAGTCGGCCCTACATTGGACATCTTCATTCACTTAGCCGGGAAAATGCCAGCGCTGCTCGTCGATCACATAAACGTAGTAAAACAATGCGCTCAAAAGCATCCTCAAACGGTTTGTTCATCCGCTCAAATCATTAGCGCCGTAGGAAAAATCAACAAAGACCGGGCTCAAGATGCTCTTAACTTTGTGCTCGAATATTTACCGAAGGTGGACAGGAGCTCACAGACTGCTCTGCTCAGAGAGGCTACATTGCTTTGCAGTACTTACCCCGTTCTGTTCACAGACAAAGTATTACTAGGCATTCGTCATAGACATCACACAAGGTTTGTATTTTGTTAGTGAAAACCGTATTTACAGGATTGCTATTTCAGTTTGAATCAAATAAGCCAATTACCGACGCCTACAAGCCAGGTCACATCAGGTGGGGTGACAATAGTTAAAGTGGGAGGAGGAGTTCAAGCATCCGCTCCTTCCGGTGGGTATACTCGAAGAGCGAAATTGGGGGATTCCAGGAGTACGGGAAGACTCCACACCGCTCCTAGTATAAACACTCATCGAAGCATGACAAAGCTTAATATAGCAGGAGGTAATTCTAGTAAACATTTGTTGTTGTTGTTGGATAATGATTGTTGTCTTTCAAAGATGTAGAAAATGCAACAAATTTAATCTAAATTTATTAATTGTTTATAGGATCAGTGGGAGGATTGCATAAAAGCATGACAGGTCTCAGTTCCACTCAACACATCAACGCCACGCCTGTTCCTCCTTTATCTAATAACGTCATTGTAACAGGCGTAAATAAATGGACGGCTCCAAATATAAGAGTATCGAGCGGCGGTGTAACTGTAACAACTATATCTCCACCGAGGATACAAAGACCTCTGAGTCAAGGGCCTCTGGCGTTTATCGGAAGTCATGCGAATACCGGTGGCCCCATAGTCTTAACTACTCCTTCGGTACATTCTTCCAACGCTGTAGTAGTAACTGCGGCCTACACCGGAACGCTATCAAGCGGACAAGTTTCAGTAGTAACTAGTACTATGGGCAGTTCGGTACTATCGCAAAGCATTCCGATTCGAAATAGTGTGGTGCACACTCCGCCACCTCCTCCTGCAGTCGAAACTCTATATTCCAATAACATAACGACTTCGGGTACATACTTAAATAGGATCATTTTTTTATTTTTTCGCTAAATATCCTACTTTTTATAGGAAACGTCAACGTAACGGGCCCCACTACAGTGGTAGCGCGTCGCAACAACACCAGCGTGACTTTAATCAATCAAAACGCCGCGGCCGTGCAAAGGATGAGCGTGTTCGAGCCTTATCCTATGCGGGACACCATCCAGCATTTCTGCGAAAAGCACCTGGACAAGATTAAAAGCTACATGGAGAAGGTTTCCCTGCAGATTCCTTCGCCTGCTAAGTGCACCATCGAAGAGAAGCGACACAAGAAATCCGCAAAATTGCATTTCGCCTGCCAGGCCAGGGGACAACACTGCTTGTATTCAAAGACTTATTTCACTATGAGAACAAGAAACCCGAGAATTTGGATACATCTCATGTTCATTTCACTACAGGTATTTATCCAAAAGTTGACTATTTTTATTGCTTCATTGGCTTGTTTCATTGTTTGTTTGCAGGCTCGAAACACCCATGCTCTCAGTTCCAGAGACGCCCAAGTAGCTTCTTTGAAGCATTGCTGGGACATTCTAAAATGCGAGAACAAGACGTTTCTGACGCTGGTGACGAGCGCTTTTCCATGCGTTAAGGATCAGGATTCGATTTTGAGCGAGCTGAGACATTGCGGATATTTCGATGTGTTCCAAGTGTGTCCTCCGAGCATCACTCCGGCCGATAACGCGGATTCGTCTAGCATTAACGGAGTCATTTGGGGTTGCTTCCTATGCGCTCATCCGGAAAAGGCCGTGGGATTTTTAAGAGGAGACACGAGACCGGTGATCGAGGGGCAATTGAAGGAAAAGAAAGGCAGATGGAGGCTTTTTAGAAGATGGCGGACGAGGTACTTTACCTTATCCGGGGCCCATTTAAGCTGCAGAGGATCGGTATGTTAATTACTATTTTCATATAATTTCCTAACTTACAAATTAATTTATGTTATAGAGCGGAGGAGAGTCGATAGATGTCAATCAAATTCGATCCGTAAAAGTATCGAGAGGTGCACGAAATATTCCGAAAGCTTTTGAAATATTTACAGAGAACCAAACATTGATATTAAAGCCTAAAGATGGTAAAAATGCGGAAGAATGGGTGCAGTGTCTGAGCATCGTGGTGGCTCATTCGCATGCTAAGGAGCTGCCCAATAAAAGCAATTCATTACCTGCGAGAGGTATCAGTTCTAGTCGTACCGTTGTGTGAGGTGTTAATTTTGTTAAAATCGTTTTTACATGAAAATGTTAATTTTTACATCAAGGTGCGAAAACAGGCAGCTTTCATTCGAAAGAGTTTTGAATGAGTATATGTTATGCTCTTTAAAAATCAGTATATGCATTCTAAATCTTGAAATAATGCGTTAAGTTATCATAAATACGTGGACGTACAAATAAATCAAGATCATGATTATACCTAATGCACTACACGACTTGTAAATAGTAAAAATATGACAATAAATCGCGGTCAATAAGTACACAATATTAAGTTGTGCTACAATTGAACATTCTTGAAATCCGTCCAATAGGTAGTTTTTGTAAGAAGTATATTTATTATTTTTATATGATTTATTGATTTTGAGGAATCGAATCTGTTACAGTATACTAAAAAATTGATAAGCAATTCATGACAAAATATTACAATTTGTACGCGTTTAGCAATTTAGTAAGGAAGTATCAGTAAACAATTAAACCAGAAATAGTATAATCAAGTATCTTATTTTTAAGTATGATTAATTTAACAATAGTTAGACTTTGTATAATTTCTTTTGAAGAGGATGGACATTTATTTTAAAGTAATAATTTATATCAAATATGTTTCACTAGTATCCTTTCATTTTTTGGTATTAAGCTAAAGAACTGGAGATAAGAGGTCAATTTTTTATAAACCAGTGAATTTTTGTCACGCAAGATTTTTATATTTTCTTTACAATGCATTTTGTTCCTGTGATTAGCAAAGGAAATGAGTTATGTGAAATGAACTAGAAAATTTCTGTTTCGAAAGTATTCAAAAATTATACTTTATCTCATTTTATAAATAGGATATAATATAATCTGTATATTTTTTATACTCTTTTTACATTTTGTTTTGTTTATATAAATATATTAAACACATTCCAATTTTTTGAATATATTTTATAACTGTTATACATATTATATAATAAAGTTTTTTACTATTTTTCAGTCATTGATTCCAAAGCAATTAAAAAAACAGATTGTAGGTAGTTATAAACGTTTATTACATCAAATTGACGCACCTTACAGTGTTTGTTTAAATTAAAATTTACAATGTCTTAGAAAAATATGACCGTTCACATTATATCTAAATAAAATTACCTTCCCCAAATCATTTCCGTAAAAGCTTCAACTGTCTTTCAAAACCTGCATTCGGCTTTATGCAATTTCTTGCGGCTTTGCAGAGTTCATAGGACATGTCATAAGTGAAACTTTTCCTTAAAATTAAATAACCGATTACAACAGATGTTGATCTGCTGACCCCAGCATTGCAATGTACTAATACATTTTCGTTTCTATCGAGATAAAAATCGATGAAATCGACACTATCTCGTAACATTTCGTTAAGGTCAGTTTCTGGTAGATCCAAACATTCAACAAATCGATAAGTTACATGCGGATGTTTTTGAGGCGCATCAATTCCCACACTTAACACGGATTTTATATTATAATTTTGTAACACCTCGTATTCACAGCAATCTTGGGAACCCAAATACAGATTTTCTATAATTTTTGCAGGCGTTTTGTCCGGGTTTGTGTCGATCACAAAACCGCTGGTCGATCCGATGATTTCGACAGTATTGTCTTTGGATTCCTTGTATTTCATCCCGTCGAGATGAGTGACAATGGTCTCGGTTTTCCTTAAAAGTCCTCTCTTAGATTTTATGGAATCTAACAAACTCATTTTTAAAAATAAATTGTACTTCTAAATTCAATTAATGAATGTAAAACTTAAAAGCTATCGAACAAAATTAACATTTTGTGAAATAAAGTAAGATGTTACACTTTTTGAATTACATGAAAAACTTGTATTATATTATTATGCAAAGTATAAAAGTTAGTTAATATTTACACGTTGTATCAAAATAATGGTATTTTTAGAACAAAAAGATAACGACTTGGACAATAATCAGAATATTTTAATTATGGAATTGAGAAACGTTCAAAAAGTATTAACACCTTTCACAATGTCTACAAAAAATTTAAACTACTTTAATCTACCTAATGAAACAAACTTAAAAAAGATAGGTAGCTTACATGTATAATAAAACTTTATTGATTACATACTACTTCGTAAAATTACAAACACTAACTGATGTTCTTAAAAATTATTTGTGAATTATTAATTTTTAATTCGGCGACCTTGATCGGCTTCTGGATTTGCTTCTGTCTTTGCTGGCGGATCGGCTTCTGGATCTGGACCTTTCTTTGGAAGCTTCTCTCGATTTGGAACGTTTATCGGGTGTTCTGGAGTGAGACCTAGATCTAGAGCGTGAACGATCTCTATCAACGGACTTCTTTCGTGAATTAGATCTAGAACGATCGACCGACTTCTTACGAGAAATCGATCTGGAACGGGACCTAGAGTGGGACTTTTCTCTTTCGGCCTTAGCGCTAACCGAACGGGATCTGGACCTGGATTTACTTTTCGATTTAGAACGAGAGCTACGACTGCGTGACCTCGACCGTCTCGCCGACCTACTGCGCGATCTACTGCGGCTGCTGTACGAAGCCGAACGTCTGCCTTTCGTCTTTTTATCTTCGACCAAACGGAGCCGTCTACCATTCAATTCGGTATCGTCTAGCTTTTCTATAGCGTTTTTCATGTCGGAATAAGAGGCGAATTCGACCACACCCTCATTACGGTGCTGTTTGTGTGCATCCGCATAAGTTACTTCGCCCGCCTGGCGCATATAATCTTTCAAATCTTGCCAGCTAATCCGGGACGATAGATTTTCGACGATTAATCGGTAGTTGGTGCGAGTCGGTGGTCCATACCTGTCGTTGTAGGAGCGGTGATCGTCGTTCCTCGACCGGCTGCTGCCACCGCCACCACCACCACCGCCGCCCGACCACTGGTCGCGTCCTCTGGGGGTGCCTCTGGCCCTCTCGACAGTCACGCGCTCCCCTAAAAGTTTTTTACCATTTAGTTCATAAACAGCATCATCTGCATCTCTATAATCGTCAAATTCAACAAACCCGTATCCGTTTTTGATGAGAACGTCCCTCATTCGACCGTAACCTCGGAAGAAGCGCTCCAGGTCCCGCTCCGTGGTCCCGTAAGGCAAACCTCCCACGTACACCCTAGATCCGACCATACTGAAATTTACAAAATAAAACACCAGTCCCTACGACAAATCCGACTCTAGATCCGCCCTAAACGTGTCCAAATCCTCTTTCGAATATTCCACTTGGCAAAGATACAAGCCGTGCGCTGGTGCAGTTTTCAACTGGGGACACCAACTGTGCCTCGACGGTATCTCTAACATAAACTTTATATCCCTAATCGTAACTTTGCCGTCCGCTAAAGCTACCAACGCTGCTATAATCCTTCGAACCTACATAGAAAAAAAAAGTCTGTTTGTACAAAACTAAATACACCGTCGCAAACGGGGCATCAATTTGGTTGGAGCCATTTTGAAATGTTTCCCTCCAAGCCCACCGGTCACTTTTTAGGTTAAGCAACGTGTCTAATCAACTTCTAACAAAATTCTCGAGAAAAAACACATTTGCACCATTGCGTAATATAAATAAATGTATATTTACTTGTTTGCCGGAACGATGCGCTTTCACAGGAAGGCTCGATGCAGTTTTTAGCTTATTTTTAAACCAAATTTGCTGCTTATTACGTTCTTGAACGCAAAGCCACAGAAGAAGAGAGGAAGAAAGAGAAAGTTCGGGAACAGATAAACACAGGCATTACTGCGACGTTGCCGGAATTGCGTCACACGTCATCAGTCACTTTATCAAATTTACAATCACCAGTTTTATTACATAATAAACAAATATCACACATAAAATACATGTGACAATTCATTTTATTATATTTGAAATGCATTATTGTTTAAATTTTCACGTATTTACGATTTCATTTAAAAATATTTGAAGTAACGATTACGATGTTGCCACATCGTTCGACATAAGTGTTAAAAAGTTTGCCTATATTGGGAAAAAAGAGTTGTGACGTAAATTTTGATTAATCATTCAAAAATATGTTTTTAAAAATATGTTAAATACAAATGTTCCATTCGAATCTTGCAAAATTTTCAAATATGCGCACGTTTCGACCTTCTATTCTTCTAATCTTGTTAGTAATGGATTTGCAACGCCAGTTTCATCAATACTGATGAAAATAGATTATCATTGCTTCTAATCAAAGTTATGAAGTGGCCCCCTTTAGATAGCAATATATTAAGAAAAAAGTGTCCCTGAACATTGGAATTGCTGTTACAAATAGTACATATATTTTCTTACCTGTCTGTATAGGAAACCATTAGATTTTATGTAGATATTCAAGAACACATAATCGTCAATTTCAGAAGCAAAATTTGGCCAACTGTAAGGGCTGTATCCAGTTTTTACTGCTTGTTCGATTTTAATGTACTCTACACATCTCCTGGTAACCTTATCCACTGAGCCTTTTCCCACGAAACTCCTGAAATCGTGATGTCCTTCCAACAATTTCGCCCCTTCCTCCATTTTATTCACATCAAACGTTTTAGAACTGAAGCATTGGTTTAAAAGTATTACGAAATAACCATAATTGAATAATGATTTTACCAATAAAAAAATGCTCGATTCCATTCTTCTATAGGTATATAATGGTAAGTGGATTGTAGTATATCTGTATTTGTCCTGCCAACTATTATTCTATATAAATATGTCCTGGATATTGCGTTATGCCTGCAATTAAATGTAGTGGGAACTAAATATGTCTTTAGTATTCTAATTGGCACGTTTTCATTAGTAAAGTAAGTGTTTAAGGAAACAGTAATAATTCGAGGATCATAAGCCATTGTGTTTGGCCTGCATAAATCAACTTGACACGTTGTATTTAAGGCATTCACTCCTGAATCAGTCCTGAAAAACCAATTAGCTATAATATGGAAAATATATTGATAAAGGCAAATGTGCCGTAAGAACGAACTTTACCTGGATGATAAATAAACTACAGGTTCTTGATGAGGGCTTAAATATTTTAAAGCCGTTTCCAGGCGGCCTTGGATAGTAAGGGGATCATCCTTTCTAGGAAAAGTTCCTACAACTTGTCTTTGGGAACCCCTGTAATAAAAAGTAAGGTTAATTTACACATTTCGTCGTTTTCGTAATATAACTTTGGGTAAATTACCTAAACGGCGCTCCAATATAAGCTATATTCATTAAATATCTGAAAGCCGACATTATATTTGTTTCACTTGATTAAAAATAATACTAAAAACTAAAAACAAATAGGCATGGTTTTAGTTTGTCAGTAATTACAGATACATAACTCAAGAATATGTTGAATGAAATATTTTTAATAGAATAATGGAAATTGGTAATTTTTTTAGTAATCGTTAAGAATAATTTCTCCTAAATAAATAAATAAAATTCCCAATTTTTAAAAAAATTTATTTGAATCTTTTGTAATGACATAACTGACAATTCAAACTGTCAATGTCAAAATGTCATTTTATTCTATTTTATTGGTTCTAACTTCATTGAATTGCCAGATTTTTTTTTTGGGATTGGATTTTTTGATTACTAATTAATTTATTGTATTATTTTTGAATTTTTTAATCAGATTAAATTAGTTTGAAGCCAGTATTGACGGACATTGGTCTCATGATTATATTTGAAATAAAAATTTTAACTAAACTCTTCTTCTTTTTTTGTTAATTACCATGATGTCATTCTGCCAATATTTACACATTTTCGAAAAATAATTAAATAAATTAATTGATTTAGAGGATATTTTAGTAATCAAAAATTTAATTTTTGGATGATTGTTTTCACAACAAACTTGTTTTCTTAAAAGCATATTTTCTAATTAAAAAAGAGTCGAATGCAAATGTAATTAGAAAGATAAAAAAGTAAAAAGAACGACGAATTTATTCTGGAAGAGTGAACGATCAGAAGCAAATCGAGTAGAATTAAAAAGTACAAATACGTTTCAGACAAATCACATTCCGTTTGGACTATTTTTAAACCAAAAGAAATATGGCGATGATCAGACGTATCTGGATCAGCCTTTAATTCTCGCCGTTCGAAAATCGTGAAATACCGCACCGGAAAATAATGTGAATCGCAATAAAAATTGTGCTGACAAGTAACATTTTTAAGTATTTCTTTAGTTTGTTAAGTAATATTCTAGTGGTGCTTAAAATTTAGTTTCAATTTCCCTGGGTGGATTTTCATTTAACATCTCTTTTAATTAATAAAAACTGGTAAGTCTTTTTAGATTGACTCTGGTTAGTCACTCGATCAAAGTGCGACTAATCTAATCACGCTTGAATTACATACATTTATGGTTTATTTGGAACTTGATAATCTTTATCAATATATGACACATTATGTCAAAATTTCTATATTTAAAAATCGGATTTATTTATAATTGGGTTATTATTTGTCACGTTTTTTCGTTTAATTTTAATGCAGGAATTACCAATCTGATCGAGTTTGATTAAATATTTACACAACCCTGCTCTATCCCCTTGTTCTCAATACCATTTGGTGCTCTACATAAATATTAAAGAGGCGTTTCAAAATGTTCATTTCATCATCAGCATATTGTAGAATAATCGCTATAAAGTCGAGCACATTTTAATAAAGTTCCGCATATATAATTTTACTTTTATCACGTTATTGCAATACACCCATAAAAGTTTATCGCACCAGACTATTGTTTCTATCTCATATTCTCAGTAATTTGCTTACTCTACTTGGTTAGAATTAATATTAATTATGCTATACCCAGGATTACACTATGAATCAACAGTTACGTTATGAATAGCTAACCAGCTACATTAGAATTTTATTTATCAATTGATGTTATCGACTAAATGTAATGCAATAGATTCTAATGCATAAAAAATATCGAGACTTTATCTAATACATTTACTTCACTTTCCTTTATTGTTCCAATTCCTGCTACAACTCCATTATATTTGCCTAGTTGTTTTCGAGACCCCCGATACATGTATACAATTATTGTTTTAGAGTCAAAATGGTTGTCGGAGAAAGCATAAATAACATAATGGGTGGTTTAGAAAACACAGGGACAGTCAAACAGCACAATCACAAAAAGAAATTAAGACAGAGGTAAGAATTACATGCAATTGAAGAAGTGGTAAATAGAGTAAATTCGTATCATTTTTTAGGTTTGACATAATAAAAAAACTGGGGCAAGGAACATTCGGAAAGGTGCAGCTGGGAATAAACAAAGAGACTGGTCAAGAGGTTGCTATTAAAACCATAAAAAAATCTAAAATAGAATCGGAAGCGGATTTAATTAGAATTAGAAGGGAAATTCAGATAATGTCTTCAGTACAACATCCCAACATAATACATATTTACGAAGGTAAAACAACAATTTCTAGCGATTGTGATTTTTTATATCCATTTGCCAGATCTTTTTTTATATATTCCCAATTTTTTTATCGGTAATGAAATTAGCGTTTTTTTTTATTTTAAAAATAGACTAGTTCACTGAACCTATAGTAAGTGGGCAGAACTTAGGTCCATTAAAGCATTATTTAAGAGCAATAAAAATGCTAGTCAACTTTTGCGATACCTAAATACAATTCCTCATTCTCATTTATTTTTAATTTTATTCCAGTTTTCGAAAATCGAGAAAAAATGGTACTCGTGATGGAATACGCAGCCGGAGGTGAACTTTACGATTATTTATCCGAAAGAAAAGTCTTAAAAGAAGAAGAAGCTCGCAGAATTTTCAGACAAATCTCAACTGCTTGCTACTATTGCCATAAACACAAAATTTGCCACAGAGATCTAAAGCTAGAAAATATTTTACTCGATGAATATAACAATGCCAAGGTAAATTTAGGCCAATTATCGAATAAATCATTACAAATAGGTATAATTTATGACAATTTGTAGATTGCTGATTTTGGATTATCAAATGTCTTCGACGATCAAAGATTGCTGAGCACGTTTTGTGGTTCCCCACTGTATGCTTCACCTGAAATAGTTAAAGGAACCCCGTACCATGGCCCTGAAGTGGATTGCTGGTCTCTAGGCGTTTTGCTTTACACTCTAGTGTACGGTGCTATGCCATTTGATGGTAGCAATTTCAAAAGATTGGTGAGGCAGATATCTCAAGGGGATTACTTCGAACCAGCCGAACCCAGCTGTAAGCCATACCCACTTCTTACTGCCCCTTCCTATTACAATGTGTCGTTTTAGCTGCGTCTCAATTGATAAGAGAAATGCTGACAGTGAATCCAAAGCTTCGTGCCGATGTCGAGAAAATCTGCAGCCATTGGTGGGTGAACGAAGGCTACTCCGACAATTGCTTGGACATATCGGAGGAACTTGCGAATCAAACGCCGGTTAGGCTCGACGTGCTTCTATCCTTGGCGCCTCCGGCTCCGCAATTGGAAAGCGAGAAACTCATGGTAACGGACGAAGAACAAAACGCCAAACAAGAAACACCCGCCCCTCCTACTAGATCTCAGTCTGTTGGCTCCCTGATGGAAATGGCGAATCCGGCCGAAAGGAGAATCATCAATATGCTACTGGAAGATAAGATGACCCCGAAGAGGAAATTGGAAACTACCGTTAGCACTGACAGAGTTAATTTGGACAAACGAAAAGAGAAGATAGTGAAGGAAAATACTGTTGCTGATATAACGGTAAGATTTATTAGTCTATTTTAAATTCATGATTTTCACAAATCTTATCCAGGTACACGGGCAACAAGACGTGGGCGAAATGAAACCAGCACCGTTAGATAAGAGCTCGACTCAAACGATATCCAAAGAAATGGAAGTAGAAACGCCCGAGGCTATGGATCCGAGTCTGCAAGGAGCTGCCTGCTCCGAGCTGTTGGAGGAAACCGAAAAGAAAAAGAACCAGAAGGTGAAAAAGTCGTTGACGAAAACTCTAATGAACAGTAATTTGGAGAACATCAACGAAATTCCGAGCCAAGAGAACATCGCGGATACGATAAACAAGGAAAATGTTAAATCAACGGCCGAAGAAGTTAAGAAACCATCGACCGAAACTAAAGCACCGGCGAAGAAAAAGGTCATTGCAAAGAAAGTGCTGACCGATCAGAACGAAAATGCAGCCGAACAAACGCCACAAATTCCTAAAATCGAAGAAAAACCCAAAAAGGAAAGTTCCCCTCAAGAAACGAAGGAAGCGGATCCGGATGCGCCCTCGAAACCGATAGAAAGAAGACGATCCAGAATATTCGAAGCCGCCGAAAAGTTCCAAAATCTCATCTCGCCCACTGAAAGTAAACCAGCGACGTCGGAAAAACCGAAGAAGATTCTAATACCGGGCGTTAGCGTCGACGGATTTAAGAAAGAATTCGAACGCAAAGCTAGCCTAACGTCGACCGCCCCTCCGAAATTAAAAGGTGCCTTAACCAAGAAAATACCCGTCAAGAAGCCGGAAGACAAGAAGGACACAGTCGAGACTGCGGAAAAATGCCAAGCGGAAACCCAAGAGACTGACGAAGAGAAACAGAAGCGCCTACGAAACGCCGTCAATATCATATCGAGTGCCTTAGATAAAGAGGGAACGAGAAAATCGAAATCGCGGCCTTGCATCGAACGAAAGCCGCCCGTGCCGTTCGGCGTCGGCGGCCGATCGGCGTCGGGCAACATCGCCATGATAACGCCCGCGTCGCCGCCGTCGGGCCCGAAGCCCTACGTTCCGCCCAAATTCGCCGAGCCGCCCGTGCAAAAGGCCGAGGAGAAAGTCGAAGTGGCCGAAGACGGCGAGATTTCCGGCGATTTGAACGCGAAGAGCGCCACGTTGCCGAGGAGGAAAACGGCCAAGGCGGAGATTCATTTGAATTATCCTGTTCCTAAACCCGCGCACATGACATTCAAGACTGAAGTGGCCCGTAACATCGAAGGTTATCCGCCACAGACTACGGAAATTATCGCGGAAATTACCCTACCGAGGTAAATTATATCGTATTTGTGCACTACGTTCAGGTTTGTATGCTAAAATGTGACTAATAATATTGTTATTTAGACCGGAGGGGCCGAATTCGAGCAAAGAACGAGTTATTCCGATTTCTTTCGAGAGGGAAGAGAGCCAGGAGACCGTGCAAACGCCGCCCGTCAAACCTCCTGCAGCAAGAGTTTTCCAAACGCAGAAATCCAGCGGCTCTCAAAAGTAATTAGTAGATTTCGTTCTAACGGTTTCATTACGTTTGTTATCTTTTAGATCAAGCCTGTCCAGGCAATCCACGCAGGATTCGGACAACGAAACGGTCACATCTACTGGAGAACCCATTCGAAAATCGCCCAGGGAGTACATAATACCGATAGCCGTCGAAGGTGGAGGCTACGTCACGCCTAGAGCTGGCAGTTTGGAGCCCAGTGATACAGCAAGTACTACCAGTACTATGGCTAGCAGGAGTAAATCCAAGTTCGGACGTGCTAGACGATTCAAGTAAGGGAACTGATACTGGAGAATACCTAAAGACCTCTTTATATCAAGGCTTCTTTTTATACTGTAAAATCTCACCTGGCCTTTCTAGACATCTTTACTTCCATTCTGGTCCACTAATTCTCACCAATATCTCCCTAAACATCCTGAGCTCAGTTTTCTTTGTAACCAATAGTTAATAATTCATTATTTTCAGTTCGTTCTTCAGCGAAAGAGACTCCGAGGACGACTCGTTTTCGTTCCACACTCACAAGGATAGCGACACCGAGGATTCCAGAAAGGATGCTTTCCACAGGTTAAGGTGCGTATTTGTTAAAATTCCGAATTTTACCATTAAATAAATGTATTTCGTATTAATTTCTAGGAGCACTCGTCCTAAAAAAGCGACAATGGACCACGCAGAATCCATCAGTTCCGGCGACGAAGATGACGATGATGGTTTTGAAATTTTAACCGCCGAAAATTTGTTCTCGACATTATTGTCCAGGGTACGAGCGTTTAGTATACACTTAATTAGATGTCAAATTGTATTTTCGAAATTATTGCAGGTAAGAGATTTGACTCAAAGGTTGAACGTCGATGAAGGGATGAGACCGGGTTTTCCCAGCAGTAAATTTTTCAGCCATTTCGACCACGGAACAAATTTCTTTAATAGAATTGAACACCCCTTATCTAGGTAAGTACTATTTACTCTTCTAATACCGGGGTCAATAAGTTAATGCAACAAAATTTGGCAATAGATATTTATGACATGATTAGAATATGCAACGTTTTTGACAAGTGGTCTCAACTTTTTTGAAATACAGTCGTCTAAAATTCGCATCTAAAAAGAACCTCCGGGCAATTTGTTGCATTAATTTCGAGTTACCCTGCATATTTAGATAGTATTTTAAAATTGGCAACGGTTTTCGTGCTTATTCCAGATAGCCTCTGATTTAGGGATCAGAGTCGAGACCTAAGACTCTTTCTACAGCCAAATTTTACCAAACACTAAAATATCTAGTACTCTTTCCTAGTACTAATTATTTTTTTCTGATTTTAGGCACTCATCGTTGGGCAGAACTTTTGGACGGGATAGGCCCACTGTGACCAAAACGGCTGTTGGTAATAGTTTCGGAGTGCCTTGGAGACGAAGCGTCAGTCGCGATTTGGCCTCTGACATAGATACCGTATTTAAAGGTCCCAATGATGCTCCCGCTTCTCGTCCGACCGGTAAGATTTGAACCGATCGGTAATTTTCGTTTCTTTTAATATACATTTTGGTGTTGTAGTTTTACAACCGATTAGTTTCGTTTTGGCAAGAAAGAACAATGCGATATTCGCGCAAAATTGTTCTTTTTCCAAGCGATTTCTAGAATTTTACCAAAATGTATTGTGCATTAGGAGATATGTTTATTTTTTTTTTGTGGTAGTGGTAGTTTGTAGGGTATTTTTCCTGCAATTTGATTGATTTATTACTGGAATAGTTTATTTTTTATTGGTTTCATTTTTCAGATAAACTAGTGAAAATTAGTTATAGATTGGTGCATTTTTTAGTAATTTGCGTTAGAAATTATTTCAATGTTGGGAGTATTTTTTTATTTTTATGAATTACTAAAATTTGTATAATCTAATATTGCATTAGAAGTTTTATTACCAAACATTTTTTGCAAAAAATTTGCACATATTTAATGAAGATCTTATTCTGAGCATATTCTACAGAATACTTGTTTGGTAATTATAGTAATCACATAAACTGATGTATAATATACTCATTTCTGGTATATACAATAAAATTTATTAGCAGGTATACTTTTTAAGTAACAGGTAACTATTTTCTTTATTTATAAATATGAGGTTTGTTCCCGACACGAGTTCCAAAAGTTATTAGATAAATTTACAGAATAAATATAGAGAAAATAATTTAGAAACCTGAACTATGGTTGAACCTGGGTTGAATTCCACATGTAAACATACTAATCCAAAACACTAAGAACTCTCACTCACATTAGGTATTTTATTTCCAATTTAATAATCTCAATTACTTCAAACTAGTATTACGAAAACACGAAACAATTTGTACAACTTGTACTAAACAATTTGTTTAGGGCTCTTCTCGCCTCAAAAAACTTGTCTTACACAACAAATTCCATTACTGTGTGACTCGCTTCGGGAACAAACCCCCAAGTTATACATCAGATTAAGTGTTGAGGTAAAAACGGTAAATTTATAATTAAAAAAAAAAGTTAAAAAAGAGCATGGCCGTGACTTGGTTGTGTGGTTGCAGCGCACGTGCGTGTTACGGTGCATGTACCCTGCGGTCCAGCCACTCAGAGGGGTACTGACTAACTGCCTGCTGGCAAAATGCTACGACACAGATTCGGTAGGCCGCATGCACGACTAAAATATTATTTTAAATCGACAAATACATCGCATCAATTCAAAATGTACAGATTTTACGTGTCTCGCATTACATTTCATCCCCTGGTTTTGTAACGTTTGCGTTGTAACAATAAGTTGAGCTTTTTATTTTTGTTCATTTTGATGGAAACTGGCGATTTATATTTGTTAAATTGTAAACGAAATTTTTGATATTTGACTGCGACGCCTATTTTACATTCCGTTTAACAAGTTGTACACATCAAACTGAGGACCGAACACTGAGAGAAATTGGCACTGGTTCGAACGTACATTGCAGGAAAAATACCCTTCGTTGTGTGTTTATTTTGATGTTTACAATTTGTTGATTCGTTTTTCTGATTTGTTGATATTATTTCTATTAACATGTTGGACTTTCAAATTTTTGTCGGGATTATTTAATTTTTTGATCTCTAAATAAATCGATTTTAAACATGCAGAAAAGTCCATATCCTAGTTGCATGATACAACATAACAAAATGCTTGATTTGCAGAAGTTTTACTTTTTTATGATTTTTTTTATACTAATTTTCGTTGTTTGTGTTTTTTTATTTCAAGCTGCAGCAGATGTTTTGTGCCAAAATTTCATTAATCTCTGAAGGTAGGTGTTTTTTATTTATGCATTGATGTTTTATTAATAAAATTGCACGATTATTTATCGATTGTTGTGACCTGTAATTTGTTTTTTGCTATTATTTCGTTGATTGATTCACCATAATCCGTTCAATTTACTCGTAATTAAACTTAATTTTCCTACTTATTCTAGCAAAAAGCAGGTGTAAATATAATATAGGTCACTTTTTATAATGCATTCATACTCTCAAGATGGCACGTTTTAAATGTTACTATCACCAGATTCAGAAATTAACTCTTCAAATTAAGTGGATCAGAAGTGGTTTAAAATAGATCAATAATTAGAGTAAAGTTTTATCGTTCATTTTCCATCAATTAAGTGCGTATTTTATTCATTTTCATTCGATTAATTTAGTTACTTAATATCTAATTATTTTTTTTTTGATGGAGCCATAACATTTTTTATACTAGTTAATAATAAAATTGGATTGATAATTGATTAGCAAAATTTTATAATTCCTTAGGGATAAATCTATAGTAAAGCAAAAGTATTTAGCTGATTAAATGACATTTATAGCGATTTTAAAACGTGCCTTGTACCTACGTTTGTTCCTCACTGAGTTTCCGAACGTTTTTTCAGATCATCCGACCGAAGAAAACCTTAATTTAGCAGATCTAGATTTAAAAAAATTAAAATTGTCCGACGAAGACGCCCTGGCGCTGTCTTACCTCACCCCCGGCTTATCGAAGCGCATCCAAAAGCAGCTGCTCGCCCAATTAGCGCCGTCAGAAGCCAGAAAATTGCACCGTACGATGTCCTCTCGCACGTCCGAAGAACCGACGCCCGGCAGATCGACCTTGCCCAGACGCTACTCCGTCGAAACCAATTCGAATTCGAAGGAAGCCGACGCCAGGGGAGCCCAAAGATCCTTCTTGCCGGTGAAGCGGGAGGATTACAAACCGTCGGAGTACAGCATCAGATCCTCCAGCATAGGCGCCGAGCCTAGATGCGACAGCAAATTCCTTAGGAAGCCCAAAGTAGTTAGCAAATCGGTGTCGCTTCGCGAACCTAAAACTTACTCGTCGAAATCGGATTTGCAAAGTCCGGATTCGAGCGTGTCCGAGAGCGTGTCCACTTCCTACAAGAACGACAGCTCCAAATGCGTATCGGAATCGTCCATGTCCAGGCCGTATTCGAAGTATTCCTCGGAATCGCTGTATTCGCGGTACTCGCCGAACAAGTCGCTGGAAACGATCGATTCCGGCAAAATCGACGCGCAAAAACCCAAAAGGCACTCAAGGTTCCTGAGACCCGACTTTTACGAAGGCCAAAAAGAGGAGAACGTCTATCTCAGGGATAAGAAAGAACGCGAAATGGAGACGCAAAAGGTCCTAAAGGAAATAAGGGACAAACGGAAGAGTCGTTTGTGCTCGAAGAGGCGAGAGGAATCGCAAAATCGCGACAATTCGGAGAAATCCGAAGATCAATCACTCGCTGAATTAGATACAACGGCCGATGTGCTACTAAATCAGGTATCTGATAGCATTAAAACTTTAGAAAGCGCGAATAACATACACGATTACGTAAACGTGCCTGGTACCAGTGGTAGTACAGATATTTTACATGACTACGTTAACGTTAAGAGTTCCAATACTCCCGTTAAGAAAGAAAAACAATCCAAAATAGCCAGACCGAAATCGTATCCAGCGGAAACGCAGCCCGTTCGCGCTTCGCCGGAAAAAGAATCCAAACTGAGCAAAATCAAAAAGGGCTTCAGCAAGAACCGAGAGCCAAAAAAATCGTCTACAGAAGAAGAAAAAGGTCAAAAAAACAAGCTTCTTCAGACTCTAGAGAAGAAGCTGGAAAAGTTTCGAACGTCCAAAGACACCCAAGCCGCGCAAGAAAAAAAGTCCGGCGTCGAGAACGCTATAAAGCGACTGAGAGAACAAAGTTTACCCAGAAACCTCGAGCACTGCACCGAATCCGGGCTGCTGAAGCGCGCCGTATCCGTGGAGGATCTGTCCGGCAACAAAACGTTGCAACCCTCGCGGAAATCCGTCACGAAGATCCTGGGACTCTTCAAGAAATACGAAGAACAGGAGAAGAAGAAGGCCACGAAGAAGCCCAAGAACAAAACCAACGGCGATGCGACTCCGAACGACAACCACAAGAAGGAGCGCCCCAAATCCCTGCTCATCGATAAACTCAAGCAATATCCGCTGGGCGATAGAGACGCCAAGGCCAAGTCGAAGTTGCCCACCAACACCAACGCCTACAGGAGGAGCCTCAACTTGGACAACATCGCCGACGCGACGAACAACAATGCGACTTCGAAGCCGGACAGGCGGAACCTGCAATTGGACTTGAGCGCCGTACAAGCGAAGTGCGAGCCCGCGGCCGGTTCGAGCGCCATCGAGGACTCGGCGAATTTCAATTACAACGACAACAGGAGCTCGCTGGCGATGACGGACGACAGTTCGACGGTGCTTTCGCCGTCCGACGATTACCAGAGTTGCGACAGCTGGTCGGTGATGTCGGAGTATCAGAACGTCAACGATCTGCACTCGCCGCTGTCGCCCAACGGGTACTTGTACTCGGGCGACGAGAACGAGTCGGTCATCGACAGGATAAGGCGGAAGAGTTTCTATACGAGATTCAACGAGAAGAAGCGGACCAGAAAACCGAGCTCGTACAACTTGGATTTGGGCTACAAGGGCTCGACTGATTATAGTTCCTTGGATAGAGGTAGTTACGGTTACAGATCTTCGATTAATCGTAGGTAAATGGAGTAATTTAAATGTAGTAATTTTTTCTCTGATACATTTTTCAATTTTTACAGGCCCAGTTACATAGCAACTGCTCAAGATCCCGTTAGAACTTACAGGCCGTACTCGAGAAGCTCGTCCTTACTCAACGATTACGTTAACGTTCCCAATCGTTATCAGACGTACAATTCGAAAATCTCCAGGCCCGTTTCTTCTTTATATTCCGACTGTGAAGATAACTTGGACGATTTCGTGCCGACTGCTAAACCTAGACAGTGAGCATCGACTTTTTTAAATTATTTTTACAGTCTTTTTAAAGTTAATTTTGTTGTTTGTTGAACCTTAACTTGCTTTAAACGATTATACCTTCAAAATGCTTTATATTGGAAGGTTGTGGGTAAAATAAGAAAATAGTAAGGTCACTGGTCAGGTTTTCAAAGTAAAAGTAATCTGTAAAATATATCTTTTAAACTAATTTTGAAAAGACTACAATCAGATTTCTATAGGGCGTCACAAATGTAACTGACATTTTAAATTTTTCCCTATTTTTATAAATTTTATAAAACGATTTAGAACGATCTAGCATAATTTAGAATTGTTTAAAACCATTTAGAACGCTACAGAATCTTTACAACTGTCTGAAACCATTTACCATTTATAATGCTCCAAAATCATTAAGAACTGTCTAAAATCATTTGAAAACTACGAGTTCATGTGATTTAACACCGACTTTTTTGCTGTGGGATCCTTAAGGATATATTTGGAAGATTTAAAATGTCAGTTACTGTTGGGACATCGGATAGTTTTAATAAATATGTGGATATTGTTTTAGATACAGTTTATCAACGCAGCCGACGAGGTTAGGTCGAAGATCCGTTTCACCGGCTAACGAGTTTTACCTGGGTCATCCGACGTCCCCGCTGGTGTCGCCAAATTCTCCGGATATTAATTAGATTTCGCCATTAATTCGTAGTGAAACGAAAAAAAAGTAATCAAATTTGTCATGAATACTCTTCGGGATAATTTTTGTTAATTTATATTGTTGTAAAATCACTGAATTGAGGTTTTTTTTTCTGTCGTTATTAATCGCTCTCTTTTAATATTAAGTTTGAAAAACAGGTGCTCGTTTTAATCGAATATAATTCGATAACTCAAAAACGCAATAATTGGAAGATTTTTTGAAAAAATGCAAATACACTCATCTCGTCGTTTGTTTTCCTATTTGTGTCGACTAGTCACTAAATTTTTAATTTTTTTGAAAAATCTTGTATATTTGGTTTTTTCTTTTTTGCCTTTATAACTTATTGTATTTATTTAGTGTTTTTTTTGGAATGTATTTATTGAGGGATTGTTTCCAGAAAATGTTTTCGAATTGTTATAAATATATTTTATTTCTTTAATTTTTATACCATAATATGTGTACAAAAATAGTACTTATGGTACTATGTGCTTTAGACTATAAGTTCATTCATTGTTGAGTCTATAAACTTTTTTGTAAACCGATTAATTATTTCTGGAAATAATGCTTCCTTTATAATAGATTATTTATTTGAGACCATTACCAATCAGTTTTCATTATACAAAAACAAATCATTCGACATTCTCATTATACCACAGTAGTCGTAGGTTACTAAAAAATTATAATAAAAATCGTATACATTGTTGATGATTTAAATAATTTTAATAACAACGTTGCAATAATGTTTTAACGTAATACTTTCTTAGTTTACATATCGAAGAATAATTGTTTTTGAAAATTTTACAGCTGTTACTCCATCGATCATCCCTTTAATTAGGTTGAAGTTTGTGTGAATTTGTTAGAGTTGTACGTTGAATTTGTGATTTCATAAAGATTATTGAATATTAACAGGTCTTTTATTTACCTTGATTCATCCAGAAACGCCATAAAAAGCGTAAATAAAATTCAAAATCGCCCAAGACAAAGCAGCCCAAAGTCAATGGACCCAAGACAAAATAGATCAAAGACAAAACATCCCAAAGTCAAGGAACCTAAGATAAAATAGCTTAAAGACAAACCAGCCCAAAGTTAATAGACCTAAGACAAAATCGCCCAACATAAAATAGCCCACAGGCAAATTCGCCCGAGATAAAGCAGTTCCGGTAAAATTAAAAGAAAACATTTCCAGAGTTTCTAAGACATTTTTTCATTCTGTTCTATTTTATGGTAAACTATAATTTCATTTTATTTAATGCAATATTATTTCTAGTTGAATTATTAATAGATATTGCTGTTGTTTCACCTAAGCTATATTTTGTCTTTGGGCTGTTTTGTCTTGTGCTATTTTAACGGATTACCACTATCGCGTAGGCACGTAATATCATTATCAATTCATACACAAACCCCGCGCATTTAACCTTTAAATTATTTTAAAATCCAACGTAATGCCCCTCCATTCATGGCGCATCCCTTTGTATCCCTTGTAAGCGCCTTCGTACCGGCTCGTGCCAGCCAATTCCATTGACGTATACCTTGACACATATTCTTCACCATGACCTTATTGATCAAGAATGGGTATGGAAAAGGCACAAAAACACATCTAATAACCTCCGTCGACATTCGGAAAACTTAGTTAGTTAGACGATGGGCGGCAGCAATTGCAAACCATGCAAGAAAAAGAAAAAGGCCTTCTCAGGGGGATCCATATTGGATAGAGTTATAAGTCAATCGTCGAATCAGGACCAGTGTTTGTTGTACAAATTGGCGAATTATAAGAAAGGTAAGCAGATCTCTCTAAATTACGCTTTGAAGCATCTTATAAATTTATAGGTGGTGAATTAATAGATGCATACAATCAAGGCGGGCAGGTGGAAGTAGAGAAATTAATACGGGAACAATTCGGGCAGCTCATGTACCAGGAGGGTAAAGGTCAAATAATCAACAGATCAGAATATCTCAGATGGAAATTCAGGGATTGCGAGCAAGTTACTTTGCCTATCGAAGCTTCCCTTAGCAGGTTAAAATTTAATTGAATTTATATAAAACAATTAACAATTTTTCCTTGGGGACAAATAGGTTTGATCCCTTGGGTAAATGGGAGGACCACGAGGCCTGTTGGCAAATGCAATACAGAGGTTCACTCGGCGAGAGCCTCATCCACGTCCTAATTATATGTGATACGAAAATACATACAAAACTAGCTAGAACGTTAATAAAGTGCTTCCCGAAGTTAGCTTTAGACGTCGTCGAAGGAGAGGAATATTTAGGTAACCCACAACACATTCATCTTCTACACAAATCTAATTAAATCCGTTGTTTAGGCGCAGGAGCTCTTCATTTGGCCATAGCCTATAACAACAATGAGTTAGTACAAGATTTGGTGGAAGCTGGTGCTAATGTTAACCAGAGGGCCATAGGTAAGCATAGTAAACAATCCACTAGTCGTGTAGGTGGAATCTTCCTCAACCTATAGCTTCTTTCTAATTGCACTAAACACATGAACACCGATTTCTTCAGGATGCTTCTTTCTTCCGAGGGACCAGCAACGTCTAAAGCCGGCCAGACACACCGACTACGAAGGACTGGCCTATTTGGGGGAATACCCTCTGGCGTGGGCGGCCTGCTGCGCCAACGAGAGCGTTTATAATCTCCTGCTGGACAGCGGGGCGCATCCCGACTACCAAGACAATTTCGGGAACATGATTTTGCACATGGTCGTCGTCTGTGATAAACTGGTATGAGTCGATATTCGAAGAAGTAAGGCTTGCGAATTTAAACAATTATTGCAGGATATGTTCGGGTACGCTTTGAGGCATCCTAAACTTCCGGCTAGTAATGGTATAGTGAATATATCTGGGTTGACTCCTCTAACGTTGGCATGCAAGTTAGGTAAGAATGAGTAGGTTCTAATTATTTCAATATTCAAAGGTAAGACTGGTACTTAAATATTGATGATAAAAAAGTGTAAAAGTGGAGTAAATCCAGGAGTAAATCCAGCTTTTCTGTGATGTTTATGAAACTTTGTGGCCTTTGAAGGAAGAATCTTGAAAACCAATAATCTTCTACAGATCTCTAATTTAGACATTACCTGGTACATTACCTGGTTCTATATCTTCTACGGTCTACCAGATCATCTCTACTTCTTTAACTATATTACTATATATTTTTTGTGTGATTTTCTCAAATCTCCACAATTTCTAGGTCGTGCTGAAGTTTTTAGGGAAATGTTGGAACTCTCAGCTAAGGAATTCTGGCGTTACAGTAACATTACTTGCTCGGCCTATTACTTAAACGCCTTGGATACTCTATTGCCTGACGGTAGTACAAGTGAGTGAAAATTTCCTTGAATAAATACATAATTCTTCAATAACTAAACTCGGAATTGCAGATTGGAATTCCGCCTTGTTCATAATCCTGAATGGAACCAAGGAAGAACATTTGGATATGTTAGATGGCGGTATAATTCAACGGTTGTTGGAAGAAAAATGGAAAACTTTCGCGAGGGTAATCAACACTAGTGGATTATTATTTTATTATGTAATATTGTTAAAAATTTCAGAACCAATTTCTAAAGAGATTACTCATCTTAGTGCTTCACCTGATATTGTTATCTTTGGCTGTGTATTTGAGACCTGATGATCCTGACGAACCTCTTTTGGGTTGGAGGAATGAACCTACTACAATAGCTAGGTAAAGTGGGCGTTTGAGAAAATTTATACTTCAAAGAACATTTGTTTAAATAATTTTGTAACCGGCTGATTCTTTCAGATATTTGGCGGAAATTGGCACTCTACTAGGGGTGTTAAGTTATTTGATTCTACAGCAAGGCGATGAAATAAGAAACCAAGGTTTTTTCACGTTTCTGAAGCAACAAGTATTAATTCTTCATAATATGTTGCTAGTGAATATTATTTATAATAAATTTTTAGTCGAATTCGCCTCCGAAAATGGTCTTTCTGATATCTAATTTGCTCATTTTGGCATGCATTCCCTGCAGGTTATCAGAAGACAAGCGAACAGAAGAAGCTATTCTTTTATTCGCCGTACCAGGCTCGTGGTTTTTACTAATGTTTTTTGCTGGGTAAGCGCTGGAATTGAAATGTGCAAAATTATTTCTTCCTATTTCCTTGCAGGGCCGTGAGATTAACAGGACCGTTCGTAACGATGATATACAGCATGATAACAGGAGACATGCTAACGTTCGGAATAATCTACATGATCGTTTTGTTCGGATTTTCCCAGTCGTTTTTCTTTTTGTACAAGGGTTTCCCAGGCGTGGGGTCCACTTTGTACGGAAGCTACGTCTCCACCTGGATGGCCTTGTTCCAGATAACTCTAGGCAATTACGATGTAATTATATTTAAAAATATTTCTCTTTTATATTCCATCGAAACGAATATTCGAGTTATGCCGTATGTGTAACTTGGGTTGCATAACTTTTAAGACTGTAAGGTAGTAATGGTAGTGTTTTTAGATATAAATGTTATTTCTAGTATCAGGAGCTGGGATCCACGGCGTATCCAGGCGTAGCGAAAAGCGTATTCGCTATATTCATGGTTTTTGTACCCATCCTTCTTCTCAACATGTTGATAGCCATGATGGGCAACACCTACGCTCACGTCATCGAGCAGAGCGAGAAGGAATGGATGAAACAGGTATGCGTTAACATTCGAGAAAGAGATGTTAATCTCTACCTCTTCAACAGTAGCTTGGTAGTTGAAAATCGGTTTAGTGTACATGAACTTCCCTTATTTTTTACTACTGGTTTTATTAAAACAGAAAAAAGGGTGGTTCTGTTAAGAAAATGAAGAAATTGTAAGAATTTTTACCTTTTACCTACAATACTTTACCTTCAATCGTGTTACCGACTTTCTCCCTTCTGTAAATTTCGCTGCGCATCACACTTCTTAAAAATTCTATCTGCCAAGCTACATTTGGTGAGGTAGAAAAAATCGAATTTTAGTGGGCGAAAATCGTGATCGCCCTGGAGCGAGCCATACCCCAATCGGACGCTCATCATTACCTGCAGGAGTACAGCATCTCTTTAGGCGGTGGAGACGATCCTTCTACCGAACAAAGGGGCGTTATGATCATAAAATCGAAGAGCAAGACCAGAGCTAAGCAAAGAAAAGGAGCCTTGGCCAATTGGAAGGTGATTCGTTTGTCACATTACCTAAGTTTGTGGATCACGATGTGAATATTTGGACGATTTTAAGAAAAAAAATTGTATCAATATATGTCCTAAACCTCTTAGTTTTCGAGCTACAGGGTGCTACAGTTTTAGAAAAAACTTTTCTATCATAATTTCTTATTACTCCAGATATTTTTATGAAATTTTGTAGATACTTTTTAATTATTACGAAGCATTTTTTAAGGCAATAGATTTTTAAAATTTTTTGACGTCCGTACGGTGTTTGAACTGAATATGTTTGAAGAAAAAATGGTACGCCACTGCTTTTTCTAAAAACCAAAATTATTTTTAAAAACCTCATTTATTTTAGAGCAAATTCGGTCCGAAGACTTACTTTCGTACGACGCACCATTTTCGCGTAAAAAAATAAAAACCAAAACAATTTTTTCCCAAGTTCATTGAGACTGCTTTTGATATTTTGTTGAAATTTGGTAGGTGCTCACCATGCATGGAAACACTTTTTTTTGGGAAAAAATTAATTTTCTACTATTACCAGTGACGTCCACGTCCGAAATTTCATAAAAATATCTAGAGTACTAAGAAAATTATGATAGAAAAGTATTTTTCTTTAAACTGTAGCACCCTGCAGCTCTAAAACTAAGAGGTTTCGGACATAATCGATATAAACTTTTCTTCTTAAAATCAACCAAATATTTACATACAGAAGTATCGGATGTATTTGTATTTGTGTTCTAGAGAGTGGGAAAGGTGACCATAAACGCTTTAAAGAAGAAAGGAATGACCGGTGAGGAAATGAGATGTCTAATGTGGGGTCGGGAATCCATAAACACGCCAATTAAAAACCGAAGGTATTTACCACACAATTTCATCTCTTCAAACCACTTAACATCCCAAAAAATTTAATTAGGAAACAAAAAACCCCGTACGCCATCGACTCGCACGAGCCGAACCTCACCGGCGGCTTCGGCGACGCCTTGACCGGCGCCCTCGACGTCATCGCTTTCACGCACGACGTCGATATCAACGGCGCCGTGCAAGGCTTGAATCTGGCCAGCGGGAAGCTCCCTCCCAGCTACAACGATGCCTTGAAAACCACAAATCCCGTACAATTCAACAATCAGATGAACCTGAACATCAACACCAAAAACGCGAACCTTCCTAATGGCGGTAATAATTTATTTAATAAGCATTATATACCATCAAAAATTATACTCTAATACATGTTGCAGTGTAACAACTTTTTAGTATTTTCAGTTATGCCATTGACATCCAACGATCGTGCTCCGATCCCGATTATCGTGGATCCTCTGAAGGAGCTGGTGATTTGCTCCGAGAAAGAGGAGGATCCGGAGAAGCTGAAATTCCTGGCGCTTTCGGCCGCCAATTTGGCGAAAGAAGAAAGCGAATTGCGGAGACTTAAAGTAGATACTCGAAGCCCGACTGCAGGGAACGACGTCGCGGCGGCGGCGCCCGACGTCAGCGTCAACGTGTTAGCGAGCGTGTTCGGCGGGGCCGAGACGATGATTAAAAAAGTCGAGGGGAATTTGAAGAAGTTTGCTCTGTTGGATCCCAGCGATACGGAAAGCTTCGGAGGTGAGATAACACTGGTTTTTTATACCTCATCAAATGTAGCTTGGTGCTTGAAAATAGCATTACATGTGTAAGAAAAATGAATAAAGTTAAGAAGGGTATAATACTTTCAATTGCTAAGCTACATTACATTGCCAAGCTAAAACGAAAAGGAGATTGCAGGACAATCAAGAAAAATTAAATTTACGTTTTATTCCAATTTTCCGGGTACTTTTTTGTCACTGTGTATAGCTAGATAAATAATCTTAATATTGCAGGTTATTTGTTAATAGTACACACTAGTTATTTATCGTTATTTATTGTTATAAGTCCTCCACCAGTGTTCTAAAATTGTACCAAATCTATAAAAAAATGTAATAAACAAAAAATATACACAATTTATTAAGGATCCTTATTTGTATTTTTAGAGGTTCCTCTGTTGGGAAAAGTGTCGAGGACGAGGCGATCGAAGTCGGCGAGCGTCCGCCATTCATCAGCGAAATCGAAGAACTCGGATAAGAGAAAATTGCTGCTCAATTCCGATTCGAGCACGGACACTATCGATAATAATTCGACGCTGAAAGACGACAATCGATACTTGAATTCTACGGGCGAGGCAGTCCTTCAATCGGGCTTCAATTTCATTGATGTTGCTATGGGCCAAAATGATTTGTAAGTTACTTGAAAATCATTATACTTGGGTCGTATTCGTAATAAAATTCCGTATCACCTTCTCATACTATTCCTATTCTAATCTTCCTGTTAGGTACTATTCTTTTCCTTATTATTCTTCTGCACAGTATCTAGGTAAGGTCCAGATAAATGTATCGCTATAAATATGGTTATAGTTATTCGAAATTTATCTATTAGATCTTTTTATCTTCGATAATAAATAAGTATTTTGTGCATACAGGTCGCGTTCCGTCTCTGAAACGGTTAATATACAGGGCGTTGGAACTGGAGCAGAAGCTGACTGTGGTAATCCAAAATCGAAAATAAGGAAGAAAAAACGAGCTGCAACGGGTAAAACAAACAAGTAAGAAGATTAAAAAGATACATTTTTTTAATTAGATAAATAAGGATCCATACAAAATGGTCTAGACCTAGACCATACATTAACATCGGTGCATCAAAATTTGAACTGATTTTTTGATCAATTTGAATATGTTAATAAATTGCAGGGTAGCACCGTCGAGTCAGAGACAATGTAAATCGGCAAAAGATAAAGAAGAATCAGACTCGGAGGATCTTTCATCGCCAGATCCTCTGGAACCGTGGAGTACAAAGAAAATCGCAAATATGAATAAAATATTAGCTTGGCAGAATGATAGTTTATAATTTATTGATATTACTGTTACTATACTTGCCGCGTTTGGAAGACGGAGTAATAAACACATTAATCACCTGAAGTCCACCCGGGTTGTAAACGAGTCGCCGATATTACTCACTCCCCATTGGCCGGCCTAAAAGTAGATACTCTGTGAATGGTTTTGAGTAATTGTAGGCGATGTGCAAAATTTCGATCGATCGAATCGATCTTTGTACAGGATTTTGCCGTACTGGGGTAGGGATATTTTGGAACCGCCTGACATTTTTATTACTCCGTCTTCCAAACGCGCCAAGTATAGACATACAAATAATGTGTATATTTTTATAAAATTAATCAGTACCTTATACTTGTGGATACTTGAAATATCTATCTATATTTGCTGTTTTATTCTTGTATATAAGTTATGCTAAAAATAAATAAAAATATCAACTCAAGTAATATCTGTTATTTGAAATTATTTTAACCATTTCAAAAACCAAAAATCCCAAAATATCCCATGTTTTGGTAAAACATGAAACTAGGTAGGTATTGGTTCTAAATTTTTTTGCCAAAAATAAAAGCAGAAATTTCTTTTTTTATAACAACGTTTTTCTATAGATACCGGGTGCCTAATTATCTTTCCCTTATATTGAACGTTAAAACCTATCGGAAACTCCCGACATATTATATTTTTAATAAATAGGTATGTACTAAATACGACTCATTGGAGGACGTCATAATGAAATATCCATCCGCAAAAGCTGTGCTGCTCTTCGCCAATGGGAATAGGGGATTTTCAAGAGGGGACATTTCAATCGACGCATTGTGGAAATGTCAAAACAGAAAGCACTCGTAACGCATTAATTTGCATTACAATTCAGTAGCATTATCGCTATATTTCCAGTGCGTTTTTGTGCTTTTAGAATCTCAATATCAGCCATCATGCTATCGTGATTTAACGGCTGTAGGTATCATAGATATTTTTTGGAAGAGTTCTAAAAGGGGTTTAAAAATTTAGTAAATTAGCTGCTCTTCAATTTCGACAATTAAAATTGAATATTTGTACTATACATCGTGTTTTTTAATTAAATGCTAATATACTGAAGGGGGTGATTTTTGGATTCATTTTAAGAAAATAACTTCATATGAACATATTTATGTGCTAAACCTAAAATGTATTATTACCTAATTTCTGCACAGCGGCTAATGCAGCGGTAGCGTATAAAAGAATGCATTTAAGTCAAGAAAAGTCAAGAAATCAAATTTGTTCTAAATTGAACTGGGCATCCAATTTTTTTTATTTCAAGAGAAAGCAGTGGCGTACCACTTCTACCCTCAAAAATATGTGGCCTGACTCCAGTACGGAAGCCATAGTTGGAAATAATAAAATGTTTTTAGGTCAAAAAATTCTATTTAATGCCTAAACGCCTTTTTAAAAAGTCCTGACTTTTTAGGAAATAGGACATTGTTAATTCGAATAAGTCTTGAATACTCGAGTAAATATACAGGGTGTTACATAAATAATGCCGAAAAAACTAAGGAGTGATTCTGTGATAAAAATTAAGGTGGGGTAATTGGTACAAAATTTTTTGAAAAAACCCTCCCCGGAAAAGTTATAGGTACTCCTCCGAAGATTGCAAAAAAATGGTTTTTGTTCTTAATTTTCCTTGGTAAGTAAACCCGTATACAAGTTTTTTCAAAAACATAAGCATTTACGAGAAAAAAAAGTATTTATTGCAAGCTCATGTTAAACAGCATTATTGAACATGACAAAAAATCATGAAATAAACAACCAAAACAATGTAAATTCCCAATAAAATATAAGAAAATATCACACAAACAGAATGAAGATGAAAATAATCCATTGAGAATCTTTATAAATTACTTGAAAATTCATCAGCAAAAATATTTTGTTTTCTGAAATCACAACATCTTCCATTAATCAAAAAAATCAGCTAGAAGTGCTTACATAAATAAATACCATTTATACCTTTTGAAAGTAGAAGTAACAATAGATAGTACCTCTTTACAATATCTAAACGCCTATTATACACAAAGAAAGCAATATATCCTCTAGGTACCCACCCAAACCTCTCCATATAAGCCTATAAATAGCTACAGTTATAAATAAATATACCCATACGAATCTTCGAATCCGATCTAAACAATGCGATTAAACGGTTGTTCGGAAACATCAACAAAGCACGAAAGAATTATCGACATCATCTACGATAGGCCGTCGCCCCGTTCCGCCGAAAAAAGAGTCCCCTTCGGCACGGGGAGCATCCTTCAGAACCCCATCGCCCATTGGCCGGGCCCTCCACGAGTTCCACCTACCGGGCGTTACTTTCAGTCCCCCTGAAAAACCAGTCCGACTTTCAGCACTCCACTCAGCAGTCGAATTGGATTCGACAGAGCGTTTTCAGTAAACGGACAATCGCCGAAGGGAGAAGTTTGGTGAATTCGCCGTTGGAAATACACATCAGGATTCGCGTCGATAAAATCGATCGGTACAAGATGCATTCCATGAACGATCCAGCGTCGGTGTTGTCGGGGATGATGTCGTTCGACTCGATCAGTCTGTACGAGCAGCCTAAACCTAGGTTTATATTCAAAATGCCGCGAGTGGTGCCCGATCAGAAGGCGAAATTCGAGAGCGACGAGCTGTTTAGGAGATTGAGCAGGGAAAGCGAGGTAATTTGTTTCTTTCGATTGGTTTTAGGTTTAGGTTTAGGAAGGATTTTAAGAGCCTAAGAGGTTCAAATGAGGTTTAGGTAGTATACCTACCTAGAGGAGGAAAGTGATGATTTTATTTCTTTTTTATGTTGATGCTAGGTTTAGGTTTTTGAAGGATTTTAAGAGCTTATAGTGGGCTACTTGAGGGCTTTTGGAGCCGAGGTTTAGGTGATAGAAGAAAAAAGTGTCATGCTTGATTTTATTTGCTTCTTGATTTAGGTTTAGGCTTAAGATCGATATGACTTTAAAATATTCAGTCATTTTCCTAATAATTTAACAATTAGGTACGTTTTTTGTTTTTCAAGTGTTTTTGTTTTCCCTTTGAGTTTAGAAATTTTTCTGTATATCATAAAGGTTTTTCTAATCGATTTTCCGTAATTGTAAATATTTATTTTGGATTTTTTTATTTAATGTTTCTATTAATTTTTCTTTTCTTTAAATGAGTTTTACTCATCTTTTTTTAAGATTCTTGATGAGTTATTTTTTTAAGACTTAGATATTTTTTTATGTGATTTTTGTTGGTTTTTCATAATTTATAGACAATTTTTATTCATTTTTTATGATTTTTAGATGGGTTTTTCCTTTCTTCTTTCTTTTTCACTTAATCAAAGAAATTATTTCCATAACCGTTCTTAATTATCTAATATAAACATGCTACCTAAAAATGCACTCATCAATTAACAGTGAATATTAATTAATTAACATTTCTCTCATATAGGTACCTAATATAACTGAAAAAAATCATAAAATATTGGAAAATTTATTTCCAATCGTGGAAAAGTATTTTGAATATAGTTAAAAAACTACTTACATTTGATGTGCTGTAAAAATCATGTGAACTACAAACCATCCATTATAATTTGTTACACAAAATCTTATTGTTTCCATTTTTATGTGAATTAAACTACTGATTAATTAATTACATTTTGATTTCATTAAAATAATATCGTCGAATAAACTTTAATATTCACTCCTGCTAAGTTAATAATCCGCAAAATATGCCAAGTACATCCGGATTAGTCACCGCTACCGCTACTCCTAGCCTGGTTTTATTTCCTTGAAATCAGATTTCGTCAAGCATTGCCTAACGATACTTTAGTTAACGGACTAACTTGCGTTAGTCACGAAAAAGTCTCTTCATTATCTTATATTCCAAATAAAATAAGAACCTTCCACCTTGCACAATTTATACTACAAATCCTTGCATTTACATTTTTGAATGGATTTTTGCGGAGATTTTGAAAACCAGATTGGACCATCCTGAGAAACATTCCTTTCTTTCCAGGTTCGGTATACGGGTTACAGGGATCGACCGCAGGAAGAACGCTCCATAAGGTTCCAGAATGCCTGCCGCGAAGGCCACACGGAAATTTCATTCGCAGCGACCGGTACCAACTTGCAATTGGTTTTCACACCGCCCACCACCGGCTACATGCCCGACAAAGAATGCGATTTCGAAAAAGAACCCGGAAAGGTAAGAAATATTCTTCATAACCCATTGCAGCTCATCAAAAACTATTCAGTTATAAAAGCTTGTGTTATTCTAAGTACTACCTGCTCTATGTATAATCGGGTTATCCAAAAGTCACTTCATTAGATTAGATCAAAAGGCGCGTTATGGACTGAAAAGATTTTTAAAAAGTTTAAATGTGGAACAAGCAATATTTGCGGATAACAACAAATAAAGTATAAAATAATAGGTAGCATTTTTTCCGTTTATTGTCAAACAAAATTCGCTAAACATTCAACTCAAGTTTCACAGCAGCAAAATGTTCTGTGGAAAAGAAAGATTTTTTATTGAGGAAACATTAACGAGCGTGTTCACTTTGAAGTCGGCGATTGGATGGCGCGTTGAAATAAACACGATTGTTAAGACTTAACCACGGATTATTTCTCGTTTTTTCGTTATTTCCGACATGTATGGAAAGACGGAATCTAGCCGTCTATGAGGAGCTAAATAGGCGCCTGATGCGTTATAAACCGATTTTATGTCGATTTGTTAAGACAAAGTATGGCTCGGATACAATAAACATGGCGTTTTACTATACACAAAATTCACTTTTGAGGTGCCGCGTTTTATGGTCTCACAACCATATGTCACATATGCCACAACGCTGGCTATAGATTTTTTATTTAAACATTGGAAAATTGGTTGGTCGACAATGATAATTACAATAAAATTTGCATATCTAATAATACATGGAAAAAACAAATTCCTAGAGAACATCAATGTAATAACTACCAAGCCGGTATGATGTTAGAATCTAATTTATATTGAAAAATCTTGTTTTATATTTAAGTATCTATTTTCTTTTCTAATTAAAATGCTCTTTGAGTTTTGTGCCCCAAATTTACCTAATACATTCACGTAAATTCTGTATGTACGAGTATTATAGTAAAGATTTTTACATACTTATTCTGTTTATTCAGACATTTAATTCTTTAATAATCATGCAGAACATATTCTTAGGTAATTACATATCATTATTTTCTAATTAAATTCCATATAGCACCGTGGTAAATATTGTTTTGTTATTTTATACTTAATACCTACTCGTACATGAATTTTTGTATATGGATCGAAATTTTGCGGTTTTTTGTCGAGCCTAACCAGCGACAGATAAATTTTCAGCGGTTTCCCGTTTCCTGGGTATATTTTCGTGTTATAATTAATATTGAATTGGTATCGTGTTCCCTGCGGTCGTATCGGATAGTACCCTTCAGGTGCAGTTATGCGATATCGGATCAAAAATAAAATAAAAATGAAGCACAAAAATACGTATGATATGTGTTCGTACAGCAGTGAAATTATTTGTTAAATTAAGTTAATTAAAAACGGTTTAGGTAGGTATGTATTATTTTTCCCAATTTCTCTTTATTTTCGACTAATATATCGACACTTTCTGATGGTGATTTTTCAAAAGTTCTCAACGAGTCTATCATGCGATAATAGCGAAAATTATTATTTACTAAAAAAAGTAAAATAAAAATTACAAGCACCCCTAAGAATCAAATTTTACTACAGTACAACAAAGCTGTAAAACTAGTGAGAACATAATGGCGCTTTCAGACGCCGCTCTAGCCCGGCCAATGACGTCGCGACGCTCTTATTGATCGTCGGGACGCCATACTTGAAATTATGCTCCCTGTTAGTGCACAATGTACAGTATTATCAAAAGATTTTCCTGGATAGATATACAAAATCTTCCATCATTTTGTATACGTAATAGAAATATATTTTACGAATATTTTCTACTTATTTAAATTCCAAAAAAAAGCTCTTTTAATAAATTCGTTAAAGATTGATTTTAATAATTATTGATGTATCTAGTTAATGCAGCCAGTATATTGCGCCTTTTAAAATTTGATCATAAAAATTAGTATTTTTTTAATGAATCTATAAATAAATTAGAGGCACACTTTGAGTGTAAAATAATTCATTTAAATAATGAATACAAAAAATAGCGTAAAATTGGATTACACATGCAATTAGGATAAAACATCATAACCCGCTGTGACGTGCTTAATTACTGAATACAAAAGAACAAAACACCTATTATTCAATTAATAGAAAGGCACACATAAACAGCCTCACGTGGCTTTTGTTTCTACCACCCACCCGACGCGTGTCATGTTTAGTGCCGCCTTATTCACGTCAATTACCAGTTGAGAAAAATAAAGGAAGTTCCCGTGCAGTTCCGTTTCGGTGGCACACGCGACGATTTTTTGTTGTATTTTACTTTGTATAATGTTCTCCAGTACATTCAAATTTTCCGCCTTTTGTCTTTCGTCACACAATTATAAGAGATAAGCTCGGTTTTCCGTCTAATTCAATACGATGTGAAAATGTTTTCTTGTAAAACACGCGGGGGGTTATGACAGAGTTATAACGTCTTCTACACTTTATTTTGTTCCTTATTAAATCCTTAAATTCCTGAATTACTTCAATTTTCTTGTGAATTTAGGACAGTGTTGATTCATTTTTCTTATAATTTTTAACAACAAATTTCACTTAGAGGTACAGTAGAGATTAATGAAGACTTTTTAGAGACTCGTTTAATTAAAATCATCAGTGTTTTTCAACTAAAAGAACTGGAAAAATGATTTTCCGGGTGTTAAAAATCTGGTAGGTTTTCATCATATTCTTTCCTTTAGATCATATATCTCCTTCCTGCTAAAATTAATAATTTAAAAGGTGTAACAAACCTTCAAAATGCTTGAAATATTTTTCAAACTGTATATGTAGGTATATAGCAATATGTAGATATTATTACAAAATACAATTTTTTCCTGTCATAATAACTCTCTTATGTCTAGCATCATCTTTAGTTGTTTTCTAACATGTCCAATTAACTAAACTAAACGACCCCGCATTTGATAAATGCCCTTAATATCCTCCTACATTAAAGTGCAAGTTATATAAAAACAACCCTTTTCGAAAGTAATATATCCGATTCGAAGCGGCAGTGTATCATGTATCACCTGGTTCGATCATTAATTTTCTCGACGACTACTATCATATCTGCTCCATTCGATACGCCATGTAAGTTTTAAACGCCCTAAAAAAAGGGCGCGCGGACCGAAAACGAGTTAACGCTCTTCCTCTTCGACGGCACTTTATTAACAAAACTCATGATTGATTCTCCAATAAACCGGCCATTGTCCGGATTTCTCGAGTAGAAACTCGCATAACATGCTAATCCTATTTACAAAACATCGCATTTCGATAACACACGAACGCACAAGAAATGCATTCGTTACGCGTTTCAATTGATTTACATTTACGGAAAAGGGCCCACTGGAAAGTGCATGAGTTGCCTACAGGGTGGTCCAGATCGGGTGCACTGAAACGTCCGAAGCACTCTTCCGCATGGATGCCCCAAAGGCCGATCAGTCGATACGTGTAATACCATACGGAGGGGTGATGTTACTTTATTGTGTAATGAAGATTATCTTACAGATACTTTGTTACATTGATATACCTTTATCGGCAAACTTGTATAGGCATGCATTAAGAATTATTGACATACACCTTTTATGAGAATGTCTTCATATTTTATCTATCAGTGTACCTCCAGCAATTATTATCCTTGAACCTTTACCAACGAATCGCTGTGTGTTCTAAGCTCGCTTTTCTGTTTACAAGATAAATAAATATCAAATGACGTGTAGGATGAACTATAAGAAGGACCACATACGAAAGTAATAGATCAAAAAAAAGACAAACATCGCTAATGCCGGAGAATTAGCATGGCACGACAGCTGGGCAACTGGATCATCGAAGGCGCTATTAGCGTTAACGACAGCACGAGTCGAATTCGAAACGGAACGAAATTTCTTTCCTCCAAACGCGACGGAGGATCGAGATATTGACAAACGAGGGTGGGATTCCTCGAAGGAGATCAAAGTGAAAGGAATAACAGATGCAAGAGGGTGTGATTTTCGTTGCGAAAGTTTCCGAATTTTTTTCCAAAACAGCTGCGATAACAAAACAACGACGGACGACGTTTAATTAATAGATTATAAGAGTTCACCCATTCCAAAAGTTCATCTATCTCCTATACTCACACATTGGATCTTCCAATAGGAAGTGAAACCCAAAGTCTAATTAACATCAAAGTACTTTTTTAATAAGTAGGAAACTTCAATATAACTATGCCATCATCATCAGACTTGTTGTACAAAGGTGAAATTAAACCAGTTGTTCAAAAACTTCATTAAATTTAGCAAAAAATTAATATAATTTGCAGTTTAAACCAGCATATTTGATAACTACACTAGAATATGTAAATTATATGTAATAACTTATTTAATTATCTATTTTTTGTATGTACGAGTATGTTTGATGATGGTGATATAGTAATACCGAAACACTGCTTGAATCTCATACTTATTGAAAAAATACATTCATAATTGGACTTTCTGTTACGTTTCCTATAATAATAGTTCGTGAGTCAATTTGAATGAGTTACGTTGAATTTTGTACGGGCTCTAAACCATCTAGTTTTACGATTGCAGTTCACAGAAAGGTCGGTTTAATTGGTTTATTAGTTTATATTAGGGGTTGAAATTGTACCGTCGTAAAAGTACTTGTTAGAGGAAGCAGTAAAATTTATTGCGAAACTGCATCTTCGGTTGTAAAGCTTGGTTTATAAACTTCAAGGGAAATCGAACGTAAATGCGCCTAAACAATCGTTTATTATTTTGATAACTTGGCATCTATAAAGCTGGTTATTTTGAAACCACTACGTCACTGGTACATTACAATTTGTTTATAACAGTTATAGTGCACCCATAATATTTTTGTTTGGCATTTTATGTTCTCTGATGATGACATTGTTTCAATATTTAGTGGTTATTAGTGACCCTTTAACAGTCTTATTCATCTGATGGAACAAAAGGCGCGGAAGATTTATAACATAGTTCCGTTTTTAAATAGCAAATTGTTCTTCGCTTTACAACTGGCGACAAAGC